ACGTTTTGTAAGTGAGCACACACACGCTCTCATCCTGTCACTACACTTAGGAAGTTAATGGTCACGTACGTTAGACATATCAGGGTCTATAACGTCGGACTGGTGACCCTCCCCTGGATGCAACCCTGCAACAGTTGACTATAACTCCCGGGTGCCTATGTACTGCTAGGGAAACAGATACATTAGGTGATAGGGAACGAATTATCATTTACGGCTTCGTCCGGAAGGTGGTTCCATGGTTTCCATGAATTTACTCGAGGGTGGCCCTCGGGCAAATTCAGATATCTCTCTCTAGTGGTCTCGACGAGGACAAGAAGGTTGTCTGGCTTGTCGAAGGCCCCTCCCATTTGTTTTGGGGATTTTATCGAGCAATGTTCTGGCATTTACGACTTCGGCGGGTATGCGTTTCCACAACGTTATAATTCTATGGGTGAAACAAATATTTTCCATCCTTCAGTGTGACTTGTTGAGCTCGAAACCGTTGCTCCTTGTTCGTCTTACATCTAGCCTTTTGAAGAAGTGTTCTCGATTAATATCTTCCAAATTGTTCAGTAATTTAAAAGTTTTGCTGAGAGCTAGCAGACTGTCATATGTCTGGTCCCTGCATGTGGCCCTCAACAGTTCTTGGCACAGGAGCGGAGCTGTAACTGCTTATTTCTAATTGATTGATGAAGATTAAGCTACCCAAGAGGTGGCACGGGCATGAACAGCCCGTAAGTGGAAATTTTTTTTGGAGTGAATGTGATCTTTGTGGTCGTGAAAGGATATACTCTGCGTGCTGTGCTCGCATTTAAATCGTCTGTCTGTGGCTGCTATCGCGGGGTGCTTGTTTGTGTTGCATCTGATCCTAAATAATCATAATTGAGTTTCTTAACATTAATAGCCCAAATTAGCACATCTTGCTTTTAAATTAGACCAAAAAGTAGCAAGTAGCGAAATTAAAAATTTGGGAGCGCGAAGTTCTCAAAAGTAGCCCAATTCGCTATTTGTAGCCCAATCTGGCCGTGTAAATATTTCATTCAAAATGATCTGCTACCAGAAATTTTAGCCAAATATCCCAAGTTTGCTAACTGTAGGTAGTAACTGAGTGATTGTAACCTATCCACCGCTGCCCACTGGATGGGGGGCGGTGTGCAGGACAAACATATCAATTTTGACACTAGCTCTCCACATATGTCAGTTGCTTAATTTAGAAACTGTACTTGTGGTCGATCTCGAACCCATTGTTGATGTGACGACTTATACTGAATTTTGTAACTAGCTCATGAAGATTGTAACTTGCTTAGCTAAATGAATTGTGGGGTTCAGTCCCTGAGCCCATTATGTGCCTCTGTAACCCTTTCCACTACCGCCCACAAGATGGGTATGGGGTGCATAATAAATGAACTAAACTAACTAACTACCGGGCTGACCTCATTCAAACTTCTAAAATGCTAAATAATTTAGAGGATATTGTTCTAGATTACTTATTCAAAATATCAGACGTAACACAAACAAGGAGCAACGGTTCCAAGCTCAACAGGGACAAAAAACAGGAGATATCCAGACGTCCGCTCGTCGGCGAGCATTAACCAACATGTTGTTGTTGTTAAAGATTTAACTACTCAGGACGAAGTGTCCATGTAGCACGGGCAATGGAAATTGAAATTGAAATAAGTTTATTGAGGTAAAATACACACAAAGGGATGAGGTAGCTCAAGCTATTCTCACCCCATTCAGTACAACGTGTTAATATATACATAGACCCACATCACAAATAAACACATTACCAAACATTCTGAGAGGTAAAAATATACATTTCCTCCCTCACAAGTAGTATGTTATCAGACGTACACGGGCAATGGTGAGCCCGTAAATTAGCCAGCAGTTGTGGCCATTCAATGCGTGATTGGAGGCGTGGGTGAGGTGGTCAGCTGGAGCCATTGCGTAGCTAGGTGGAGACGCTGGCAGGTGAGTCAACTGGCCGCAGCTGTATGCCACCACCTGCTGACGTAGGTGGTGGCAGCAGGTGTGGGTGGATCAGCTGGGAAGCCAATGTGGGGCTAGGTGGAAACAGGGGTCAGCTGGGGGCCACACGGCCAATATAAGCTGATGTGTATCTGGCCAGCTTGGTCCTGCCTCCGCGTCATTAGGGATCACACCTCAGCGCGGATTATTATAGTCAGCTTTCGTACCAAATTGCTTTTGATGTGTTGGAAGATCGGGATGTGCTACTAACGAGAATACTTGTTTAGAGCATTCATATATATGTCTAACCTAAGCTTGAAACAATCAAGGGATCCTACTTCTATTATGTTACGCGGTAATTGGTTCCACAAATCAACAACCCTGTTACTGAACCAGTATTTACCCAGGTCTTTCCTAAATCTAAACTTATCCAAATTATACCCATTGTTTTGTGTTCTATTTTGAGTTAATACTTTTAATACCCTATTAATATCCCCTTTGTTATGCCCATTCATCCACTTGTGCACCTCTATCGTGTCACCCCTAATTCTTCGCCTTTCTAGAGAATGCAAATTAAGCTTTGTCAATCTTTCTTCATATGAAAGGTAATTGTCCACCCCCGCGGTAATTGTGGAACCAATTACCGCGTAACGTGGTGGAGGTGGGGTCCCTAGATTGTTTCAAACGTGAGTTGGATATGTATATGAGTGGTTATAAATAGGAGCTGCTTTATATGGGCTAATAGGCCTTCTGCAGTTACCTTTGTTGTTATGATCTTATATTCTTATGTAACCCTTTTCACTACTGTCCACAAGATGGGTATGGGGTGCATAATAAATGAACTGAACTAACTAACTAGCTCATCCTACGCTGGACGCGTTCTAGTAAATTTATATCCATTCTATAGTAACTTTATATCCATTATATAGTAACTTTATATCCATTATATAGTAACTTTGTCTCCATTATATAGTACGGCGACCAAAATTGAACTGCACAATCTTAATGGGGCCTAAAAATTTGTTTAAAAGTTTATCTACGTCGTCAGCGTATAGTATACTATACACAATCATACACAATATACACAATCGACTTGAGAATGGTCCAGGACGGACCGAAACGTCGTCGTCTCTTCATTTTCTAGTGTGTGGATTGGTCATCAATATAGTATACCATGTATGGTAAGTGTGTCTGTATACTGCATATTTCTGTATACTATATGTGTTCATACAGTATGTGTCTGTCCATCTACCATGTCTATTCGTCTGAGAATTTTATAGGTGGTAATCATGTGTCTCCTAACTCTTCTGTCTTCCAGTGTCTTGAGGTAGTTTGATTCCAGCTAGCCTAGCTCCTACCGATATTCTCATCAATTAGATATATTCACATTTATTAATTATTGGATTTAATTATTTCTCATTAAAAACTTTCCCCATCCATACAAGCTTTCATACAAGCTGCAGAAAATCCTTTTTGGCACATCTTTGAAAGAGTTCAGTAATGACATTTTTTAAATTTTCCCATGATGCTTCCATGCCATGGTCACCTATCAGCTCCCTCTCCTTTTCCTTGATAGTCTCCTCGCTGGTAATCTAGAAAGTCACCTCTATTGTTTCCTTATAGTAATACAACTTGATGTAGCAAGAACTAACAGGTGTACTCGCCAAGAAAACAGATCAACGAGCCTAGCAGATAGCACAACGGGCCTTCATTTTTTGTTTGTTTTTTCAGTGAAGGGTAAAATGTCGATCAATCTTGATTGCGGGCTAGGGCTGTGAGGCGGACGTCAGCCGTCGAAAGCTTAATGCCCTCTAATCCTCTTACTACAGTCGAGGCGCCTTTATTTCTGTTTACATCTTGGGTGGCGGGAGCTTAAGGCACATTGCCAGCCGGGGTGCGCGTGTACTCACCTAGTTGTGCTTGCGGGGGTTGAGCTCTGCTCTTTCGGTCCGCCTCTCAACTGTGAATCAACTGTTTCTGACTACTACTACTATTTTTTTCGTGTACTCACCTATTTGTAATCACATATTTGTGCCTGCAGAATAGAGCATTAGCTCTTGGACCCTGCTTTTCTATCCACCGGTTGTCTAATGAAAGTGACTACCCTTTCTTTCTGAGAAGGGGGCCCCCAGTGCCCATTATCTGGGTAAAGGCCCCATGCAGTGCCTATTATCTGATGGGCACTGGAATATGATCACCACATACAAAATCCTGAGGGGAATAGACAAAGTAGACAAGTGAAAGTCATTTAAATTGAAGAGTCGTAAATTAGTTCTCGTTCCCTGTATGGGTGGTCGGCAAGTGAAATGCACCGAAGAGGTTGTTGAAGCCAATTCCATCCACAACTAAGAAAAATATTATGAGAATATTAGTACCGAAAGAGGTAATTAACGAATCAGGTATAAAGAGTTAGAAGGCATAAAGAGCCATAACTCACTTCCCCGTAGTCACGGGAGACATCTCCCGTCACGAAGGGTGCAGTCGCACCTCCACACATCTCCAGTACCATCTATTAATACTGGTAATAGCTCAAAAGGGCCACCACTTACGGGCTATTCATGCCCGTGCCATCTTTTGGGTGGCTTAATCTTCATCAATCAATCAATCCCCCGTAGTCACAGAGAGGTAAGTACACGAGCGGCGGTGACCTGATGGTGCTTCCCTGGCGAGGGTGTTGACACAGGAGGCGGGCAGGCCTCGGGAGGCCCCACGCTGTGCGCACCCGCACAAGCTCTTCAACAAAGGGTTAAGGGAGCAGATAATAACTTTATGTGGTGAGGCTCAGCCACGGTGTAAGTTTATTATCTTGAACACAAATGGAGCGCGCTTTTACCCCTTGAGACGAGTGTACACATAGTGGACAATTAGTTTGTATAGTCTCCTCTTTTTCCTCATTCTCTGTAGGCTCTCCTCCCTCTCCATCTTTGTAATATTTCTCTCCTCACAACTTTCTGTAGTCTCTCGACCTCCCTCCCCACCCTATATAGTCTCTCTTCCTTCCCTCCCCACTCTCTAGTCTTTTCTTCCTCTCTGCTTATTCTAGTCACCTTCCCTCATTTGTCACCCTCTGTAGTCCTCTCACGCTTGTTTCCTGTAATCACCTCCCCAGTGTCTCCTTCCGTAGTCACCTCCCCAGTGTCCCCTTCCGTAGTCACCTCCCCAGTGTCTCCTTCCGTAGTCACCTCCCCAGTGTTGCCTTCCGTAGTCACCTCCCCAGTGTCTCCTTCCGTAGTCACCTCCCCAGTGTCTCCTTCCGTAGTCACCTCCCCAGTGTCTCCTTCCGTAGTCACCTCCCCAGTGTCTCCTTCCGTAGTCACCTCCCCAGTGTCTCCTTTCGTAGTCACCTCCCCAGTGTTGCCTTCCGTAGTCACCTCCCCAGTGTCTCCTTTCGTAGTCACCTCCCCAGTGTCTCCTTTCGTAGTCACCTCCCCAGTGTTGCCTTCCGTAGTCACCTCCCCAGTGTCTCCTTCCGTAGTCACCTCCCCAGTGTTGCCTTCCGTAGTCACCTCCCCAGTGTCTCCTTCCGTAGTCACCTCCCCAGTGTCTCCTTTCGTAGTCACCTCCCCAGTGTCTCCTTTCATAGTCAACTCCCCAGTGTCTCCTTCCGTAGTCACCTCCCCAATGTCGCCTTCCATAGTCACCTCCCCAGTGTCGCCTTCCTTAGTCACCTCCCCAGTGTCTCCTTTCATAGTCACCTCCCCAGTGTCGCCTTCCTTAGTCACCTCCCCAGTGTCTCCTTCCGTAGTCACCTCCCCAGTGTCTCCTTTCATAGTCACCTCCCCAGTGTCGCCTTCCTTAGTCACCTCCCCAGTGTCTCCTTCCGTAGTCACCTCCCCAGTGTCTCCTTTCATAGTCACCTCCCCAGTGTCGCCTTCCTTAGTCACCTCCCCAGTGTCTCCTTCCGTAGTCACCTCCCCAGTGTCTCCTTCCGTAGTCACCTCCCCAATGTCGCCTTCCATAGTCACCTCCCCAATGTCGCCTTCCATAGTCACCTCCCCAGTGTCACCTTCCTTAGTCACCTCCCCAGTGTCTCCTTCCGTAGTCACCTCTCCCTTGTCTCCTTCCCATTGTCTTCTTCCGTGGTCACCTTCCTCTTGTCTCTTTCCGTAGTCACCTCCACATTGTCTCCTTTCATAGTCACTTCCCCTTGTCTCCCTCTGTGGTCACCTCCTCCCTTGTCTTCTTTTGTAGTCACTCTTCGTCTCCCTCTGTATTTACATCCCCTTGTCTCCCTGTGTAGCCACCCCATGCCCCATATTCCTTGTTGTAGTCATCGTAATAAATCCAAACTTCCACAAATTTCTTATCCGCTTGGCCATTATCCTTGACCAATCACACGTATCCTCAATAGACCTCTAATGACCCCTTGTTAACCGCGGGTCAAGATCTCCATATAAGGCGTGACCATGTCGGAAGCTCCCAGTTTGACCTGACCTGTCAGCAGGCTCGTGTCGCCTCTCCTGACCTCTTTTTTTTTTTTTAGGTCACTACTTGATGTGACATTTGTCGGGGACGTGAATCCAACTTGATTAATTTTGAAGTGAACGAAATATTACATTAGAAAAGTATGATGCTGGTGTCGAACGCTGTGGGTGTGTCCGAATGTCGGTGGGTGGACACCGTTCGTCAGCGCCAGGCGAGGGCCAGCGAGCTGGAGAGTCACTCGGCTTCGTGGTGGTGGTCCTTGAAAGACTGTCTGGGCGCAGAGTGTGGGTCGCCTTGCTGGTCTACTGTAGCCCTCCACGCCAGGAGTACTAACGCCCTCGAGACAGATAACACTTCATACCTTCTTGCGCCGTATCAACAACAACTCCACTTAGCAACACCGTTCTCCTCATCAGATGAGCAGTCTGATAATTGCTCGCATAATACAGCTATAATGAATAATAATGTCGAGCAAACACCAGCGCACTTGTTACAATTCTTCTCCTGCAGTCTCAAAGACACGTCAACACAATGTGCGCTTCCAACACCATCTCCCAATATCAGCAAGATGCAGCTGACGAGACTTCCTAAGGTTGCCACGGGTTTCTCTCGAAGTGGCAGCAGGTACGGTACAATGTCAGCTGAGAGCGCCCAGCACCGTCGCCAGGCTGCCAACGCACGTGAACGCAAGAGGATGACAAGACTTAATGTGGCGTTTGACCGTCTCCGTCGTACCCTGCCAGGCACCTCATACAAGCTTTCCAAACATGACACACTCGAGATGGCGCTCGTCTACATCTCTGAGTTGCGTGGTTTGCTTAAGTATTAGTAACTGCTGTACTGATACAGTGACCATCTCATCCCTCTGACAGTGCCAGTGACCACATCGACCTTCTGACAGTGCCAGTGACCATCAGTCTTCCCTGACAGTGCCAGTGACCACATCAGTCCTCCCTGGCAGTGCCAGTGACCACCTCAGCCCTTCTTGACAATATGTACGAGTAGTTGAATGTATTCTGTTAGTGACTACAGTTAAACAATTAAATCTCTAGTCATTCTAAATCACTGTATTTTTTAAGTGATTCCTGAAAGACTGTGTGTGTACCTATATAACAGATGTAATAATAATGTTATCAACAAAATATATAGACACAGGGGTATTTTTTTGGCAATCATTGTAGTTTATATTTTTACAAGACTGCTAATGACTAAATTTTAACACAACACTTGCTACCCAGGAACAAAAAGCATATTTGCAAGTTTGGCCAATGTAACATCCACAGCACAAATGTGGGCGAAAACTAAGATATTAAAACTTGATACCCCTCAACATCATTACAACTATCAGATTATCCCAACATGTTATTAAAACAGTATGTAAGCATTGCTTGCATATAAACTCTAGCCCACAATATAAATCATCTTGCTAGCACCAACATTAATAGAAACTCTTTGTAGTGAAATGGGTCCAGATGATGTATTATAGCATATGACATCTCTTCATTGGAACTTTAAACTGAACTAAAAAAGGACCAAGCAACTTCTAGAAATGATGGCATAACACACAGTACTCTTGAGGCTTCTTTTCTGATGGACCAAACATTTCTGCTAGAACTGCATAAAGTGTACAGCAAAGTGCTTACCAGACAGCTAGATGCAGGGCCTTAATGCATATATACCAAAGTCACTCTCACAAATTAAGGCCAATATATTTAACTTCCTGCAAGTACGACATTCTTAAAAGTATTAGCCCCAGATGGGTGATGGTGCATACTAAATATCAACTTGCCCCTAACTATACCTTTTCTTAGGATTTTATTGTTGTTGATGCCCCCAGAGGTGGCCTAATTTATATGTAACTCATACTCATCCTGTGAACAGTAGCAGAGAAGGATTATAGGGAAAACAATTAAGTCTTGATCAGATTTCAATGGATGTTGCTTGACATTAGCTTACACACGTTTTGGTAGATCCCTTATTCCCAAGCTGCCCTCACCTTGCAGAGCCAGATTCTGGTCCTGGCTCCTGGTAGGCCAGCATGGGACTCAGGGGTCTAATGCCAAAATGGTTGGTTTAATCATCACTTGGGTTTTATCAGCACTGCAAACTACTGAAGCATCCACCAGAAAATGGCATTTTATTAATAGATTCAATGCCTGAAGAAATGTTAAACTCCTCCCTGCACACCAGCAAATACACAATTCTGTCTAATGGAGAGAGCCATGTTTAAGAAGGTATGGGCTGTGCATTATTAGCAGGAATTCAAGAGAATCAAGAACAGGCCAGAAATAATCAGGGACATTCAAAAACCTGTAAATAAACTCTTGCCAGGCTCCACATACTACCTGAGCCTCACAGAGGATTTAATGATCCTAGATGGTGAAAAAGTTTAAATTGTAAATGAAAATAGTCCTTGAACCTTCTGACTAGCTTGGGACACAGTATGAAGTATGTGGGGACCTGGAGGACAGAGGCATATGTGGAGCTGCCCGCTGTTCAGTCGGTTGAGGTATCGAAATTGGCCAAATGGCAGTCAACCTGTAAGCTCCCTCTAGTAACTTGTAATTTTAGGGCTAGGACTATAAGCCTTTAAGTTGCATATATGAACCAATGTAAAGTCATAAAAGAGCTGGAATTATAATTCTTCAGTGAGCTCCAAGCATCTTTAATAGCAATAGGGGTACAGTATTCTGTAAGTTTCCTCTGGCATTGAAGAAGAATGTGGTCCTACCCAATTAAGCAGGGTCCTGTCCTGTGGACACAGCCTATCTTACATTAACCAAATATGATGGTTCAGACATGTATCACTACCAAAAAATGGAGCTAATGTATGCCCAATACAAACTGATGTCAATTGCTAAAAAAAAAAAAAAAAAAAAAAAAAAAAAAGTGAACTGCTATACAGAACATGGTACAATAATGTACTGTATTTTAAGGCAAAATTTCTGCTTGAATATGACCTTTAAGATTTTAGCACTAAGCTTTAGCACTTGGAAAATAAAATAAAGAGGTATTAATTATATGTCCATTACATGTTAAGTAGGCCTATTGATACAGCTTTTCCAAAAGATAAAAATTTGTATAAATGAATTTTATACAGCATTTGTACTTTACAGTATAAAAGTTAAATTTCAAATCAGCCTTTCTACCATACAATAAAATGAAGGAATACAAATTAACTAAAGTTCAGTTATACATACACCCAATGATTTGGTCATACAAGCAATGACAAATCTATAGTGCACTTATATTCTGAGGCATATGTACATATATAATAACCACTAGCACTCAGTAAGCTATACAATGAATCACCTGAATTCAGAGATGGAAGCACAATATCCAGACATCTGTGTCAAGAAAGCCAAGAGATACAAAACAGTCTGGGGAAACTAATCAGATCTAGAGAGCAGCATAAATTACCACTAGACTGGATTTTTTTTTAATTAGGTACAAAGTACTGTATACATACTTAACTTAAGATATACAATGATTCAGCCTTTGTTTTAAGCTGACCCCATCAATGATAAAACTCAGCACACCACAGATTATGATTTGACAAACTTTAGAACTTGGTACATCTTGGTATCCAAAAGCTGTGAACATATTCAGGTATCGCTACCACCTAACTACAGAATTTTACCTATAAATGCCATAAAAGTAACCTATTCCAAGATAGTAATTAACAATATTTAGCAGCCAGTTATTTTCTATTGGTGTACTTTTTCAATCTGAGAATGTCACTGAAATATTATACAGAGGTTTGGTTCCCAGATAGTGGCTTTTGGGAACTTCACATTTCACAGGTTTAAACTGACTAAAAAACGAAAGTTTCCAGTTGTCAGCAACTTTTAGCTAGTCCAAGCACCCTCATTACTTGCTTGGTACATTTTTATCAATAAAATCTGTATTTTTAATGTTTGTGTTATTGTAGGCTTACCCAATAATTAAGAAAACAGCATCTCAGTTTGCTACAATCACTATCATCATTTATTATTTAAAAATTATAAATGAAAAAATCACTATTAAAGGCATTATTCACTGTGCTACAGCATCACACCTATAACTAACTCTCATATTTTTATTTCAAATATTTTTTATCCTACATTTGGGCCCTAATATACTACATGTTTATCGATAGCTAACCAAAGCTTCTCAAACTAAAAAAATAAAAAATCTGTTAATAATGCACAGGGAAACCTTGGTACTATGCATTAGTGCGGTCCAGATTTAGCCCAATATATATATCATGCAGCATTTGCATATATAAATACTTACCTTTTCAATTTTGTTAACAGTATTCAATTATCACCATAAATTTTAGCATTCTCTCAATGGAAGTGATTTTTGTCCAATCATAACTAATGCAACATAACTTTGATGATTGGATTTATTTGTTATTGTATAATGGATTGGCTTCCCTGGAAGGCAATAAAACCATTAAAGGAAGACGAGTCACACATTTCAATTTCATTAACAACGGTTATACTTGATTACGTTACAATGCAGCGATGTCATCAAGGTTAAGTGTTAACTGATGTGAAATAATGACTCTCAGTTATGCATCTCGGGTTTTGATGAGAATAATTACACTTGAAATGGTTCTTACCTTTAGAAGAATGATGAAATTTAAATTAATGCTTGAAATGTGTAAGGAGAATGGTTAAAAATAAAATTTAAATCACAATATATAGTATATATATTTTACTTAGTTAATTATACCAGCAATACAGTTCTGGTATAATGCCACATTATGTCCGTACAGGGATACAAAATTTCCATAAAAGTATGACATTGGTATCAAAGTTTCCCTGTATACAGTATTTCTTGTAAATAGTTAAATAATGAGCTTTAGTTATTTTTTGGGGTATTCTATTATATTATCACATTCAACAGATTTCAACTACAGTATTAATATGCCAATGAATATATTTTTATTTTCTATCCAAAAAGCAGAAAATATACAATCATGTATTATTCTGCAGTCTTTCAACAGAAACTAACTCTTCCTTCCTCTCTATTCTCTCTTTCTAATAGGAAAAAATACACTGTATAAACAAAATCAGGTGTAAAACCTTAATCACGTCTGAGAAATTTTGAATACTGTGGGTATGAATACTATTATACAATTTATCACTAAGTATCTCCTACTGTTAGCTATAGAGAAGCTTTTGTAAAATTTCGTAAGAGGCATTAATAATACCCCATGACACAAGTGCACGAGTGTAATTAACGTGAGCACCACTAAAAAGTCTACTGAAGCGGCTCCCTCTTGTATAGTAAACATCCCAGAATGTCTGACGCATTGTCTGGAATGATCCTCCTACCTGTTAAATAAAGAAAATACAATTATAGAATCAATTACATATAAATTTGTAATTTATAGTAGATAGACTGCAAGAAAACATAATACTCACTCAAGAATGCATTTGTTTCTTAGATTAGAAACAGGTAGGCCACAGTAATAATGAGAAAAAGCAGAACACTTAATAAATATGTGTACGTAATGTAAAACAAAAAATTTCACAGTATAAAAGTTAAAATGAGTAAAAATTCAAATTCTCCAAAACTGGCACAGGGGTCCCTCTCCCCACATATCACATAAAGGTAGCACGTATCATTTAAACATTTTTCTAGTTTTTTTTTTTATTAACTTTTGTTAACACAGTTCAATACACATTAACACTGCTCTGGTGGGTTGTGGTGAGCCGGAACCTTTGGAGGGCAGGAAAGAATTTACTAATAGACAAAACACTTTTGGCCAACCAGAATATGGTATCCTTTTCACTAAGCTGTCGAGAGGAATGACTATCTGTGTCAAAAGCACAAGGAAACACCCTGCAGAACTGTAAACAGCCAAGTCAGGCTCTGTGCTGGCCAGGGAACTGATCACAACCCTTTCAGTAACACGGTAAAACAACCTGCGTGATGCCTGGAAACTGGTATTTCTCTGGTAGACAGCACAATAGAAATGACCATGACAGACAGACAGACACCAATCCCATCTAACTCTTACGAAAAATGACATAAGTAGCCTGGAACTAACCAGAAATATTCATTCAATGCTTCTCAAGTATAAACCTGGAAAATGTTCAGGGAATGGAACTCTACACAAGCCAGAGAAAGCAAAACACACCAATTACTCTAGCTACAGTATATACTGTACTTCACATCTACTCAAGAGCCTCACTTCACTGACCACATTGTGCAGCACTGCCTGGCTAGGTCCAACTCTTAAGGAGTCTTCTCCAATGGAGGAATAAAATTTTTAAAAGATAACTGATTAGAAATCAATCACTACTTATGGTATCAGGAAAAAGAAAAAAGGGGGAGACCTAAGAACAAGGCCAACGCTAAAGGAAGGCAAGAGACAAATGAACTGGCATACAAGTTGCAAAATATTCTAAGCACAGGGCTCTTACAAAAGACACAATGAGCCAGTTAACCTAAATTAATATGATGATATAGGTCTCAATTGGAAACACACAAGTCAGGTACATATAATAATGCCTGGCAAGATTGGGTGAGGGTTTCCTTATCCCAACACTTAGCTAGCTCAGTGGTAGTTGATGTCGAATTAATGAAGATTAGGCTGTTCTGAGAGATATTTAGCAATATGTGGTTTCCAAGCAATTTTCATAGGAAGGTTGAGCATTTTGTGATTTTTCTTTGTTCGGACAACATATTTTGACAATGGGTTGATCTCTCACTTCCACTCACTCCACTATCACATGGAAGCATTGAAGTTGATGATGGAAAAGGTGCCTTTCCCGATGTGCCAAAACTGTGTCATGAACAGTCGTATGTGACTGTTTCCTACACAAGTTAATAATGTATACTCAGCAGAGCTACCGCTGGGTGCAAACACGAACTACTGTACAAGAGGCATCAAACTACAAACGCAACCAAACTTCAATGAGATACATAAAAACTTGTTCAACTCTTTATAATGGTAGCAGTACATTCTTCTTACCTGACACTGCTGATGAGACTTGATTACATTAACAGGATACATGACAGTAGAGATGAATGCTCCTAGGAAGGCACCAGACACAAAGTCAGTTAATATGTGACCCCACCAAGCTGTGCCAGGGTTAGGCAAGCGTTCTTTAATCTTGGTTCTAAGACCAAAGAAGAGAATGTTGCTTGGTCCATTGCGTAAAAGAATGGAGACCATTCCACGGTAGTATTCCCTCACTCCAAACTTCCACAGCTCTTGGGTTATATGTAAACTATTTCTGAAAAAAAGATGAGAATTTGTTTAATTACATATACTGCAAAGAATTATGAAATTACCTAAAACATAATTTTCCTAAGAATTATCTGCAGCAGAGATACCCAAGATCTTGGGGCCACATTCAGCTGATTCTGTCCTTGTCTTTTTTGTTTTTTAGTAGGAAAAATTATAGCCCATTTAATAAAAAAAAAAAATACATTTTAAAAACATCCTTTTTAGGTATTTGTACAAGAGGTGGGCAGCCAAAATATCAAATTCTTCATGTTTTATATGGCCACAGACAGCTTACAATCCATGTCTTATGTGATGTGTGCGAGACTGTGATCCTCCCAGGTATGTTTAATTGTAGAAGATTAACCCTTGTGTTGCTCAGGGCTAATTAGCATTTGTCACCCACAGGTGCATACCAACAAAAAAAATTATTATTTTTTCTTCTAAACCTGTTAATTTGTGTTCTCTGATCATGGGAAAATAATAAAAAAATCATAAGTGGCATACATTGCCCGCTATAGGGTGGGGAAGTCTGGCAAAAAAACAGGCGCTGACTCAGCGTGCGTCCCAGGCGGTCTGCTCCTCTCCAGTTGTCAGGCAGGAGTGGCCTCAAAGAGATAATTACCTAATTATTTCATTGTCTAGTTTTTTTGCTAATATTATTCAATAGTGTGTAGTGTGATATATTTATATAATAAAATGTGTGCATCATCGCTGTACTCAAAATTATGGTGTGCATATTTTTGATTCAATTATTATGTTCATCAAACAGTGAACAAATACTTTGTCAGTTATTACACTATATACACAGGTTATATATGAGTATCTGCATGTTTTGTTCACCATAACGAACCACTAAGTTGGTATTATGAATCAAAAAGCAATGAGGAGTGACCGCCACACACCAGCCAGCCACTCGCTGCCACTCACTCCCTCAACACCTCACTCGACAACATTCTCCTCCCACCATACTGTTTTTGCTTTTATTCTACATCTGCCCGCTTAGTGACGATTGCGCCTATAAGAAATTTCGCTTTTGTGGTGATTTTTTGCATTTTGAACATTAAAATAATTATTATATATCACGCCATGAGTCCCAGGAAAGTCAGTGGTAAGGCTCAACATACGAAATCCCATGTAAGGATGACCATAGAGCAGAAACAAGAGATCATTCGTAAATATGAAGATGGTGTGCGGGTTGTTGGACTGGCTAGGCAGTACAACAAATCTCAGTCAACGATATCCATCATATTGGCTAAGAAAAAGGACATTATGGGTGCTAAAGTGATGCATCATTACAGACAATGTTAAAACGAATAGAAAAACAAATGTCTCTTGACATTTATAGTGAGACAAACAAGCACTGAACCACAACCAGGTCCTAGTGGTATTCAGGCAAAACTTGAGAGAGTACCCCAGAGAAAACATCACTGCCTGATGTGATAATGGAAGGGGACTCCCCTTCCAAACAGTAACAACTCTCCTCCCCCTCATCACCATCTTCCATATGCCATCAAGAGCCCTCCATAAAGGTCAGATAAACTTAGGTACTGTATTATAGTTAGAAAAAACATTGTATTCAGTATAAAAAGTATTTGTATGTTAATATTTTGGAGGGTGGGGGAACGGATTAATTCAAATCCCTTTATTTCTTATGGGAAGAATCGCTTCGACTTACGATATTTCAACTTACGATCCGTCTCTGGGAACGGATTAGCATCGTAAGTCGAGGCCCCATTGTATATATTATATACTGTATATACAGTACAGTATATAACATAATATATGCCTCACATCCTAAGTCTTCAAAAGGTTTTGATGTTTTATGGATCTAGCATAGAAAGTCATTTCAGGGCTGCATTGATTAATTCCTCCAGCAATGGCCTCAGCACAATATTGCACTGCAGAGATGCTTGAAAATTCTGTGCAGCACTATACTGTATGTTGCTCCTGTCTGCCTGTACACTCTGATGTTGAAGGACAGTCAGAGCTTATGTTGGAAGCAGCCGAATGACATGCAGTGATACTTGTACAAATTTAAATCCGTTCCGAGATACAGTTCGTGAACCGAAAATTCATAATGAATTTTCATTGAAATTAATTTTCTCATAAGAAATAATGTCAATTGAATTAATCCGTTCCACACACCCAAAAAATATTAACTTTAAAATAAATTTTATACAGAATACTACTAATATTTTTCATGCTCAAAACAATCAGGTATAAATATAAACCATAAATAAAACATTTAACAGCACTTTACTGAGGACTCTTGTTGGCGTATGGGAGGTGAGGGAGGGAGGGAGGGAGGAGCGGTGTTGGTGTATAGGGAGGATGAGGAGGAGGGGGAAGGTGGTAAGACTGTTCCCTGCTCTCCTTAAATGCAGTGCATCACTTGTTCCAGAATTTCCTTTCACACATTTCACTGCCTATGTTATGTAATTACCTAAGTGTAGTTACAGGATGAGAGCTACACTCGTGGTATCCCCGTCTTCCCAGCACTCTGTCATATAACGATTTGAAACTACTGATGGTTTTGCCCTCCACCACCGTCTCGCCTAACTTGTTCCAACCATCTACCACTTTGTTTTGCGAAAGTGAATTTTCTTATATTTCTTTGGCAGTTTTGTTTAGTTTAAATCTATGACCTCTTGTTCTTGAAGTTCCAGGTCTCAGGATTACTTCCCTATCAATTTTATCGATTCCTGTTACTATTTTGTACGTAGTGATCATATCACCTCTTTTTCTTCCGTCTTCTAATTTTGACATATTTAATGCCTATAACCTCTCTTCATAGCTCGTGTCCTTCAGTTCTGGGAGCCACTTGGTGACATGTCTTTGCACCTTTTCCAGTTTGTTGATGTGCTTCTTAAGATATGGGCACCATACAACTGCTGCATATTCCAGCTTTGGTCTAACAAAAGTCGTGAACAATTTCTTTATTCACCACAACACGTGTTGTCGTGAATAACACACAATGTTCTGTCCACAGCCTAAGGTTTAACATGCATAACACGAAGACCTAAAACATTTATTATATCACCAACGTGTAAACTTATTATAATAAACTCGTCATAACTCAAACATGCCATGAAAATACAGTAAATAAAATTGTGAAACTAAAAACACATATTCCAATGATATCTTACCGGTACTGGCCATGGAATTTCTTATCTTGCAACAAAGTTTGGATACGTTCAAATGGGCAAAGTAAAGCTTCAGTACATCCAGCTAAAGTGGCAGCCAAAGCCATTGTTGCTCCTGCAGTAAGCAAAATGGAAATATTATGCAAACAAAAAATTACTAATTAATCATAACTAGACATCAAAACCGATCTACACATCAACACCTCTGATGCTTTTTTGTCTTTGAAAGTTTCCCTAAACCTTTTCACTGCTGCACTTTAGTTTTGGCTCAATTCTTATTTAGGGTTGAAATGTGGGTAAAAAATAGAGCATCGAGCATAATGAAATGCTCCATTCGGAGCTTGCCACCAGATCCCAAGGAACTGCAGAAGTAAGGGTCAACTCAAGATGAGAAAGAGTAAATGAGTGGTTTTAGCTTAGGAAGGAATAAAAATGAATTATATTCCAGTATTGCTGATACTGTACTCTACCAAAGAGCTGATAGTAAATGTAAACAAACATTAAATTTATATTACTGTACTGTATACCAAATAAACTGACATTCCATCAAATCCAAGCAGTTCATGTATGTTGTGCCCCTGACAAACAAAAATCAACATTCAAGACAGAACATTTAAAACAATTAAAAAATGTTTATGCACCATCTGATAACTGGGGATGATAGTATCTCAATAATTTTCCGTACTGATCAAACATCCCAAACATGATCGATGTAGAGATGGTCTTCTGACACAGAGGTGGGAGGATTCCTCGATACAAATTTTTCAAACCCTCTTTTTTAAGTTGTCCCACTGCATTGGCTGTTGATATTCCATGGAGCATCTATAAAATAAAGAAAAAGAAACAAATATGTAAATCAGTGAAACATTGGTCAGCAGGTAGTTACAGCTCAGCCCACAAATTGGCCAATGTATGGGTACTTGCCAAATTCTGTTTGTTGGGAGCAAGGCTCTCAGGGTCCATTTCTTAAATATTAATGGACTGGTGTGATGACTCGCTAACTCCCATGGGTTTTATAATACATTTGAATCCATGTACACTAAACCATGGAGTTATAATGCATTCCAGTCAATATTCTAACATTAAATAAATTTCTTTGAATACCTCTGGTTCATTTGGGTACTCCATTTTCAAATGAATCCCCTTCATCACGATTCTGTCACTATCAAACAGTTTGTCCTTATCCACCTTGTCAATATACAAATATCATGTATGAAATGACCAAATCCTACATGAGAATCATAATGCCCCAAGCCATAATGTATGATAGAAAACAAAAGATGTTTTTTCACCCATAGGGTAATAAACCCTTAGAACTGCCTACTGGCCAAAGCCATGTTAAGGCCTTGGCCAAAATTCACCCAGGGAAAAATCCCCTGAAATGCTTTGTAGTAGTGATCTTATTTAATATGCAATGCCTGTACCTACAGGTATACCTCTGTAATGTGTTCTTACATATATTTTAGGAATAAAATAGTTTTTCTACTATTATTACAGTATTATTGGGGGGCATTTGACAAGCTACAGGCTTCCTGTTCCAATCAAGGCCACTAGAGATGATGTCCCAGAGATAAATTCAAATGTTGTTCTGTTAAACTCAGCCATCACATGGTAAACTATGCTGATATCATGACCTACACCAATCCACATGCTAACATTGAGAATACTGTACTATACTCACCTATGTATTAGACTCATGCCACAACTCGGCATTAGTCATCTCTGCTGAGAAAACAAAGGATCTAAATCAGCGCTCATCAAAACAGAAAGCTGTTCATAAGATGTAACTATCTGCTTGAAAACTCTCAGTTCATTTATGTAACCAGATTTAAATACCTCAGCCATGAGATCCCACTGTATGGCCATGTTGTAACCAGACATGGCAGCCCTGAATCTTAATAGGCATAAACATGATGGCAGCAGAAATAACCACTGACATAAAAAAACAAAAAACGTATCGCAACTTAAAAAGATGCAAGCAGCAAAGTCCACCTCTAAATCATCTGGGAAAACCAACCTGTTCCAGCCAAGAGAGAATATGAAGTAAACAGACCTCCCAAATACAAATGAATCTAGCTGCCCAAATTGTAATATCCAAGCTCATACCCAGCAAATCCCCCATGTATTAAAACACATATGGCACACAGCCAGGCACAAGCACACAGCTAACTAAATGGAAGCAAGATGACTAGAGGAGCTGACTAGTTTAAAGGAACTTTAACCCCTAAGAGGGTATCTCTGTAGACCAAAGTGATGCAAACTTGGCATTAGGAAAAGCCACCCTAGCTCACAGTCAGAGCTACTATAATTGAAAGTTAGGGAACATGCAATATGGGTGGTATAAAGCAAATTGTATAATTCATTGTGTCAGTGGACAGGAAGCCAGAGTGAATCCATACACTTTTGGCTTTTATCGAGGTCCTTCCCCCCCATCCCCAAGGCTATTATTACTGACCCCTCCCAGGATGCAACCCCACAACAAGCTGTCTAACTCCTGCTGAGTACCTACTCACTGCTAGGTGAACAGAGACATTAGGTGAAAGGAAATGTACCCAACCATTTCTGTCCCACTTGGAATTTGCGTCCGGAATTCTCGATTGTGCTTCCAGAACGAACCTGACTGTACTAACGGGACCTCAAAAAGCAAGAAAAACGCCACCAGAAAGAATAAGTATAACAAAACAAGCAACTGCTTGATGAAAAATAAGTATCCCATAACTGGTTAGGAGGGCAACTGCAGACCAAGCTCCAGAACTTAACAGAAGAGTCTGTAAACAGTTCAAATGAGGGTGAACTCATTTGAGTTCACCATACATACATAAATGTATGTATGTATGGTTCACTCTATACATAAATGAATGGAGAGTGTAGTAGAATTGCTATCATGGAATCACAAATTAACCTTGACCCACTTTGAAACTGGGCTGTAATGAGCTTGATTTACCAAATCTCCCCCAGAACCTAGTGTGGCAGTACCGGAAGACCCAAAACCTTGGCGAAAAGACAAACTGAAATTGGGTTAAAAATTAATTAGATGGCAAGAAAAGACATCTCGACTCTGTGAAGATAGAGCTCACAAAAAAATCCCTCCTCAGATAGGCCAAGCACCAGGCAAGTGTGTGAAGGGCTGGGCAACACTGGACCCCTAGTTGACTAGCCCTGCCATCTGCTGGCAGGAGGGAAAACATACATGATGGTATTTTGATTTGGGATTGTTTATAATTCATACAAAACATTTATCAACAAGTCTTTTGAGTTTTTGTATCCCTCTTATGACCTTTTCGGCAGAGTTTTCTTGTGTGGTGTCTCTCAATACCCTCAGTTTTCTCAACAATTAAGGATCAGCATTCTGGTACCTTCTTCTGATAGGCTAGGATAAGATGCCTGGTGAGATGGTAATGGCCTAGGGTACCACTGCATAATTTGAAAAGAGCCATCCCAGAAAAATAGAAGGAAAGCTACAAGAAAGAATTTCTTACCAAATTAAGTGTTGGATGGCTGCATTTCAATTCAGAAGGAAGAGGTATATGCACAAAAAGCACAGAAAATTTCAAGAGTAAATAAGCAAAAATATATGGTACACCAAGAGCAGATTTATCCTGTAAATCACAAGTTGGAAGCCCCAGCCATATTTACGCAATTGTTTTTATCAATAAATGTGAAACTTGCTTAAGGTATAAAGAATAGTAAAAATACATCAGCATTTCCTTTAATACACTACGGTGTCTATTATGATAAAAATAGCCATATTCAAGAAATTTCCTTCCACTTCATTTTCCATACCTGCCGAAACATGAGTTTGTTCATTGGAAATGTGACGGTAATGTTGATGAATGCTGCTCCCCAACCACACACAAACTCCCTACCATCATCAGTGAGTGTGGCCACGGGGGGAGCTTGGGAGGTGCTCAGCGAGTCTGGCATCGAAACAGCCGACTTGTCAGCTGGTAGAACAACACCCAGTGATGGAGGCAGGCCGCTGCTGTGCTCCTGCCCTACTATGCTCAAATCCTGGAAGAAATTGGCCTTCATGAAGATTCCTACTAGTTTACTCATCCAATGTAGTGAAAAAAAAAATACAAACTATAACATGCACCCTAAAATGAAATGCCAAGACACTTTCATATACAATACCTTTTTGGTATATTGTACAGTACAGTATATATAAATTTTATTCCACTATAACAAATTATATAAAGGGGATGTTAATATATATTGCAGCAAGTGTGAAGACATAGTACGTACAAGATAATATTCAATCTAAATTTTTTGTGATAAAATTGAACCAGTGTTGGTAAAAAGTTTTTTTTTTTTTTAGAATAAAACCTGGGTAAAACCCAGTGTGAGAGTATGGTCTCTAGATTTTCACAGCTGACTTGAATGGCTCATTGCAGTGCCATCTCTTTTACCTCTGAATGGAAAACTGTCATGTCGGATGTCCCCAGAATGCCCACATAAACAGGAATACAGTACTGTACTGGTATCATACGGAGGCTGCCATATGTCCAGGCAGAAAGTAGATAAAAGGGAAGTTAAGCAAATGCGCCATAGGAAATGAGAGTCAGAAAGTACACAGCTTAAAGATGCAGGCATGGGAAGAGAAGGGATACCAGCGAGGCGGGAGATAAGCTCTGACCTTTGGGGTCAATCTTAACTGTCTCGATGAGGAGCTGTGACATAGTCGCGAAGTGTTCATGACATCACTCTTCTACCCATCATATAAGAATCAATATCATTGGTTCTGGCACCTGTGTTGCACTGCCACTGATTATTTTGTAGACCTGGCGGGTGTACCCAATGAAGCCTCTGCAAGCCCTTGCACCGACATTCTCGTGGGGAATGTTGTACGTGGTAGACGTGTGATTCTAACCTATTAGCCAATAGAGTAGAACACACTACACATTCCTCACCGTCAAATTAAACTCTACATTCTGCTCGATATATTGGCGCTCACCTAGAATCTCAACCATGGCTATATTGTTCAGAAGCCTTCGAGAGTGACAAAAGTCTGCGAATCACCAAAGCAAAACAAACTGGTATCAGGTAACACCTGATGACGGTGAGATCTAGACCGTCTGTGAGTGACCTAGAGTGAACTAAGGAAGTTCCGCCACCTAAGTACTTTGTGCTAACTTATATACAGGCACCTGCATGGTGTAATAACTTAGCCACCGACACCGCCGCCACTCAGTCCAGAGTGAGTAGCCGCCAGTTGCCACTCGCTCTGCCTCACTGTACTACAGTACGTCACGTCACCATCTGTCACACCCTTATTCATGCGCCAGTGCAATCAGGGTCATCTGTCTGTTATAGACATTTAGCACATCCTCCTGCGAGTACCACACCATAGTACTGGCGGCCGTGATTAAGTACGGCCGTGTCGGGATAGCCTGTCATCCTATAGTGTTCTCACGTCGTAATGAGCGAGACCAGCTGTCGGGCCACCTACAAGGTCTTGCATGAATGAGCATGAGTGAGTGAATCAGGAGAGGTAGCCATACATGTAAGTACAAGATTTTGTTTCTTTATTAAGTGTCTTTCTGTATGTTGATCTGAGTGGTCAACAGCAGTTCTCACCTTCTCAACACCTGACACAGGTAGAGGTGGAAAACAACACACGACGGTGTATGCGTGTTTATCTGTGTGGTATCACAACATTACACTTGTCTGCGAATGGTGAGCTTCACATACACCACACATTTAGTGTGTGATATCATTATTGTGCATGATTATTGTCTGTCCCATTGACAATGCCATTGCTGATTTATTATGCATGAGTATTACCTGAGTATCCTGTTTGGAATGCCTGTGACCCTTTGCACACGGGTACTATTATGTACACCGTGTTAGGAATTGGCTGTCAATCGTGTTAAGTTAGGTTTTGTCCACGAGTAGATCGGAATTGGTTAGTTAAACGTCAAGAGTCTGGCTAATGCAATAATAGCCTTGCTGACACCAATCTAAAGTAAATCAAGCACCCATTGTATTAGTGGTTAAGTGTAAATAAACTACTGTCAAGCATTATGCAGTGTTTCCATTCAACCACTTGAGAATACTGTACTGCTAAATTCTTTTCTTTCTTAAGCTTTCAGTCCCAGGTGCCTTCAACACCGAGTTGCCTATTATTCACAAAACTATAAATGTGATGAGAACCCTTGGAGTCCCTTAAAAGTTTTTCAATTCCATTGAGGAGATTCCCACAACCAACATGGATCAGGACCAGGTGAAGCCAGTCAGAGGAGACCATCAAGGACTCTTACTCATCCGTGCTCCCAGGCCCTGTACACTTGCTCTCTTATTTTTGCTGGATTCCAACAGCTTTGTGAGGTGTCTGCCATATGCACATTGGTGACGTTGCATGCAATTGAAGTTGGGATTAAAAGTAGAAAACCCCACACCCAGTTTCCAAGTTTTTCACAACCTTTCAAAGTTTTAATAAATTACAGTATAGAGTATATATATTTTTATTTCTTATTCAATTATTTTCACATATAAAAGTACTTAGAATATATATGGTACAGTACAGTACAAGTGTAATGTGTCAAGTGATTAAAGTAGTGTATAGCACACTGTACTTGTGTTTTCAAGTACAGTATCTGGACTGTAAGCTGTAAATCTGTATTACATTACAGTATAACACCATTTATAATTATCGTAACATTGGCAAAAAGAAACTTTAAGAATTGATGAGAGCTAAGTCAATATACACAAGACAAGTATGATTACGATGAAAAATACAATGTTCAAATATTCAAGGTATAGTACCTAGCCTCTGAGATTTCTTAATACTAAGCTTCTGAATTATATGAATAGAGATATATACTACCCTCTATTGTAGCCTTTATATTTTTGGTTTAAATATTTGTTGTTTTTTCAAAGTGAATTTTTTTTATTATTTAAAAGAACTATCAAATATTAATTTACTTTTCCTAAAACTAAAGACAAAAATACTATGCAGTATGTATGTTGAAGATTACAGAAGATTATGGAAACCATGAGTAGCCCTACAAAATTTGTGCTGCAAATGGTGCCAGTAATGTGCCATATAATCAAAGTGTGCAAGCCCCAAGCCCCACAAAGTGAGCAAGCCCCACACAACCAACTTGAACATCCCCCAACCACAGACTTAAACAGAGATCAGATGACCTTTGAAATACACATAAGGCACTGCACCTAGGTGGGCTGTCATTGAAAAAGCAAACCCCTGAACACACCAGAGAAGAAACTCTACTCAATGCAAGGGCAATGCAAGGGCAATGCTGAACGAACACCCAGGGAAGTAACTGCTGGATGCATGCAGTTCGGAGTACAATAAGCCAAGTTCACACAGCAAAACTGGACAGAAAAACATGCTCGCAAAACAAATACTATAGTGGAATTATACACTACAGCAGCAAAAGAAGGATGTCCAAGTCTTAGGATGTTCAGCACTTAACTTGGCAGCTCCCAGTGCTTCTATGAGAGATGGCAACTAAGGGAAACTACTGTGTTGTAATAGATAACACATCAGCGGAAGACTGATGTGCGTGTTGGCACTGAACCGAGCTTTGTGCCGTCTGCTGGCGGCATTCAGTAAAAATTTGGTTCTAACTAATTTCAGTTGATTCTTTTGTTTAGACTGATTCACTTGAGGAGTTTGGTAAATTTAAAAAACACTACTGTATAAACATTACCTGATCACTATAGAACATAATCAATACAGGTACCAGGAACTTACATAGTGCAATATTGTACAACACTGATCCAGAGTCTTGTGGATAAACACTTTAGCCAATTTTCAAAATGGTTAAATTTCAGTTACTTGGATTGAGAATGGGCTAACATGCACAATCCAGGTCAATCCTCAAGTCTACTGCACACCCAGCAGTAAGTCAAGCATTCACCAATTTTCATTTATGCATACTGTAATTGCAAATCACAAGCATTCAAGGTCTTCATTATGTGATGAATTTGTGGCTGGAAAGTAGAGGGAGCATTAAATATTGATGTTAAAATAGGGGTTTTTGCCAAGGGTGAAAAATTATGGACTTTTAAGTCTTTGTAGCCTATCCCCTTTTATTTTTGTATTACTGCAGTTTACATTTGTATACCGATTCCTCATTTGATTATATATCACATGAAAAATATGTACTGTACATTTTTTGTTTGATATTGGCTACCATCACAGCAATGTTGATGAATGCTATAAGGACTGGTGTCCACTGCCCAGGTCATAAGTTGGCCTGGGGAGTGGACAATATGGGTCGAGATATGACTTTTTGTGTATTTTCTACGCTTCTGAATACTGATTTATTATTTCATAAGAAAAACAAGTAAAATAATTATATTTTTTGTTCACAGGCAGGGTGGCAAATTTTACAACAGCTGCACTTAAAGGGTTAAAATCTTGTCTTGCAACCTTTCTGTTCCCGATTTATTTTTATAATATTCCGCACAGCCATATGAATCTGCCATTGCTTTCTGGGGCTTGGGCAGGAATGGATCTATATCACAGCTATATTTGCTTATAGCGAGAAGAAATTTTGGGAAGATGGGTCGCCAACAAAATCCTCGCACCCCTACAATACAGTGTTGCACAGTAGGGTCCCCACATCCCAATTTAAAATAAAAATTACATTTCATCTCACTAGATAAACATTTAAGGAATGGTAAAGAAATATTATAAACTAGAAACTATTCTTTGGCTATGTAATTTGCCTACAGCACATAACATTTCAGCATACCTAACAGTTGCTTACCATTACTATGAGAGTGTGAGTAAGTTGTCGGGCACTAATTAGAACATCAATCCATACTGAAAAAGACAAAGCAGTATCAAAATTATGTAATGTTTCTATATTTGTAGTAAATGTTTTGTAATCTATTCTTACCATGACACTCAAGCTACATTTTTGGAATGCCTGAGCATTTTTTAAGCAATTTATACCCATTCATTATTTTAAAAATAGATATTCTAGCTTCCTTCCACAAAATGCTTTTACACTGGTCTTGTCATTAAATTCATGTGTATATCAAGTGTCATTAGTGAGCAGTAATTCCTATTCTAGCAAAATGGCCAAGCATAAGTTAACTATATACCCTCTATCCCCATAATTTTTCTACACAAAATTTTCCAGCCTATGTTATTTATCCAGCAAGAGATGGACTTCCTAAAAGATCTCATTTTAGACAGCTATGACCTGATACCAAAATACAATACATACAATACATACAATATTTGATGAAACTTAAGAAGCTGTACTGTGTTCTTTATGCAATTTGTTTTGTTTGCATAACTGGACTGTAGCAAAACCATCTGATCTAACTTGAACCATTTTAACTTAATCTTGCCAAAGACAAACAAGAGATAATCAATATTAAATATATATACTGCATATATATATTTATTTATTTTTGTAGCTTTATCAAGTTTACTATATTTTAATTGTAAATAATTATCTATTCTGGTTTATCCCCTTTTCTTAATCAAAAGTATTTATGCAATAAAAATAGATCAAGAGTAATGAAATGCTCCATTGCAAGCAACATCTTGGATGAGAGGAAATGTCAACACTGTGGAGAAATGCCCGACAGACCACTGGAACATTATCTAACACAGTGCACAGTTACAAACCCATTAAGATTTCAACTTAGATTCAACAGAGCAGAAGAAGTTGTTAAACACACATGGCAAAATCTTACTGAAGCGACCATACGAGTCATAAATACTCATACTCCGCCCAAGTAAAACAGAAACAAGCAACACTTAGTGGGCCAGCCAGAAGCTTAGGGCCCGCGCAGGAATATCCCTGCAAAAAAAAAAAAAAAAAAAAGCTCCCCTTGGCTCTCTCTCACTAATTATTACCACACTAACTAGTCATGCAAGGTACCTGTGAGATCCCACCCACTGGAGACAAAGACCTCTGAAACCCCCAATGCCTCCCCTGCCGCTCTATGAGACAGGGAGCATATGGGGATCATAGATCATCACTCATGAGAAATGTTTTGACAAGTGCAAAACTATAAAAATAGAATTCACAACAACCACATCAACCTATTTCTCTCTCCACAAAAGGTAGCAGCCTGGCTCATGCTGGGTCTGGGTAAAGAGACCATTCCACTTTCTAGCTCAACCTATTGCAATATGAGGTGGGAGAGACAGAGCAGGAACAAGGAGCTACTAAGGTATTGCCCAGTAAGGAGCATTTCATTATATTTAACAATATTTCTGGGCAGCCTCCCACAGTAGATGTGCTCTGTGTCCTCACAATAGCACCTGGCAGCAAGATCCTAAACATTATACCCCAAGATAAACAGAAAACAACAAGACAATAAAATAATGGATGGTTTTACCATAGGCAGAAGAAGCCTTGACTACAGAACCACATGAGTAGCTGGAGCACAGACCATAAGTACAAGTGATGTGTTCAAGTGCCATACATCTTCAATGCATGGACAGAAAGAGCAAGCAGCAGTAGAGGAGTCTTGTGTCACCTACAGACAACACCAGGGAGGATTTAACATAAAAGTAAATCCCTGACATAAGAAACTATGCCTCAATAACCAGAGTCCCATATACGGATGCTGACAATGACCTTTACAAATGGGAATGGAAGAAACTACAATTGACATGAGAACCAGATGTGAGGACCATAGGAAAAGCCTTCAAGAGCATGCAATCCTTCGTAGGAGACATTCAGGTTTGGAGTGACTTTATCACACTAAAGTGTGTTTAGCACCAGTCCACAAATACTCAAATTTCATGCAACATTTAATGTGTTGACAATTGTTTATCAAATAAATATCTAGGTACAGAAAAGGAAATAAGGATTGATGTTAGCTTATGTGTCAAGGCAAGCTGAGGTAGAACATGTTAAAATAAATTGTAAAGCCTGAACAGCACAGCTGACTAAAATTACTTAACTGACACTTGATTAATACCTGCCTCATTAGCACTTCAGGAACTGTGTGAACATACAGGATCACCTCTATTAGTATCCAGAAATCATTGTCTGAACTACTATTTGCATGTAAATGATGATACAGGTACTAGGAGAACTGTATCCATGGAATTAAATACTGTACATGTACATGAATAAATTGTGTAGAAACTAAATGTGTTTGCTCTCACTTAATAATTCCATAAAGAGTCCCTCATTTCACCTGAAAGGGTGATGATGGGAAAATACAAGTGCTTGGTTACAGGGTACAATGAAGTTTTACTAATACAGTCTCTACAGTTCATTCTCAACTGGCCACAACATTACGGATGAATTTGCAATCAGAGATCCTGTATGCACACTTCATGCTATTGTTTCCTTAGTAGGAACTACAGTGATTACAAGCATACTGAACTCAATGGCAATCATAGGAGTGGTTTGCACATTCAGCTCACATTGGAATGGTCCTCAAGTCGATTCCTACACAGGATGCGACATTTAGGATGTGTCCCTTTACTGGATTTCTTATCTCCTAGTTAGTTAATAGTTGCCTAACCCAATAGTTAGGCAACTGTTTCAGGTTGCATGGGCTGAAAATGGTCAGTTGCTGGCCTATGAGGTACTCAATTAACATAACAAAATTTCCTATTTCTGGCAGCAGAAAAAACCATGTTTTATATAGAGGAATGGGATGTTGTACTGTACTTTGAATACAGACACATGGGATTCCCTACTGTTTATCTCCAGCACAGGACCAACATACGAATATTGTTTGCCCCCATGTACCAGTTTCCAAATTGTGTAGTGCTTCACATATCCCACATTTTCTCAGTCCTCCAATTGGAATGGGGCTTTATTTTTTAGGTAATCCTTAAATTACTCCCAAGAAGGCTGGGCGTTCCCTGTTAACTACAGTATACAGTTCTTGACATCTTGGACAAGCATGGCAGGGCTTGGCTATGTTGTCAGGTGAGCTTGGTTTAGGCAAGTAATATTGTACTTTTCCCTGTATATTACTATCTTGCAAGTTATATATATTATAAGTCAAGGAAATTGTCAAAAATCAAATTACAATGTTGAAATAAAATAAAATTTGCAAAAGGATTGCAAAACATTATTGTAAACTTGTATTATGGGTTACATAAGGTTACAAAATTTGTATGCAAATTGGTGTAAACAGTGGCTTGTGTCCTATAAAAATGACCAATGGAACTCTCACATGGGGCAACATTTAATTCAAGCTCAACAAGCTTGAAAATTCAAGCTTTTTCTGCTTGTTGGTCAGAAAACAGAAGATGGAACCGCCTACCGTCCACAGCTGCAAATGCCAAGACGGTACACTGCACTTAACATTCTGCTCGTTACAAAAAAAAAAAACTTATTACCACAAACTATTTTCACTAACCTCCTGGACGCCCAAAATACCCTGTAACTCAGGTGTCGCCTTATAAGGGTGAAGAGTTCAGCGCAAACTAATCATATTGCTGCGCACGTCAGCCACAGTGGTTGAGTAAGGAGAGAGGAGGAGGAATGGTGCCTGGCTTGGTGAGTCAGTGTGAGGCAGCTGGTGAGTCGCTGTGTCTGCAGCAGCCGGCGAGTCAGTCAGGGGCAGCTGATGAGTCAGTCAGGGGGGCAGCTGATGAGTCGGACAGGAGCAGTTGTTGAGGCAGTCTTGATCAGTTGATGAATCAGGAAGAGTAGGTCAGTCACTAGGGTGAGTCTCAGCTGTTGCGTCGGCTGCTGCTCACAACAATGGCAACCTCACCTACTCCCTACAAGCCATATTTATATATACTATGCTATATATATATATATCACAAATATGCTATACTAACACGTGTTTGTGTTTATAACGGAGACCACAATTTACGAGCAAAGGATCTTTGTTTACTTATTGCTTTACGCGTGGGTGCGTAATTTGGGTTATACAGGTGTGTGTAGTCCAGCGCGCCTCTCGCCATTCATAACTACAGCTACACGAGCTGGCACACCCCTAGCACCTGCTCCTCTCTCCTCACCCCGCGTGTAGCTATATATATTCCTAGAAGTAAACTCAGATAAAAAGTGTATCACGCTTCTCCAGATATTTTTTTTCTCTGCAGGGATATTTATAGTGTAGTTCATGTTAAATAATCGAGTGGACTCGCTTAATTGTGCTTGCTTTTGAGTTTCGGCTCTGTGGCCCCTAAGTCAACTGTCAATCAACCGGTGTACAGATTCCCGAGCCTATTAGGCTCTATCATATCTACATTTCAAACTGTGTATGGAGTCTACTTCCACCACCTCATTTCTTATATAATCACACACACACACATATATATATATATATATATATATATATATATATATATATATATATATATATATATATATATATATATATATATATATATATATATATATATCAATTTTATCTTCTGATTTTTGTCTGTAGGGATAAGGTTCCTAATCAACAATATCTTTCAGGACCCTTTCCTCCGTTTTATGAGCTGTGGAAAAAAAGTTCCTGTAAAATAGTCTAATAGAGGGTACAGGTGTTGTGTAAGTTGACTCTTCAGAGGTTGCATGGCGTTTCACTTTCCTTTTTATGATGTCTTTAACGAAACCAACAGATTGGTAAACAGATTGATCGAAACTGTGAACGTCAAGAAATCCAGACTCCATCTGCCAAAGATTATTGGGGAATACAAACCTAGGTATGTCAAGACACACAAGCCTGGAAACCCACTTCAGCCAATCATCAGCCAGATACCCACACCCACATACAGACTGGCGAAGCGACTCAACAGCTTGCTGACTCCTTATGTACCTTGTGCTTTCAGCCTGAAGTCTCCAAAGGAATTTGTTGACTTACTGCGGGGAACACGGGCCACAGGGATAAGAGCCTCGTTAGACGTAGATTCACTGTTTACCAACGTACCTGTGGATGAAACAATCGGGATGATAGTGGACAGAGTGTATCGTGATCTGGCCTGTACTCCTCTTGACATACCAGAAAACATTCTAAGGAAACTACTCCAAGCTTGTACTAAAGAGGCAGCCTTCTTGAGCCCGGATGGGCACATGTGGGATGAGCAAGTAGATGGGGTCGCCATGGGTTCTCCCCTAGGTGTCCTGTTTGCAAACTTCTACATGGGTACCATCGAACAGAAGGTCTTAGTTGACATGAACTTGAAACCTGCCATATATTGCAGGTATGTTGACGACATTTTTACACAGGTACCTGATGTCAGACGTCTGCAAGAGCTGAAGGAGGCATTCGAGCTGAATTCTGTATTGAGTTTCACTTACGAGATGGAGAAGGATGGGAAGCTGCCCTTTCTAGATGCAACAGTCATGGAAAGGAGCAGAGGTTTCCACACTGCAGTCTACACTAAGGAAGCAAACATAGGAATGTGCCTCAATGCCAGCAGTGACTGCCCAGACAGGTACAAGAGGAGTGTTGTCAACGCTTACGTCGACCGTGCTCTCAGCCACAGCTCAGGATGGAAGGAAGTCGATGAAGAACTCTGATAGGGTAAGGCAGGTCCTAGTCAACAATGGCTTCTCCAATGGTTTCGTTGAAGACATCATAAAAAGGAAAGTGAAACGCCATGCAACCTCTGAAGAGTCAACTAACACAACACCTGTAACCCTGTAACCCCTATTAGACTATTTTACAGAACTTCTTTTCCACAGCTCATAAAACGGAGGAAAGGGTTTTGAAAGATATTGTTGATAGGAACGTTATCCCTACAGACAAAAATCAGAAGATACAATTGACGATTTACTATAAAACCAAAAAAAAACGGCCAACCTACTCATGAGAAACTCTCCAGACACAAAGCAGAACGCCTTATAGGAGACCAACGTCGTCTATGCCTTCAACTGCCCACTTGGGGACTGTAAGCCCCAAAGAACTCAGTATATAGGCAAGACAACAACATCTCTTTCCAGGCGATTAACAATGCATAAGCAACAGGGCTCCCTTAAGGAACATATAATCTCTTCCCACAACCAGACCATCACCAGAGAAATCTTAACAAACAACACAGAAATCATCGATAGATACAGCGATAGCAGGCGGCTTGACATCTGCGAGGCACTACACATCAAGAAGTCAACACCAGCAATCAACAGCCAATTAATGCACAACTATATTCTACCCACTTCAAGACTCCGCACCAATATAGAAGCATCAAGAAATATGGGCCAATAGGCCCTTTGCAGTTACTTCCATCCTTCCCTTTAATTTACCCAATTTATACCCATTGTTTCATTTGTAACGGTTCTATTGTTACGTAAAGTATGGTGACAAATAAACACAGACACTAAGATACTATATATATATTTGGTCGAATATACAGAAGTACACAGGTGATACGTTGGTGTGAGTTGAGCACACTGAGCGTTGGTACAGTATCTCGCAAGTGTCTGCTCTAGACCACACTTGAAAGTAGACTAGCCAATGTTCGCTACACCGCTGCTTATATGCCCAGGCAACGCCTCACCTCATTCATCTCCAAAGGTTGACAGGAATATTAACACTATATTTGGAGCGAGTATATTATTGGGATAATCTACTCGCTACACATTAATGTAGATGAGAAAGAGGAGAGAGCCAAGTATGCTGCCCTGTGGAACAGCAATGTTTATGGGTAGTGTAGGAGAAATGAAATTATTCACGGAAACATACTGGAGTATTTATTACCAAACAAAAATATAGAAAGTTTTGTCTATGTTAAGGGTGAGTTTGTTAGCAGTTAACCAAAGATATACTTTATTTAGTTCAGTATTCACAGTGATATTTAGAGCAAGAGGGTCAGAACTGGAGAAAATGAAAGTTGTGTCATCAGCAAATAAAATTGATTTGAGGTGTTCAGAGGCATTTGGAAGGTCATTAATGTAGATGAGAAAGAGGAGAGGGCCAAGTATGCTGCCCTGTGGAACAACAATGTTTATGGGTAGTGTAGGAGAAATGGAATTATTCACAGAAACATACTGGAGCCTGTCAGTAAGGTAAGACTGAAGGTAATGAAGGGAGTGACCTCTGACTCCATAATGATGTAATTTAAGAAGGTTTTGGTGGTTGAGTGTCAAAAAGCCTTACGTAGGTCCACAAGTAATCCAAGAGGGATTTTTGTCGAGCTGTATGCATCAAGTTAATCATACTAATAAGTGCATCGTTAGTGCTTTTATTGGGTCTGAAACCATATTCTACAAACAGCTAGTTCTACATTGTATAATCTTTCATATAGAATAGGGTAGCAGTACATTGCTGTATTGGTGATTGAGGGGCCGCAGGGGCGACGACGACCGAGGGATCGGATGCGCTCTACACATTGTTGTGCTACACTTTGATCTAATTTAAAAATTTAAATTTAACATTGTTGTATGTACCTCAGCATGTTAATACAAAATAAAAAATCGTGTTAAATTGACGAATGCATTTTTGGGGTCGGCTTGGACAAATATTTTAACCTAAGGATGGGTGCGAATAAGTGCCTTATACTCTACATAATAGAGATACATTTAAATTGTTTTCTCATTTAAAAATTTGAATTAATACAAATATATTATATGACTAAGTGTTAATATCTTGCAAGTGTTTTAAATAAAGAATTAGTAAGGTGGAGGGTTTCGGACAGGTTGCCAGAAGTAAACAAGGCTCCGGGCACAACATTCCTGCTCGAGAATTACTGGAGGGAGATCTGAGTCGCCCAGTTCACTGCTTCGTAACTTTCTCGACATATCGGGTAATAAGAATAAAAGTAGTACGTGGGAAAATAACAGGAAAGAAGAAGACTATTCAGATAGGTTTGTTTACTTGAGGTACGGACTTCCAGGTAATATTCAAGGAAGGTAACAGACACCCCAATAAAACAATGTATAAAAACCGTTGATATACTCTTAAAACACAAGATATTATGTTTCCCGCTCTGCACTTCTTACACTATACTACTCGCTAAGCTATCCCCATCTAACATACTGAATCTGTGCATGGGGTTCAACCGCTGCAAACTACCTCAAGCCCAGCATCATGCAGCGAAAATCTGCTATCTGAATTTACTAACTAGTGGCATCGATGAGGACAAAAAGACAGCGGCTTCTTAAAAGTACCCCTATTTCCCCTGATGATTTTTTTTCCAGCTTGATTTTAAAATTCAACAGTTTTGGCATTTAATGCATCTGCAGGCAGACGGTTTTATGGGTTTATGACCCTGTGGGTGAAAAAGCATATCCTGTTTTCAGTACTATACAGTACTGTAGCTTATTGGGGTTGAAACCATTTCTCCTTGTTGGTGTTACATCTAACCTTTTTAAGATATTGTCTGGCTCGACATCCTCCAAATTATTCAGTACTGTGCTGTATTTAAAAAAAAATTATTTTCTTTTATCTATACAGTATATACAAGAGTTCTTACATTTTTGTACAGCCACTAGTACGTGTAGCATTTCGGGCAAGTCCTTAATCCTATGTTCCCTGGAATACGACCCCTGCAAAGAATCGTTTTTACAACCAAGTACCCATTTTACTGTTGAGCTAAACAGAGGCTACAGTTAAGAATTTACACCCAGTAAATCCTCCCCGGCCAAAATACGAACCCAGGACAAAGCACTCGTGGAACGCCAGGCGAGCGTCTTGCCACTACGCCACGAAGACTGCTAACATATCGATGAGATCCACCCTGTCATGCCTGGTTTGCAGTGTTGTTAGCCTTGTGGCCATCAACTGTTCCTGGTATGAGAGTTGACTTGGTTCAGTAATGATTTTTGTTGCCCCGTGTTGCCCCAGTTTCAATGCAATTGTGTCTTTTTGAAGATGAGGTCTCCATGCTTGGATACAATAATCCAAGTGATTTATACAGTTGAATAACTACCTTCCTTTCCTTAAAATCAAAGGCATGCTTCATTATTCCTTGGGTTATATTACGTTTGTTTACTACCACCCTAAAAGCATCTGCCAATCTTCTGACCATTTGTGGAGTTCATTTAGATATCTTCATAAGGCCTCAATATCATTTTCACTTCCCAGTCTACCATAAATCTTGGTGTCATCTGCAAATTTGATGGTGTGGTTTGTAATATTCTCATCTGTCAGTGGTGTAGTATATGACAACAAAGGGTTGGTCCCATATGGTACCCTGCTCATCACATTTCTCCAGTCAGATTCATTCCCATTTAATTTGACCCATTGCTTTCTTTGTTTTAACCATTGTTTTATTCATTCTGGTAATCTACCATTTATTCCATGTGCCATTAATTTCCTTGCTAGTCTTTCATGTGGTATCATATTGAAAGCTTTAGCCAAATCCATGAAAACTACATCTACCAGAAGTCCTTTGTGAGCAAGTTTGTAAGGCAGGATCTATAACAAACTCTGTTTTCAGACAGCACACAGCCACTCAGTATTTGATTATTTAAAGTTAGAAGCAAGTTAGAAAGGGGTAATTTGACTTAAAATCTAGCCACAGTATACTGATTATTGTTTGGTTGTGTTTTTGAGATGTACTACAGTACTTGGTTTTAGTTTGAACTGTTTGCTCCTGGTTCTATTCCCATGCAGGGTGATACACTAGAGCATGTTCCATACACCTAATGCCTCTATATACTGGGGCCTCGGGGGCCTGGTGGATAGCGCGCAGGACTCGTAATTCTGTGGCGCGGGTTCGATTCCCGCACGAGGCAGAAACAAGTGGGCAAAGTTTCTTTCACCCTAAGTGCCCCTGTTACCTAGCACTAAATAGGTACCTGGGAGTTAGTCAGCTGTCACGGGCTGCTTCCTGGGGTGTGTGTGTAGTGTGGGAAAAAAAAAAAAAGTAGTTAGTAAACAGTTGATTGACAGTTGAGAGGCGGGCCGAAAGAGCAAAGCTCAGCCCCCGCAAAAACACAACTAGTAAACACAACTAGTAAACACTAATATAGTAATACATAGGTACAGTTCATGGATATTCAAGTAGCCTTACTTTTACCTACAGGATGCACTTAGCTTTTGTAACTTGGGTAAGTCCCCAGTCCTCGAACAATTAAGAAAGTTGACATTATCGGAGGAATAATTCCCCCCCCCCCCCAAAGATATGATATAGATTAAAAATGAGAACCAGATGTCACTGGAATGGCCACTACATTCAAAACCCAAGGAACACAAATATCATAATTTGTTTTGCTAATGGAAGCTTTGCTTTTATTTCAGGAATACTGTATGGATAACATTTTTTCAGATTACTGACATGGAATTAAACTTGACACGTGTGGATTACGTACAAGTTGGATTGACCTCTCCACGATGTTTACGTGTCGTTCCTAATAGTGCTCCAAGAACTCAACAGAAGGTAAAGTACTTATATATATTCTATTGAATATTTATTTAAAAATTTTAAAATAAAGTTGGCATAGAGTATGGTAATGTTTAACAAAATAAACTAGTGAATATATAATAAATTCTGTTTACTGAAATATAATTTTTTTTCTTGCACCACTAAAGGAATTTTTGCAAAACCACTCTGAAAACTTTTGCTCTTTGAATAAACTAAGGATCACAAAGAGATTGAAAATTTAATATGAAAACATTATGGGTAAATGTAGTGAATGATGCACTGGTACACAGAGGACAAAATTGTGCATACAAAAGGAGTTAGGTATTCTGTTTTTAAGAATATTGTTTACATTGATATACGTTCCTGGAATTCCCATGTCATATCTCCCTCAGTCATCCAGTTTTTATTTTGTTTATATACTGTATACCAGTATATACAGTACAAGAGGTCTTAAATTCTTGTACAACCACTAGCATGCATAGTATTTCGGGCAAGTCCTTAATCCTAATGTTCCCTGGAATACGACCCGCCAAATCATTTAACAACCATGTACCCATTTTACTGTTAGGTAAACAGAGGCTACAGTTAAGGATTAGTGCCCAGTAAATCCTCCCCGGCTAGGATACGAAACCCAGGCCAAAGCGCTCACGAAATGCCAGGCAAATGTCTTGCCACTTCACTATGGGGACTGCTTATTTATGCCTTACTTTGTAACCAGATTTATTCTGAAATAAATAGATAACCAAACTATTTATTTCAGAAAACAAGTTGCATTCCCTCTAGTTTATATAATTTCATGAATATTAATTCATTTTCTTAGTACTGTTCTGACTTGAATTAATCAATATAAATGAATTCAAAATAACCCACATTTCCATATAGGTAGTAGTGGGAGATCATGATGGTGTGGTTCAACTCTTCACCATGAAGCGAGGAGAAATGCAGCTTGGTTTTAAGGCATACGCTGGAAAGAGCATTACCCGATTAGAGCTGGGTGGAGCTTTGGGTAATTTTTAATATGCTTTCTTGTGTCTGATATATTTTTGATGTCAAAATAATGTTTGGTACTGCATTTTCTTTTAGCATTACAATATATAAAATTAAATTTTTCTCTACACAGGAACGATAAAAGATAAAATATTTTTATCATCTGGCAATGAAGTAAGAGGATATACAAAGAAAGGAAAGCAGTTCTTAGGCTTTGACACAAACCTAACTGAAGAAATTAAATCCATGTAAGTTGAAGATGATCATGAAATCCTTTAAATAAATTGGCTTTGAGTTATGAAAGGTTTTTGAAAATCAATTGTGTATTACTGTATATCCCCAAAAATACTTTATACAGTATATTCTCGTATAATTCTTTTTGCGAGGAATGAGCTCCTAATTACTGGATCCACACCTCTTAACCAGTTATTGACTGGTGTGATGACTTCATAACCTCATGGATTTTGTCATATGTTGTTAAATTCATGTTAGAAGTTAACCCACACATTTTGCTCTCCTCTTGCTCTCCACTCATAATCCCATCACAATGAAGAAATTTCTATTTTGGTATATCTGTGGTTCATGTGTGTTCATTGTCAATTTGCCTCCCCTCTTATATAATACATTGATCAACAGGCACATCAGTGGTAGTGATCTACTAGTTTGTGGTGACTACGTCTACAACCATTACCATGACTGCCAAGATTCAAATTATTTCTTAGCTGCTGATAAAATAAATGATGTGATCACATTACCTGTGGAAAAGGTAAGTGTAGTAGAGAAAGTAAGTAATTATCAACAGTAGGCATGAAGCCAGGGAGAGCACCACTAGTGTTACTAGCTATTCAAAAGGTGCTAAAGTTCAGTAGAGATATTTAATTAAATGGTATATTTTGCACCATTCTATTTTGTATATTAATAATATAATAATGTACCTTAATTTTTATTTGAATTTCCTAAATACTTTTTATTCATTTTACTAATGATTCCTAATTCTGATAGAATTATTAAAATCAAGAAATGGTGTTTGGAATAGGGTGCAGTATCTTATGACTACAATATGGAATATTACTTCACTCGGACCACATTCATGGGCATTATCTAAACAACTGTGTCCTGAGCATAAGGACCAATCCTAGGTATAACGCCCGATACCTCCTGAGCATAAGGACCAATCCTAGGTATAACGCCTGATACCACTTTTGTGACTTGAGTATTAGGTACCAGTACTGTATATCTATACCAGATATAATTGTCATGCCATTCAACTCTTACTAGGGATGCATTTCAAGTTTGACCATGAAGGGAGGGTCTTCTTGGAGTTTGTACAATTTGATGTCAGTTTATTCAATGATTGCTAGCTGATTGCAATAGTGGAAGACGACTCGGGAATAATTGACAAATGAATAATCAGATGGGTTCAGAGTAAGTTGATGTATACTGTATACATATACTGTATGCTTTATATATTGTATCTTGATTTAATGAACAATGCTACATAAAAAACAAAAGGGCTTGAGTTTACATTACAGTACTTGGTGAATCAAAACATTTATGCAAATTAATGCTTGGCACTGGCAGTTGCAGTTTAAACCCACACAATAGTACACTTTCAGATAGGACTTCCTTGGGTATAGGCATTGGGAATATGAATAATAATATCGAGCACATAAATATATTGTAAATCTAGGATTGCAGCATCTGAAACATTTGTAAATACATGGGTTGAAATCAATCATATACAGTAATAAAATGTATTCGCTGGTAAGGTGGGAGCTTGACTCGTGAACATGAAAATTCTCTCGCTTACTTTTGGAATGTTGGATTAATCTGGTTAATTTTGCATAATTTGATGCACACAATTTCAATTTAGTATTTTATTTAACATAATGAGTAAAAGTACAGCTATGTAAATGAAATTCCTCTTTTATATTAAGTATGAATCATTATTCTTTTGTATCCTTTTTAATACAATCAACAGATGAAGTGCTTGATACCCATTCTGGCATGTGAAGATCGCTTGCTTCGAGTTATGAGAGATTCTGAGGTGTTGTACTCTGTGGAACTTCCTTCTCCACCATCTAGCCTCCAGCTCTTCTACAATGATGGAGGTGAAAATGGAGATCAGTTGTTATATGGCACATCTGATGGAAAAATTGGTCTAGTACAACTAGGAAGGTAAATAATGATGATATTTAATATAGTTAACTGTTTACAAGTAGTTATTTTAAATACTTGGACAAATTAAAGTAAAAGAGCAACATATTAACCCCTCCTACATGATCATCATAGCTCACTCTTTGACTTGCCTTATAAGCAAATTTATGTTGGCACAGCCCTCGCACCAAATGACCCCCTCGCCCTTGCCTGTTTCTCTCCCAGTATGCACAAAATGCAAGAAGACTTGGTTAACACTGTTTCTTGCATTTTCTTTACTTTTTACATGCAAATGTAAAATTTTATAAGGACTATTCTTGGTTTTCACATGGGCCAGAGAGGTACAGTACCTTTAATAATTACCACACCTTAGAGGTTAAAGAATTAATTTACTGTATATTCAAAATGTACATTTAGCTAAAGAATAAAATCAGTGTATTGTGAGGGGGTCATTTATGTACAGTATGTGTGCTATTACAAAGAAAATCTAAGAAACGTTTCCTTGTATTTTAAGATGGTAATTGTGTAAATCAATTTACTAATATTTTTTAGGGGCTCCGCTAATCATCGTTGGGTTTGTGAGAATGGCAGTGGTGTGGGTAATAGCAGCACTTCAAGGCATGGTGGTGTTACATGCATGGATCACCACGATATAACAGGAGATGGAATACGTGATCTCATTGTTGGAAGAGATGATGGAAGTGTTGAAGTTTATTCTTATGAAGATGGAGATGAATCGGAACCAACGCTAAGATTCTCCATGGTAAGCGAGACTTCTTTTTTTTAATTTAATTTATCTGTTCTCATAGATGTATAAAGAGCATAAGTACCCGACATGTAAACCCCAAAAAAAATCCAGCCTGAGTATGGTGAGAAGCTTGGTTCTAGAAGGTATGGTCCCTGCATCATTGCTATTCATCCTTGTGGAAGTCACAGACAGGAATGACAGCAACTGTTTTGTGTCAGCTCTTGCTGATGACACCAAAATATGTATGAAAATTGCCTTGGAAAAAGATTTAGAAAAATTACAATCGGATATTAAAATTTAATCCAAATCTTAAAAAAAAAGAAAGTGCAGGATGCAAGACGGTCAGATCTCAAAGAAAGAAGCGTTCTGCTACCTCTTGGTGAGCAGTATGGGTAATTAGAGTAAATGTTGTTGTTTAACCATTGCCAACTATTGGTTTGTGTTACCATTTTAAGTTCTTTTCACTTAAAATGTTAGTGAAAATGTTAGTATTTGTTTGTTGATATATTTGCCCTAAAGTGTGATTTGCCTTGGTTGTAAGTTGATCTCTGATTGCAATGCTTTCCTTGCTTCTTTGAGAGGGCTGTATTATGGTACTGTGTTCTCCTAGGCTCGGGGAGCTTCTGAGAGCTTTGCACAGAATGGGGTATTTCATTACAGCTAATACTTTGTTTGGGATAAAAAGACTGATGGTTGCCATGAAGTCATCAGTCTTTAGACTGTTTGCTTTTATTTGCAGTGATTATGAAAAGCTTGTCCTATCTATTATCATTTGCAGAGTCTATCTGGATATATAAATGTTGGGGAATTTTTTTTCTTTTTTTCTTTTTTAAACAGAATTCTTTGCAGATTAAAAATTTTCACAAATGCTGGGCAAATGGATACAAGGATCCTATCAATAGTTGCATGGCCTCTTGTGAATAGTGATAGATACTGTTGCCTGTTTGTCGTTCACTTTCCTCTATTTGTCTCTCTCTTTTCTGTATACTCATATAACACGTATTATATTTTAGGCATGCAGTGAAAGTGTTACATCTGTGCAGGGTGCAGTTGTGGGAAATGCTGGATATGATGAAATTGTTGCTTCAACATATACCGGTGAGCTACTATTACATTACTGTACTACTTAAAGCACTGGAATTCTACATCTTTTGTTTTCCAAGTTATTGGAGAGCATCACTAATAATTTTTTGCAGTTATTTCAGTGACAAATTATCAATATGTTGTTATTGCAGTGACATTATTTAAATAGAGGGGTGTCAGGTCCTCTGACTATAATTCACTTCTCTTACACCTGATGATTACTGCTGGGTAAAGTCGGGTAAATTCATCATGACTCTGGAAATACTGTACAGGCATCTACACAATAGCTGACTATCACTTTTTTAGGCTGACCTGCTTTTTCTAGTAGTACCATTAAATTTTTTAAACATTTTATTTATGTTGAAAACAAGAAATAAATATCGGTAATAGCTTTTAAGTCTTCTTTGAATTATATAAAACATCTTGAGGTTATCTTGAGTTGATTTCAAGGTTTAGCGTCCCTGTGGTACGGTCCTCGCCCAGGCCTCCTTTTTTGTTACACATCCCCAGGAAGCAACCTGTAGCAGTTATCTATTTACTGCTAGGTGAACAGGTGCATCAGGGTGAAAGAAACTCTGCCCATTTATTTCCGCCTCCACCAGGGATTGAACCGGGAACCTTAGGACTATGAATCCCGAGTGCTGTCCGCTCAGCTGTCTGGCCCCTCATGGTTTAGGTAACTCCATACAAGGTCGTAAGTGTTTACAAAAAAAAGAATATTAATACACAACAACCAACTAGCATAACTGCTATATAATTAATATTTTACAGGTCCAGTACAAAATGTTTTTTAATTTTGTATATTTTTTGGGAAAAGTTTAACCCAAGTTGCAGTCTTCCACATATTTAACTTCATAATTTTTGCATCAGCAAACATTGATAGGAAGGAGTCTATTCATACTCTTACCAGTCATTCATGTAGATTAAAAAATGGTTTGGCTCTAGTATTGACTCCTGTTGTATGCCACTGGTTATATTCCACTACTTTGAGGTCTCTGGCATACTCTGTTGTCCACTGGACAACAGTAGTGTAGGTAATTACACACTTAGGTAATTACTAGAGCACCTTCCATGATACTCAAAGTTTCTCGATTTTGTACACTGGTCTACTATAAGGTTATATTGATTATAACCATATAAACACAGTTATACCAGAGAGAATCCTAGGAAGCAGTTTAAGTGAACAGTCACACACAGATAACTCTTGCAATAGTGTGACAGATTTGCCATAAACCAATAGTAGAACCAACTAAGAAAGAAAATACCTTAGGTCTTATCTTTACAAACAGTGATGAACTGATTATTGACATAATGATTACAAATACTGTACATGTTACTTAGATCACAACTTAATTATAGTTCAGACATGCATTGTCAATAGACCTGTACAGGCAGTCTCAAATCCAAGAGGAGGAGAATTCAACCAATTCAATTTTGGTAACAAACTTGGAACAAATAAACCAAGTCCTCATAGAAATATGCTGGAAAGATGACTAGATAATGCAAACTTAATGCCTTGAGAAAATAGGTGCAATAACAATAGAAATATGTGTAAGTCACATACCACTAAGGAGAAAGATAAAACAGATGTAAACTGGAATGAGAATGGCATTCCCTCTTTAGGGAAAGAAAACAAATTACAAAACATCTTAAATGTTCCATTCTATCCCGAGAAAGACAATGAAGACTATGTAGAGAAATGGAAACAATTGAGCTAAGGTTGCAAGAATTATATAAAATCCAGGAGAGACAGAGAGCAAATGGTCATAAACAAAATAGAGAGGAATGCAAAATACTTTTTCTCCTATGCAAAATCTAGAACGAAAACTACTGCATTGGGCCCTTGTGCAGGAGTGATGGAACCTTCATAGATGACGGCAAGGAAATGAGTTAAATACGGTAGTTACAGTACGATTCTGATTTCAGTGAACTTCTGAACACATTGCAGATCAATGATCCGAACTTATTCCTAATTATAATGCGACATTACCACTGAGCCGCCATATATCAGATGTTACTCTAACCCCACTCAACTTTGAAGTAGCCATAGAGAGCATGTTCATGCACTCTGCACCAGGCCCAGACTCCTGAAATTCTATATTCATCAAGAATTGCAAAAAAATGTTATCACAGGCCCTAAACATCTTTTGGACATGGAGCCTAGATACTGGTGTTATTCCTGACATACTTAATACAGCAAAGATTGTACCACTTCAAAAGTGAGGTAGTAAAACTGATGCAAAAATATATAGAGCAATAGTGCTAAGAAGTAAGATCACAAAACACATGTAATCACTGTGTCTACATAACCCAGGGCAACATGGGTTCAGAACAGGGTGCTTCTGCCTGTCATAATTGCTAGACTACTATGGCATGGCCATAGATGCCATGGAAGACAAACAAAATGCTAATATAATATATGGAGATTTTGCAAAAGCCTGCGGCAAATGTGACCATGATGTTATTGCACACAAAAAGTGCACAAAAGGAAATACTGACAAAGTAGGGAGATGGATCTTTAACTTTCCAACAAACAGACCTCATAGTGTAATAGTGACCAAAGCAAAATCTGAATAATCCACAGTGAAAAGCTCGGTTCCCCAAGGTTCCGTGCTTGCTCCAATATTTTTCCTCATCCTCATATCAGACATAGACAAGGATACAAACTATAGTACTGTATCATCCTTTACAGATGCCACTTGAATTTTCATGTTCGTTGACAACATAGAGGACACAGCAAATTTCTAATCTGATGTTAATAAAGTCTTTCAATTAGTCTTGCACATTATGCGACAATAGTGAGCACACTTTACGTTATTGATCACTAAATGAAAACCGTGCTATGACAAAAAATGATAAAAAAAAAATAAGCGTTACACTGTATAATACTCAACTACAGTACAGTAATTATTTATTTCAAGGGTTTCGTGTTCTTGTTCCACCAAAATTGATTGGAAATGGAGAAAGATAAATACTGTGGAATAAGGGGGGTAAATTGCTGAATTCTTTTAAATATAATGTGCCTCCAGTGGAGCTAAAGCTTTTACTATATTGTATTGGTATAAAAAAGTTCACAATATTTTTAAACTGGACTCGCCATTTTACAAAATTCATTAAAGGAAGTCGAGTGACATTTTAGATAATGTTTCCAACACCACCCGCCAGGGTGGATATTTGGTGTGACTTCGGAGCCTATGGACCGCAACATGACCTCGGAGTCAGGGGTGGTTCACATTTCACAAGACTCGAAACAAAAGATACAGAGATTGAGGTACTGGTATTAGCCACATCATTATTGATATTCATTTTTGTTTTGATTTGCAATGATGAATTATTGTGTACTGAAGCACTTGTTATTTGCTTTTATTATTTTGTTGAGCTTTCTTATCTTTGAAATTTTATGTCCTCTTTTTTTTCTTTTTTTTCATTGAGTTGATTATTTACTTGAAATGACTTATCTTTTTTGTTGTTAACATTAGATATGTTGTATGCACATACTGTATATGAAGCACTTGATACACTGCTTAAATTTTCAACTCATGCCAAAAGATTTTGAGGTTTCTAGAAATGCTATATTTAGATTGTAGTTTAGCTGATAAATAAATTAGTGTCTGCAAAACATTAGAGTTTGTTATAATTGTAAATGCACTATCATAGTAATAGTGTCAGGAAAATTTGCTTCCGAGCAATCACATTTAGCTGCTGCTTAACACTTTCACGCTTTGGGCGAGCGAGCACCAGACCACCCCAAGGTGGGCCGGGCATTCCACAGGAGCGCGCGGTTTTCAATTTTGGTTTTGCTCTTTTCAACATTGTCACGTTGAATTCATTTTGGTATCAATGTGTTCACCATAGAATTTCCTACAGGAATATATGCATATAAAGTCCACAAACAAGGCGTATCACCTGCACCATACCGAGAAATTGGCTGTGAGTTACCTGTGAGCACCCAAGAGCAAAAAATGTGTATACTCTTTTTCACTTTGGTCACCTTAATTCTCGTCCTAGGTCTTTCAATTTGGTATCAATGCGTTCGCAGTAACATTCCCTACAAGAGTACTGTATATGCATGTAATGTCCAAAACCGCGGCGTACCACCCGTACCAAACCAAGAAATTGGCCTCACGTTATTACCTGTGAGCGTGCAAGAGTAATAAAATGGGAATACTCTTTTCACTTTGGTCACCTCAAATCTCGTCCTAGGTCTTTCATTTTGGTATCAATGTGTTTGTAATAAAATTCTCTACAAGAGTATATGCATATAATGTCCAAAACTGCGGCGCACCATCCGCAGCCAAGCCTAAAGCAGGCCAATTTTTAAAATTTTTGACGCAATACTGCTTCATCACCGAGCGAAAGTGTTAAAGTAAGGATCCACTGTATTCATGGGACAGAATCGTTCACAGTCTGGCACAATAACAAACTGCATTGTAACCAGAGAGATCTTTTCAAACTGTCCTTACAGGGTCATTAACACTACTGCATAGCAATCCAATGATGCATTTTAGTATTGTCTGTTGTTTAACAGTGGTTGGTTTGATGACATGTCATTCATTTCCAATTTTAAAAACTTTGATTCCCGTTGTGTCAGTATATCCCAGTTCTTCTGAAATACATAGACAGAGTGGGTGAAGCTTATGGTGTCCATTTTGATTATGGAGAAACCAACCAATAGCTTACTTTAGGTGATTGGGGTTCATAGCTACCCCAGGCCTACAAATTTTTGTTCCCTTGGTTTAAAGTGCTTTTTTTCCTGTCTCTGATGTAGTAATTTGTGCTGGGATTACTGTATATGTGAAGATCATAATTCATTGAAACTGTTGTCAAGAAAGTCAAGGGTACGAGTGTGAGTGATTGCTTTAGTGTTGACAATAGTTACCTCAGTAATAAGAGTTACCTAGGTACAGTAATGATAAAAGTTACCTAGGTACAGTAATGATAAAAGAAACCAAATATCAGCTGGACAACATTGAAATTGTTGAATCTGATTGCAAAACAAACTATATATATCTTAATGAAAGAAAGAAGATGGAATCGAGGGAAGCAGTAGTTTGCTCAATGCCAATAAAAAAAGCACTAGTACAATATATACTCTGCATGCCACCAGATGGCAGTTTAGACCACCCAGGGGTTCCACTTGCCTGCCCACTTCACTCTCATATCTGGTACAAAGCCAGCCACTCTACATCTGCAAGGACCACCATTTTTGTTAAGGCTAAGCTTGGTTGGGGTTACTTCCCGCCAAACACACAACGAAACAACGATGTTGCTACAACATTCGAACAAGTTTTAACACCTCCTAACAAGTTATAACAACAAATATAGCAAGTTGTAACAACGTTCTAATACGTCATAAATACGTTAAGCCAAGATGTAATAACTTTATTACAAGTTGTAACAAGCGGAAAATAGGGACAGTTACGGTTTGTGTTTCCAGGGTTGGGACTTGGTTATCCTGTGGGGGGGGGGGAAGGGAAAGGGTAGGTATGCTTAGTATTTATTTTTCATTACTCTTGACAATTGTGTTTATGCTTCCTATCTTGCATGTCCTTTGCTGATAGTTTTTGTATTTCAAGATAGGGGTGTAAGTGTTGTTTGCATTGATTTCACCTTTCATCGGGATCATGATGTTCTTCCAGCAGTTGCTTGTTTTGTGGTGCTCTGGCTTTCTGGTTGAGTTTTTTTTTTTTTTTAAGTTTCGGTGTGCTCCCTAAATGTAGGGTTCTCAAGTGTTGTAGCCTCGGAGAACTACTGAGTGGCCCGCCCCACCAGAAATGGGCATTTGATTACATTCAACATTTGATTGTTTAGTGCAACAGTCCACATTCCATCCACATTTGCTACTATCATATTTTTATTATAGACTGAAAATATTATAGTATAGTATTTTATATAAGCATATGATGTCCCTTTAATATACATAAAATGAACTGTATTCATAATAACTTTCACAGTAACCTATCAATTTTATCTGGAAGTATGAATATTACTTTTATTAGTAATTTTTACACTGGCAATTTTCTTAGGACTGAAATAGAGGAGCTGCAGCAGCGAGTGTTGAGAGAGCGAGACCAGTACCAAGCTGCCACTCAGAGTGCCTTCCCGGGCATTTCGGCTGTCCCTTTTTTCTCTGTAAATGATAAGGTAATTAATTTAAAATATCAAATTATTTTTATGCAATCCATGATCTACATATACATAATTCTGTAAATTTGATAAATATCTTAAAAAAAAAAAAATCCAATTTGTGCTCAGTATTTGTTTGAATTAGAAATGTTTTTCTATGGAACTTTTTGTTATGAATTGCAGCTATCTGTCAAAATATGAAAATTAAATAGTTGACTGACTTACTGTGATGTGCTTCTGTGTTGACTTTATTTTAAAATGTGACATAATAATACTGTACATACATCAGTTTTTAAAGCATTTAAACTCATTTAGGGATTAACTTAAGGAAATTCTTTGTAGCAGTAAAATCTTCTGAAATTTTTTAGTTATGAAGAATCTTTTCACATCTATCTGTATATGAAGTTTCACGTTGTCGGTAACAGGAAATCTGTTTGATTTATCGGGGGTTTGCCTAGGCCAACAACTGACCTGGTTCAGAATGTCATCAAGTGGAATGCATTGAGGTATGGGGTTGTTGAAGGCAATTCCATCAACAGCTTTAAGCAAAAATATGAAAAGATTAATGTTGAGAAAGGTAATTAGCATACCAGGCATAAACTGCTAGAAGGTGAGACATATACTGCTAGAAGGGGAGGCATAAACTGCTAGAAGGGGAGGCATATACTGCTAGAAGGGGAGGCATAAACTGCTAGAAGGGGAGGCATAAACTGCTAGAAGGTGAGACATATACTGCTAGAAGGCGAGGCATAAACTGCTAGAAGGCGAGGCATAAACTGCTAGATCTCACATCTCCCGTAATCATTCATATGCAAGCACAGCAATTCCCCAACTCCCAGGTATGCATTTGCTGCTAGATAAACAGTAGCATCAGGTGTAAGGAAATGTTTAGGAAATGTCTCATCCTGCGAGGGAATTGAACTCTGGGCCATTTGGTTGAGGGGTGCCTGTGCTGACCATGAACATATCTTATCTCGTATCATATTTTGTAATAAAAGTCAACAAAGAACCAAACCAAACCCGAAATGCTGCGCGTACTAGTAGCTTTACAAGAATGTAATCACTATGCTCTGTATCTCTATGAATGTATCTTCACAATCCCAATGTACCTTCTTGTATATAAATAAATAAATAAATAAATAAAACCACATGAAGTCAGGTGTAAAGTTTTTAGAAGTCTTGATGTATCATGCTAGTGTTAAGGCTATATCGATCATGGCCCTTGAAAAGTGGTTTCTCCAAGTTCATAAGCTCTAGAATATTATAAATATTGTGCATATGTAATTATAACTTATATAATTTGCCCTATCATTTATATATGTACATAGCATATATGTTTTTTTTTTTTTTGACCCATGGTCTACAAAATTAGGTTTAGTTCATATCCATTCGTGCAGTCAAAATATCACACATTCTTGAAATATTGTACTTGGTTTCTGGATGGATAGACAGATGAATGAACAAATATACATGGATGAAGATTAATCATCATGCCCTACTGTCTTTCATGGATATATAAACCATTGTGTATAATTGCAGCCCAGGTTTTGACCCATATTCAATACAACAGAATAAAATAAGTACAGTCTTACTTTATACTGTATATAGGTGCAAACTTAAATATTAAAGTGACAAATTTCTATTTAATATTTTGTAGTGTTTGATATGACCAATTAGATTGTAAAGGATGTCATTACCCTTTGTGCTGCACATCTGCTACATTTGCCACTCTTGAAGTGTGCACCAAGAAAACTTATGAATTTTTTTTTCTTTTAAATTTGACATTGTTAATTAGCATCCAGAAAACATAAAAATCCAAGTAAAATGTCCCTATCTCTTGTGGTATAGCTGAAGTAGCCGGCCTGGAGAAGTTGTATTTTTTTCGGTAGATTTGAGGCGAGGTGCCACACGGGATTAGCTTTGTCGATTTATTTTAATTTGATCTATTTGTGTATTTATTTATAAACCTATATCTTGTAATTGAACACGGCACACAGTTTGCCGATAGAGTAAATATATACATAGTAACCACTCATTTGATGTTGCTAAAAGTTCACTGGCTCCTAGTATTGCTGCCCTGCATGTTCAGACACTGGATGGTGATGAGCCTGATATGACCCTTATCTTCCTCCTAAGACCCTAGGAGGAAAATGAGGGACTCGGGACTTTTTTCAAAATGGAGGGGATGATTACTGGAGGCCTGAGGAAGCAAATATGAGCCTCGAGTATTTGTGGTAGTTTTAAATTTTCGGATAGGCCTAAAACAACCCACTGGTTGTAGTGTGCACCATCAATGAAACAACCCTAGTTATGGTGTGCAGTTTAAGGGTTAAACTGCACACCTGTTACATTACTTCTAAGGAAGCTTGGGGTCTTATTCTGAGTAAAAGTATTCATCACTGTAATTTAGTACTGTATACTTATTGATTTGTAAAATACCTGCAGTTTTAGTAGTGACTAGAGAAGGGATAAGTTTACTTTATATTTTTAGCAGTTGTTACTTACTGTATATAGTATTTTGTAACAAAATCATACATGATTTATTGATTTTGTATTCTTTTGTAGATGAGCCTAAATCGCAGTGATGCTTCGTATCTCTTAAGTTTGGAGGTACAGACAGCCATTGACAATGTGTTGTTGCAAAGTGATGTTCCTATTGATCTCCTGGATGTAGAGAAAAATTCTGCAGTTGTTAGTTACAGCACGTGTGATCCTGACGTAAGTAGAGAAATGGGGCACAGTATGAAATGCCAAGATTTTCAGTTCATTTTTAATATTAATTTAGTAAAATTCTAGCATTGAATATAATGAAATACTTTTTTGGTGGGCAGCTCGATAGCTCCCCAAAGGTGCAACCAGGAAGCAGTCAAGCCACAGGAGACTTTCTGATTTTGTCAGAGTTACAATGTTTTCCAAGCAGGTGCTCGTTTTGAAGCACTTTGCATTTCTGACAGTTTTTTTTTCTTCCTGCGGTGATTTCTAATTTACGGGTTTCCCTTTGTCACTTTAGTCTGTATGAACATCAGAGGTCCACGGTTGTTCAACGTCCTACCAGCGAGCATCAGAAATATTGCAGGAACAACCGTGGACATCTTCAAGAGGAAACTAGATTGTTTCCTTCAAGGAGTGCCGGACCAACCGGGCTGTGATGGGTATGTGGGCCTGCGGGCCGCACCAAGCAACAGCCTGGTGGACCAAACTCACAAGTCAAGTCTGGCCTCGAGCCAGGCTTGGGGAGTAGAAGAACTCCCAGAACCCCATCAACCAGGTATCAACCAGGTTTAAACAGACCAGATTCTGGTCTTGGTCCCCAGTAGGTGCTCATGGATTACAGAGGCCTGGTGCATTCCCTAAGGCTTGGGTGCTTCCGCATTGTACCTTTGGGGAGCTAGTGGGATAGGAAGGGGAAACAACCTCCTAGAAAACACACAAATATACATTCAGTAATACTTTATTTTATTTGTCTTTTTTACTTCAGAGTGGAAATTTCCTTTTGGCAACATACCGGTGCCAAGCCAATACTACACGTTTAGAAGTTCGCATTAGAACAATTGAGGGGCAGTATGGCACGCTTCAGGCATACATCACTCCAAGACTCCAACCCAAGTGTTGCCAAGTTAGTATAGAATGTGTTATGCCTGTGCTGTATTAAAATATCTATATACTATATTGTTTGTATGAACAGGATATTTTTAATTTATTTATGTAAATATTTTATTTAAATATTTGAGGAAAGATTTTATTTATATTTATGTAAATATTAAAGTTACAATTGACATTTATGCTGTAGTGTATTACAGGTCTACCTGTTATTCAGGGTATTATGTACATGCTAAATTATATATAGATCCTTCAACTTATTTACAATACAGTATTTAATACTAAACAAAATTCATGTAACAGGTTCGTCAGTACCATATCAAGCCTCTCTCTCTCCACTCACGAATTCACAGTTTTGACCCAAATCGTCCAAACAACACCTTGACACTGAAAGGCCAGTTTACTCTGCCAGAAATCCATGCATGGGTGGTGTTCTGTTTACCCGAGTTGCCAGACCGGACCCCTGCTGGTGAACAGGCAGAATTCACTTTTGTTTCAACATTTCTTGATACTCAGGTACAGTGCATGATGATGTTCACACTAAAAATTATGTATAATTTTCTGACCTTTTGTTTATGCATCGCATTATTAGATCTGTATTTTCTTGTATAATGCTATTAAGATATTGTCAAGTTTTGATGTATAATTTAACAAGATTTGAAAAGGTCTTTCTTGTAGCTAAACATTGTTAATTAAATTTTGAAACAGCTACAGTGTGTATATGAAGCTGGTGAAGCAACATTTAAATCAGACAACATCTCCACAATCTCCATTCTTAAGGATGTTCTCACGAAAGAAGCTACACGAAAAAAGGTATGATTATTTTTTCCTCAAAACTATGTATACAAACCCTTAGTAATACTGTATATTTTTCTGGGGTGAGCCCCTTGTTGCTCCCCTGAAGCTATACAGTGAGATTGTTCCTATCTACCAGGTCACATCAGCCATGGAGTTCTTTAAGCCTACTGAGGACCAGCCCCAGAACCTGGCCTCCTCACAGTGGCACAGGGAGCAGTGACATTTTGCCACCTCACTGGGAAAGGCAACCAGAAAGCTAGTGAGTCAAAACAAACTACTGCTGGGTTCAAGAGAGACTAAAGCCTCAAAACCTGCATAACCAACTCCCCCAACTATGTAAGCAAACAATCAAATTCTCTCAAAATGAGCTCTTTCACCCCACCTCCCCCATTTGTTTCGGGGAAGGGGAAAGAAGTGGCTCACTGCCTGCCGGGGTCTGAGCGCCTCTCAATGACTGCCTGTTTATTCTTGCTCTTTCTCGGGACATGGATCTCTTGCAGCTACATGCCCAGTTGCCTTTGTTGTCAATGATGCTCGTAGCAGTCGACTCTCATACCTGTTTGAATTTGGCTCCACGTGCAGTTTCTTGGTCTCCTTGAGCCTCATATGGACTGGGTCTGGGAGGATGTAGAGGCACTTGGCAGAGTACATAGTGCAGGGGCTTTGGCCTATGCTGTAGCTGTGTCAGTTTCACTTCCCAAGCTGTATGTTTGGGTGTTGGCCACACAAGCGGGAGGTGGTGGCCACATTCTTCACTGCCCAACTCACGTGTTGCTGCGTAGCCCTTGGAATCAACGTGGGCCCTGGTTTTCTTGCCCGCCTCCCCTTTTCTCTTTTCGTCTTTCCTGTGGATGTGGTTTCGCAGTTTCTATCTTCAATGACTGCTGCTTGTTGTCATATTTTGGACTGCCTTTGCTCCCTGGGGGTCTTGTTCTCATGCTTGGAGGCTGTCTGGTAGAGCTGGGGCATTGTCTGGTGTGGATAGGCCTTCAGGGAGCCAGATTCCAGATTACAAGAACTTTCCTTAGCCAGTCCTCTATCTGATTGGCACCATGCTTGCTCTTCATTGAAGGCATCAGTTTCTCATAGTTTGCATCAGCCCTTTCACAGTTCACCCCTTTGATGGGGTGGTGGGGGTACTCGCCCAGTTTCCCGGACCCGGATATATGAAACAGTTACGCAAGCACTTACGAACCTGTACATATTTTCTCAATCTTTGGCGGCTTTGTTTACAATTATTAAACTGTTAATGAGCTCTGAGGCACCAGGAGGCTGTTTATAACAATAACAGTAGATTGGGAAGTTTTCATGCTTGTAAACTGTTTAATAAATGTAACCAAAGCCGTCGAAGAATGAGGAAAGATGTACACGTTCGTAAGTACTTGCGTAACTGCTTCGTGAATCTGGGTACTGGCGCCTGGTCCCACGCTTTGTGGGCTTTTCTGGTCATATCCCGTGGCCTGCAGTGGAGTTGGTCATTTTCCTACCTTCTGGGGAGTCCAGGTCTTTCCAGGCATGCTTCTTTCCCATGCCTATGTTGGGTCATCTTGGAGTGGGTGGGGAGTGTGGGAGGGGGGGGCTTCTGGCATCTTCTTGTGATTATCTTGTAATGATTTCGGGGCTTAGCGTCCCTGCGGCCCGATCCTCGACAAGGCCTCCTTTTTGTTACACACCCCCAGGAAGCAGCCCCTAGAAGCTGTCTAATTCCCAGGTACCTATTTACTGTTAGGTAACACGAGCATTAGGGTGAAAGAAACTCTGCCCATTTGGTTCTGCCTCCACCGGGGCTCGAACCCGGAACCTCAGGACTACAATATGAAGCGCTGTCCACTCATCTGTCAGGCATGGTTGAAACAACTACAGGTATGTCAGTTTGGGGGTTCCCGGCCCTGAAACGGGACTCGCCAGACCTTTAGTTCATCCTTGATCTATCGAGGCTGACCTGGTTCATTTCCTGTCCCTCCTTCCGGATGACCTCTTTGACCCAGATCCATCTCATACTGGAGGCACATGGTTGGACGATCTACCTGGATCTCTAGGACTGGCTGGTGTGGACTCCCAGTCTGTCTGCTAACCAGTGTACAGGTGACAACCTATACACCAGTTGACTGACAGTTGACAGGCAGGACCAAAGAGCTGAAGCTTAACACCCCCACAAGCACGATTATGAATATTGTAATTATATTTTTGCTAAAAATTACACAGGAATTATAAAGCAAATATATTACCTAATTTTAGGAATGACTGGAATATTTTATTTCTGTTTGCAAAAGTAAAAATACAACAGATTTACATATTGTTGACTTTTAAATTTGTTTTCATTTGAACAACTTGACCATTAGTTATATCTGCTTTAAAGAAAATGGGAGTTTCAGAAATGCACCTGATGTTCACCACATGTATTAACAGTGGGTATAATTATTGGTGGCCTAAGCACTGTAAACCACTTGCCTTGGCTGGCTTCCATAGTAAATCTCCAACACCACCCATGGTAACACTGGTCTTCAGTATGGTAAATATATAATATAATGTTTAGTAGTTTTCACATTTACAGCATACAGTATTCAAATTTGTATATCCTGTTTATTTGTGTGCAAATATGTGCAAAAAAAGAAAGTGCAAAAAAAATTATCATTTGTGATAAATAACTTGTAATAAATAGTTAAAAAAAAACTCAGGCAACCTTTATTTAAAAAAATAATCAAAAACCTTCATGTAACAGAAACCATGAGGTTTAGATTGGATTTGGTCCCATATACAGTAGTCCATTGTATCAACCTTATACTCAAAAGGCATATGCTTTTTTCTACAAGACTTGGCATAAGTGAATATTAATTTTTATTTACTTGAATGTTGTTGTTGAAGGTACGGCTTGATATTTCGTGTGACGTTAGTGAGGAAAGTGTTGTCCATGCCCTACAGCTCCTTCATCCACGTTTGGAAGCCCAGCTCTTACTAGCTAAACAGGTAGGCATACAGTACTGTTCACTGTTGCTGGGAGTACTCATTCACTGTTGCTGGGAGGCTCCCTTGTTAGTGTCTCATAGCTTGTGCTGTGGTGAACCCAAGCCATGAGAAGTGCACCAGGCCTCTGACATGTGAGGAAAGCTTGGGGATTAGAGTTCTATCCAAAATCAAAAAATCCCCACCAGATAGACAGGTAAAACAAAACACATTTCTATCTGAAGAAAGAAAGAAATTCCCAGGCAAACAAGGTAAATATCATTAAGTGGGGAGAATAACACTAACCTAGATCCTGGTGGCTACCAACCACCACTGGCTGGTTATCCGGGCTCCCAGCCACTCGCTCATTCGCCTAGTGCAAGTTGAGAGTGCATCACTATGCTGTGATCCTACAAGCTGCACTTATTTTAGTTAAGTGGCATTAACAATCCCTGGAATAGTAGCTCACTCGGTTGTGTGCTCAGGTTACCTTACCTGGTATCAGGTTTGCATTTCTTCTGTTTCACGAAAGATACTTGTTTTGAGTTCAGGTTCCTTCCCAGCATATTGGCTCCTTTTTAATTTCTCTTCCAGGTAGTGTGTGAGACTTGCTCTCCATAGTCAGGTCTGTTGTTATGGAGTTGATGTACAGTGGAACCTCGAATAACGAATTTAATCCGTTCCGGCGCCATGATTGTCATGTGAAACGGACGTCATACAAAACTAATGTCCCCATTGACAATAATGGAAATCAAATTAATCCGTTCTACCACCGAAAAACATCAATATGATATTCGATGTTTTAAATAATGGAGCAGCCTACCTTACATACACTGAACAAACCTTTATGACAGTTTTTCTTTCTTCAAATTTGTTCAATATTTTTTTTTCATTTGTCTTATAGCAAAAGGTTTGTTCAGTGTTCGGCAGGTAGGCTGCTCCATGTTTCTTAAATAAAAAAAAAAATAAATAAATAAATAAAAGAACAGTTGAAACAATTTGAAAAATGGACAAATGCCATAAAGGTTCATTCAGTGTTTGTCGGGTAGGCTGCTCCATTATGACAATCTTTCTTTGTTTCAAATGTGTTCCATTTGTTTTGTATTTTTCATTTACATCTTGATAATGGAGCAGCCTACCCGACAAACACTGAACGAACCTTTATGGCATTTGTCCGTTTTTCAAATTGTTCCAACTTTTTTTATTTTCGTATTTTTTTTATTTAAAAAACATGGAGCAGCCTACCTACCGAAAACCGAACGAACCTTTTTGACATTTGTTGTATTTAAAAAAAATTCATCTTTTTTTTTTCTACAAAAAGTCATTGCTTTGCAAAATCTCAGCAGTTACCCCTTTATATCCTAGTATCATTAGCATCTTTAAACAAAAACATAATTTATTTGCATCGTCAGAGGCGTCCAAGAATGTGCAGGAAGCAGCACGACCCCACCATGTGGTCTTGTCATTCAAACGAGTGGTCGCCATACGAGACAAATTGTTGGCGATCTAGGCGATCGTTACCCAAAATGTTTGCTATTTGAGGCGATCGTCACTCGAGGTTCTACTTTGTAGTGTGCCTCTGGTCCTGATTCCTCTGTGTTTTGGTCAGGTGTGCACTTGGACCTTCCCTCACCAGGCTAATCATATCTCTGTTATGTGTGTAATTTGCCAGCGTGCTTCCCGTGCTGCTGACATGCCTGACTGTTTGGTAATGATCCAGGCAGCCTGTGACTATTGTGCTCGGGAGGTACATTTACTTTGAACAAATCCACAAGGGTCGTGATGAGGGTTCGAACCTACATCCGAGAGGATCCCAGACGCGCCTTAATCGACTGTGCCACAACATGGTAAAATAATTGCAACCAGGAGTTCTACTGACCTCGCATAGATCTTGCAGTCTCTCCAAGGCACAATTAAAACAGGGTTTTACACAATTCCCCCATGCACATGTCGTGGCACAGTTGATTAAGACGCATCTGGGATCCTCTCGGATGTAGGTTCGAACCCTTATCACAGCCCTTGTGGATTTGTTCGTTTGATGCATCACGCTATTGTGACTTCTGTGTGTACATTTACTTTGCTCTTAAATGGCTGGACCAGACTGCACAGCTTCACAACATTGCAATTTTTCATTTTTTTAATTGCAGTTGGTTTTTCCTGGAACTGTCTGCCTGTTGGATAAAAGACTGCCCTCTGCCTGCCCCTGTAATTGCCTGAAGGTTTCTGCCCTTGTGGTGGCAGCTGTGGGCCTCTGCCCTTGTGGTGGCAGCTGTGGGCCTCTGCCCTTGTGGTGGCAGCTGTGGGCCTCTGCCCTTGTGGTGGCAGCTGTGGGCCTCTGCCCTTGTGGTGGCAGCTGTGGGCCTCTGCCCTTGTGGTGGCAGCTGTGGGCCTCTGCCCTGGTGGTGGCAGCTGTAGACTTTTGTTGATCTATTGATGGGCAGTCCAGCATGCAGTCGTCTCTTTTATGTGTCCTTGCCTTACTATTCAGGGTTTGAGGTCCAAGGCTGCTGAGGAAATACTTGCTCTCGCCCTTAAATCTCTCTGCTGGCCCTATCCCCTCTGTTCCACCAGCTTTGGCTGTGGTTCAGCTTTCTCTCGTCTTCTTAGCCATCCTTTGATTTGTGCATCTTAGGGCTTTGGCAGTAGGTGTGTTAGGACAACAGCAGCTAGGAACATTTCCTTTGGGGTTGTGATGGTGGCTTTAGAGCGTACCTTTGTTCAAGGGGTAGAAATGGATGTTTTAGGGCTAGCTGTGGTACAATATGAACACTCAGGGGGAAGAGAAAGTTCTGGAATTAGGAAAGAGAAGTAGAGATAATAAATAAAACTGTATTGAGATAGTTTAGACATGTATGGCGAATGGATGAGTACACATTGGCTGTGTGTGTGTGTGTTCATAGCTTGGAGGAGAGGAAGTGGTGACTGAGAACACAATGTAGAACATAAAAAGTCCATATGAGTTAAGGACTTCACTTGCATGCCTGATATCAGTAGTTAATAAAAAATTGTGTATTGAATGTAAATTTTTGTATACAAAAAATACAGTATTTTAATTAAATTAAGAAAATTCTATGTTGAAGTCTTCCGTCTTGCAGGTGTCGCTCATTGAAGCTCTTCGCGAACTAGGCTCACATGAATCTGACACAAGTTTTTTGTCACCTGAATATCAACATATTGTGGACAATGCTGACGATCTTCAAGCTCAGTACCGAAAACAACCTTGTCACCTGGAACGTCTTTATGGTAGGATTTTATTTAGTAATATTTTATTGATTTTATTTATTGATTTTATTGATTTTATTTATTTTATTTAGATATTTTTTTTTTTTATTTTATACTTTATTTGTCCATGTTTTTTCTTCATGCTTTTGTTTTAGTCACCCACATTGCATATGCCCAGGTTTAATATTTTACTCAGACTTTGTGCCTGGATTACCCCTTCTTGATTGTCAGTTGTATTTTCCCTGTCCCACCAAAGATCCCTGCTCTGAGGGGGATCCGGGTTCCTCCCTTATGCGCTAGATTCTTTTGAGTCGCCTCACTTTTGGGTAGTGAATGGTACAGTACTTGTTATCCACTGCAATGTCTGTCTGTGAGAAGTAGAGCTTGTTTGAGTTGGCTTTGTGCTTTGTGCAGTGTGTAAGAGATCACGCTTCTTTAGGAATGCGCAGTTTAAATGAACGGTTTTTTTCTAGATCACACTTAGTTTAGCTTCTGATGTGTGTGGAGCTTTGCATTTTTTCTAAGAACATATCTTGGTTGCATTGTTCATATCCAAAACTAACTACTTTCTCCAATAGGTGGCTCAGGTCAGGGTTTGAATTTGTTTAACAAAGACATATTCTTCATACCTTTTATACCTGCCTATCTGCACAATAAATTTGGTGACTAGTGTTCCCTGTGAGGATTTTCTGGACTCAATTTTCAGGTGGGCTATCATGACTTTCCCATTGAATTCTGGGCTTAAATCGATTATTTATAGTTTCACACGATGCAGTTCACTTCTTTGAGCATCAATGATAATTCCTTTTGCCTCTGTCATTCAGGTTGGTGGGTCTATTGTGTGTTCATGCTGGATCACTGTGTTGGCTGTACCAAAATAAGAATTGAGAACGTCAAATGTGGTTTATTCGGCTCCCTGTAATGACTGGCTAAATATTAGAATGCATTGAGCTGGGTAAATGAAGTTGTACTGTACCTTTAAGACTGATCTTTATGAATTTTGCTTTGCACAGTGTTTACAGGAACATAATTCCCACATATTGAGTGTCCTGTATGCTCCTTCAGTCCACACACACTCCCTGGAAGTACAAAGTTCTCCTAGGCAAGCTACAATCAATGTTCCACTTCTCTGAATGCTCACATTGAGCTTCATGTTAATTGTCCAAAATTCTGAATTATTCTCCCTTGTAGGTTAACATTGCACGACATAACTTGCTTCCCAACACCACATGGCTAGGCTGTCATCACATTAATTCAGTGTCATGATATCTTTTAAATGCCCTCTCTTAACACCCAATTCAGGTTATGTTGGGTTCTAACTACTGATCTTTACAAATTTTAATTAAATTCAATGATATATAATTATAGTACAAATTTGTGATAATAAAAGGTACTGCTGATTAATTAATTATGTCTAGGAACATATATCAATTTAATTTTCCAGGCATGATCACCGACCTATACATTGACAAGTACAAGTTCAAGGGCATTAACGTGAAGAGTCGTGTACCACAGCTGCTTGAAATATTGGACAACTATGGAAGTCTCAGTATTCAACATCTTATAAACTTCTTCCAGGCTCAGTAGCATTTTGAAAAACCTTCAATGTGTACTCTCCATTCTACACTATTTTGTGCATGAGCACAATATCACATTTACTTTAAGAGCTGAAATTAAAATGACTGTACAATTGATTGGTTAATATAAATTATTGTTCTAGTCATGCACTTTTGCAAGGGTCCTCAACCTTTGCTGTTTGGTGGGCTACTTTGTGAATTTAATACAAGACAGGCACCACACATTCTTGTATATGAAAAGAGTATTATTTGATTTATGTAATTAACAAAAGGTAATGTTATTTCTAATGTGGGTAAATAGCTCCACATTTCTTCTGTCAGCATGATGAAATCTGGGTTTTCCACAATAGAAAACTTTTACCAACACACTGCCAATTGACACAAATGGATCCTGCATACACAATCATAATGAACCTTTTGTAATCAGTGCTGTGTATCCCACATACTACTTTGAGCAAGGACTACTTAATCAATTATGTATTCACAGCTAAACTGTATGCTTTGTACCATGCTCTATTAATTATAACCACACTGCCAGGTGGGAAATGCACAATCTGCAGTGGTTCAAAAAGAGCATTTGAAGCCATAATGTACTGCTAATCTACCTGTTAAAAGCTCCTCCTCCAACACCTGGAAGGATATATCTACACAGTTGGTACCTGGACACTATAAAACTTGTACACATGCTCTACAATAAAATTGACAAATTAACGAAGACAATGCATACCTCAACACCTATCACAAACCAGCCTAGCACGAAAAGGGGTCCTAAAATCCATTACTCAAAACTTTGCTGGAAAATTGAAAGCATACTCGAAATTTGCTATGAAATTTAAGTGTATCCACAGAATTAGATGGCCACTCTGGGGACCCACTTGCTGCCTGCCTCATTCACTCTGCTGGTGCTGGCAGAGTTGTATCTGCAGGTTCCACATTTAGCTTAAAGCTTCAAGAAAGGTATGAGATTGCTATTCTTTATAAACCATGTCAAGTGCATTTATTGATATTGCAAGTCATAATTTAATGCTTGCTATATATATTGCGTAATCTATTATGTGCAGTAATGGAATTTTAGCCAAGCTCAATACATTATGTACAATATTGAATCGCACTGCCTTAATTTAATTTAACACTCTTACTTGGCATGTTCTCAGTACGTGGTCTAAATGGTTTAATTGTTCAGTACTCAGAGCCGTCAGTCCAGTCTTTATTATTCACCTAGTTGTGCTTCCTGGGTTGAGCTCTGCTCTTTCGGCCCACCTCTCAACTGTTACCATTTTTTTATTTTTTTTTTCGCCCCATCCCCCCCAATAAGCAGCCGTCTAACTCCCAGGTACCTATTTACTGCTAGCTAACAGGAGCATCAGGGTGAAGGAAACTGCCCATTTGTTTTTCCGCTGGCTGCCGGGATCGAACCTCGGTCCACAAGTCTAAAGTGCTGTTCACTCAGCCAGCTAGCCCCTTATAAGGGGAGGGGGGGCCTGGCTGGCTGGCCGAGTCATATTAGTATGACCATCAGTGCTTGTCATTCATGTGGACATCTGATGATTGTGTTAATGCACTTTCTACAACATTTTTGTATTTTTAGTGACAATGTAATTCAAACATTATTTTTATGCAGACCTTAAACATGATTAATTAATACATGGTCCAATTGGCTGGCACATCAGTGAGAGCCACAAGGCCATACCAAAGCAGGAACAGCTGAACAGTTGTGTTCCCACTCTTTCATCCTTACACAACACATCCCATTGTAACCTTTTCACTATAGAAATTTATGAGAATTAGAGATTTTACACTTTTCACTCTAACATTGCCTTATAAAATGACAGATCTTGTTGCTTCACATAAATATTCTAATTACTTATATAACATGTGGCATCATTACATCCAATAATATTTAAGGAATGGAGTGGGTAGCAGAAGCCATGCTTAACTGCCCAGAAATGTGCACAAATTTCCCATGACGCCAAGGCTGTGCCCACGAGGGGACAGCAAGTAGAATCACACAATGGGCATTAAAACATCACACTCGACAAGATTTTTCTTTTTAATATGAAGTGATATAACTTATAATAATTCGTAATGACAATGCTTTTCAAACATTAGAAGAGTCAAAAATAGGGACGATTTTAAAGCTTAATTTGTTATGTAAATGCTTGTAATATTAAGGAATCTGGTTTACAAACACATACTCTCTGAAAGCGCAAGAATAATTATCCTTGATCACGCAATACATAAGTTAATAAAAATAGTATAAAGTATGCCCTCTTTGAAGTCTCTGCCTTCAATACATGTCATTCCACACTGTCAAAGAGTAAATGACACTTTCAGGTACAAATATATCATATAGTTATACATAAATGCAAATAACAGACTACCAGACCAATCTGTTTTCACTTGCATACAAATGTTTAGTAATTTTCATTCATGCCATGTAACATCTTGAAAATTAAACCATTTTGGTATGTTAATTTTACTTATATGCATCAAATGTATGCCTGAAACTATCATGTACAGTACACCTTATGCTTAAATTCATGCCTATGAAATGAAATTTAAAAATTATCATGTAAAGAACTAATGTACAGCCTTTTCACTTCTTTGCAAAAGCAATTTTCATGGCATGCGTCGGCGTAATCTTGAAACCTTGTAAAGCATCCTTCGCTGCAGCAGACTGCAATTCATTCTCGAATTCAACAAAAGCGATATCATGACGACCAGGTACAAGACGCACTTCCTTAAATCCAGGAAACCTGTAGAAATGATAGCATGTCAAGTATATTCCTCATCACTAAAAATATAACAAATAATGCTTAAATCTGATTTAACATTCATGCTTAGTGTAGTGATGACTATCAATCTTGCCACTCCCTTTATGCTAGTTTACACATATACATGCACTTATATGAGTAAATATTAACCAATAGGCAGATCAGTCAATTTATATTTACAGTATACTGTATGTTGCCCTTTTACAATATAAATATATTGGCTTATATATCAATAACTAAATCACATTACCTCAAACTGTATACTAAACTTATTTTCATTCTCGACTCAACAAAATAAAGATTAATTGAATTCCTTGAAAACATTCAAGTATATCTGGTGTACAGCATCATACTAGTATGAAATAGCAACAATGTTTGCTCAACTATGATAGAAAAGATGAACTGCTGCTATTTAACACTGAGCAGTAGTGTGTGTTTAATAACATATAAGGCAAGACAATATTGACGAGGCCAATGTCACACTAGCTTGTGTACAAGTTCTACACAGTTTTAACAGCAGATATGAAAAACATTAAAAGTCCTGGAGTAGTTGCACCAGTCTACTAATAACAGATTGAACAGCAACAGACAAGCCACTGTTAAAAATATTTAAAGTTCTAAACCTTTCCTAGATAATTTGAAAAGAACTTTCAACTAACAACAAAACTTACTGTGTAAAGAGCATAGACAACATCATTTCAGAAGTCTCATCAGGAAGATTTGTCAGGAAAAGAATCTGGTTTGGAGGCTGCTCAGGTACACCCATTCCACTACCACCGTGAGCAGGGGGCGGCTGGTTGAAGAGATTAGGCCGAGGAGGAACCACAGGTGCTCCTGGTTTGGCTGAAATATAGTAGTATATATTACATTCTGCTCAAAATAAATAAGCATACCTGGAGTGTACTCATATATATATCAGCCTCAGAAACCACATGTTTCTGAGGGGCCAAGAGTATCAGCAGCTCTCAGGTTTAGTAACCTGATAGACTACGAGTGCAAGGATTTTTTCATCATATTAAATGGATAAAAAAAAATGGAAAGATGACATATAATGGATGAGTACTGTATATTGTTCATCATCTTGTCAACTGTGTTGTCCAAGCAGAAAGCTAAGAAAATTAACACTTTTGGTGCTATTATTGTAATACACATCAAAGCATGTGTAATATTACAAGTTGTCTGTCTTGCCCCACTGGTGAGGCCAAGAGAAGAACACGAACCTGTAACACTCGCTGCTCCCGCAGCAGGAGCTGCTGCTGCTCCTTTAGGTTCTTTTCCCTTTTTCTTCTTTTTCTCCTCCTCTTTTCGTTTGCTTCCCCGTTCCTTATAAGTGCCTTTCTGTTTAGCTATTAAGTCAGAATCTGTCTTGGAATAGGCAATTTTCTGTTGGGAGTAAATGTTTAATACAATTAAAAACTAATAAGGACATTAATACTATAATTAATAAAATGATCAATAATAAATAAAATGCTCAGTAATTCATAAAATCATCAATGTTTGCCATCAAATAGTATTGATCAACCTGTATAAAATATGACTTGCACATACAATATATTTAAAATTGTATATAAACTTAAATGAAAAATACCACACACACATCAAGTAATACAGCACAAATTGCAAGCTATCTAATTTTTTATAAATGATATTAATGCAATGTTTTAATGTTACTAAAATCGGCTTTTAAGTCCAACATTTTTATTGTTTAAATTGAGAGATTGTCTGAGTGGATTACGATTTTGATTAAGTTACCGGGATCTGAATTTGTGAGTGTTCGGTGTAACTTTAGGTGGTCCAGAACAGACGAGTTTCCTCTAAAGGAGAAAGGGTTCAGAGCCTTAGATTATGAAAGGTAAAAACAGAGAGGATTACATGACATTTTCCAGCCATGTCCCTTAACAGTGAAGATCATGGAGGCTATGCAATAAAATATTGGCTACAATACACTTCATGAAATTCCTGTGATAATTGTACAAAAGGTGAGAACAACAATAACAACAAATAATTCTAATAAATAAATCGTCAGATGCAACAGTTGAGGAGTTCACAGAGCAGATGCACAAAATAGAGACTATCCTTGATAATCTAGAAAATCCAGTTCCAGATATCTTCCTTGGAGAATTTAATCTACCCAGTTTAAGATGGAGAATGGCAAACTATAATATAACAGGAAACCAACCTGGAAATAATCAATCGCAGGTCAGAGAGCTGTTGAGATTCTGTGACAAATTCTCGCCCAACCAACAGATTACAGCACCAACTAGGAACGAAAACCTGATATTCACAAACAATGATGAACTAATCACACACACTACAATCTCAAATACTACATACTCAGACCATAAGCTCATTGAAGTGCAAACTAACATTAATAACGGTAGTAGTTCCAAGAGAACCAACAAGCGAGAAGGGCTATTCAATCAATTCAATTTCAACAATAAGAGGATCGACTGGGGAAAAAATATAGACCGTATAAACATTCAATGGGAGACAGTCTTAAGCGACAAAACTCTCACACAGGGAATAGCTCAACTAACAGCTGAAGCATACAAGATCTGCTTGAAGCATGTGCCTGCGAGGAGGGTCAGAAAGAGAATGCAGACAACTGTACAAGAGAAGCAAAAAAAAAACAATACTGGAAATGCTTAAGCAGACACGACTATCACAAGAAAGGAAAATAAATATAAACAGGGAGGTCGAAGAAATGGAGCAGACATTGAAGCAATCAACAAGTCTGAAGAAATGGGATTGGAACATGAAGCTATACAAGAGATAAAGAAAAATCCAAAATATTTTTTCACATATTCAAAATAAAAAAAACCTACACAGCATTGGACCTTTAATTACAACTGAAGGTACCAACACAGATGACAACAAAGAAATTGATGAAATTTTAAGAAGCCAGTTACAGGCTATGTTTAGCACCACAATAACCAATATGAAAGTTAAAGATCCAGACATCTTTATGAATGACATCCAAGCTGCAGATAATATAACTGATATTAACACAAACTCTGAAAACTTTGAAAGATAAATTGACATGCCCATGCACTCAGCCCCTGATCCTGAATCATGGAATTCAATATTCATAAAGAAATGAAAAGTACCAGTGGTGCGAGCGCTCAATGTAATATGGAGAAAAAGCCTGGATACAGGGAATACCAGCAGCACTTAAATCAGCAGATATAGCTCCTCTGCACAAAGGAGGTAGTAAAGCTTTGGCAAAAAATTATAGACCAGTTGCACCAACATCACACATAATACAAGTTTTTGAAAGAGTGATTAGGAATCAAATTTCCAGTTTTATGGAAAATAATGAACTACACAACCCAGGACAACATGGATTTAGTGCAAGAAGATCCTGTCTGTCACAATTACTCAATCAATATGACAAAATCACAGAAGCCTTAGAAGAAAAGCAAATGCAGATATATACACAGACTTTGCAAAGGCATTCGACAAATGTGACCATGGCGTGATAGCCCATAAAATGAAATCAATAGGAATAACGGGTAAAGTTGGGCATTGGATTTTCAACTTGTCAAAACAGAATGTAGAGAGTGACTGTCAATCAAATAAGATCAAGCCCAAGTGCAGTGAAAAGCTCTGTACCCCAGGGCACAGTCCTTGCACCCTGCTATTTCTCATTCTTATCTTGGATATAGACAAAAATATTAGCAACAGCTTCGTGTCATCCTTTGCAGACGATACAAAAATCAGCATGAAAATTTCTTCTGTAGAAGACACTGAAAAACACAGGCAGATATTAATAAAGTCTTCGATTGGGCAATTGAAAATAATGATGTTTAAAGGTGACAAGTTCCAGGTACTTCGGTATGATGGAAACGAGGAACTTGTGTCCTGTACACTGGGTACAGGACACAATCAGACCTACTCATAGAAGGAAACCAATATGTAAAAGATCTGGGAATTATGATGTCTGCAACCTGACATTTGGTGAACATAACTGAGCAAATATAGCGGCGGCCAGGAAAAGGATAGGATGGATTATGAGAACATTCAAATCCAGAGACCCTACAGCAATGCTAATATTATTTAAATCACTGGTGCTGTTTTGTCTTGAGTATTGCTCGGTGCTCACTTCCCCTTTAAGAGCATGAGAGATTTCTGAATTAGAGGGAATACAGAGAACACATACAGCACACACACAAATGATAAAGCATCTAAATTATTGGGACAGTCTCAAAGCTCTCAAAATGTACTCTTTGGAAAGGAGACGAGAAAGGTATCAAATAATATATACTGTACATGGAAGATACTTGAAGGCCAGGTCCCAAATTTGCACAGTAGAATAACATAATGGAGCAAGACATGAAAGGAAATGCAGAATAGAACCCATGAAGAGTAGAGGTGCCATAGACACAATCAGAGAACACTGTCTGAATATCAGAAGTCCACAGCTGTTGAACACCACTCCCCCCCCAGCAAACATTAGATATACTGTATTGCTGGAACAAAGGTGGATGTATTCAAGAGGAACTTCAAGAGGACAAGTTCTTGCAAAAAGTTCCGGACCAACCAGGCTATAGTGGATATGTGGGCTTGCAGGCCATTGATAGTGGATATGTGGGCCATTCCAAGCAACAGCCTGTTGGACCAAGTTATCAAAAGTCGAGTCTGGCCTTAGGCCGGGCTCTGGGAGTAGAACAACTCCCAGAACCTTTCCAGCTATGCTCCAGGTAACAGTTAAATGCAATTTTGAAAGTTGACTAATTAAAGCCTTATAATGCAAAAATGGGAATGAATAGGTCTAAAGCTTATGTTTAGACAGGGCTATCTGCAAGGTTTTCCACCACAGCAAACCCTTCAACAGCTAACAACTATGAGTGATTATACATTTCCATACTCACCCACAGTAGAGGGGGGAGGGTAAAGACCATGAATAGGAACCAAATCTATTCGAACCGAACCTAACCTAATCTGGTGCAAACCCGACGCGCTCCTTGGTTTTGACTGAAACACATGTGGTTATTGGAGCTTCTAACAATTATGAGTGTTTATAAGAGTGGTGCGAAGGAAGAATCCAAGATGTAAAGATCGAAATATTACTTACCATTGGCTTATCATAGAATGGGAAGCCTTGCATAGCTCTCATTGCATTTGTGGCACTTTGAATTTCTTTGAAGATTACAAAAGCCTGGCCACGCATTTTCAACGTTTTCAATGCAACTATGTCAAGAATTTGACCAAACTGGGAGAATATTGCATAGAGAGATCTCTTTAATTCTGGAAAAAGAAGTTAGTGAGATTTAAATGTCAAAATCTTAATAGTGTATTAATAATAAAAACTATCAAAGAAATTTCAATGTTAAAAACAAATAAAAAGTTGCAATTCTTATGTTTATTTTATTTTTACTTAAAATATATCCCCAACAATTATTTTTCAAATAGTATGTCAAACTAATCAGATTGATCTTATTTCTGGGGACAAATATTCCCTTTCAATCACCACATTATTCATGTGTGCCCTTCCAAATTTTACTTACTAAAATTACACTTCTCTAATAGATACAATATAAAGAATCAACATAAATGATATATCTTATCTTTCAAATAGATGGGGGTTCATATTTAGGAATGTCTCCAAAACTTGATCAAAACTACCCCCATCATAAAACCATACAGTATTAAATGGACCAGGATCCAAAACATACAATGCCCAAACACATCCACTGCATCATGGTACTTTATTACACCTGCACTTGGCACAGTGGTCATAGATTGTTACTCATTACAGGTACTGTACTTTTAAAAATACACTGATACATCATCATAAAAAAGGATTAAGTTAGCAGTATCCGGCAGCTGAACCTTGAGTAGAAAGAACAGCCCTATTCTATGGCTAATGACCAAACGTTTAGAGACCATAACCAAGCAAATATTACGTCAGCCAGAAAAATGATCGGATGGATTTCAAGAACTTTCAAATCCAGGGATCCCATCACATTGGACGTACTCTTCAAATCACTTGTACTGTACTTTCCTCCAACATGGAAGGAAAGTACAAAGGGAACACAACATGTAGTGAGCTGATGTGATGAACTCCAGAGTAGCCCTTAGAGAATGGCAGGGGGGGCATCATTCAACACCAAAATGAGACCATCGCAGAGTAGATATTTCCTAAAAAAAAAAAAAAAAAAAAAAAAAAAAAAAAAAAAAAAAAAAAAAAAAAGGCCAAGGAAACCCATCAAGAAGGCAATACTGTACTCCAAATTGAAGAAACAGCAAGATGACAAGCCAAAGCACATGCAACAACAGGACCAAGATAAACCATGCTGCCAACAAGGAAGATGAGAACTACCACACCTCTAGGCTTTGATGAGAGAAGAGCCAGAAAGCTTCATATCACAACAGAGGACAGGAAAAAACTCAAGAGTGAGAAAAGGGCAAGAAACCCCCCCACATATATCCTGCCTCTGAAAATTTGGAAAATGAAGAAAAACTCAAGGGGCACAGCACAGAAAAGCCCAGAACCAAACTGGCCACAGTTGTTTCCAACAAAGAGCTTGGCACCAGCCACCCCAACTTGCAAAGCCCCACAGGTATGGGGGACATGGGTGGAAACTTAGTACTGCACTCAAATGAGTCACTAGCCACCAACACATTATAAATAAGTTTTTCATTGTCAAAGAAGTTAACAAATGGAATGCATTAGGAAGTGATGTGGTAGGGACAGACTACACACAGTTTCAAATGTAGATATGATACAAACCCAAAAGGCTCAGGAATCTGTACACCAGTTGATTGATGGTTGAGAGGTAGGATCAAAGCCAAAGCTCAAGCCCCACAACCACAACTAAGCAAGTGAACAAATTAACAAGGGCAGTGACGAGGATTCGAACCTGCATCCGGGAGCATCCCAGACGCTGCCTTAATCGACTGAGCTACGACAGGGTAAAAGGTGTAATGATGTAAGGGCGAAGAGGGAGAATGGCCTATTGACATAGGTCGAGTGCAGGGAGAGGGGGTTGTGTAAAACCCTAGTTTGTGCCTCGGAGAGGCTGCAGGATCCAGTAAGTTCAGTAGAACTTCGGTTTCAACTCTTTTACCCTGTCGTAGCTAAGTCGATTAAGGCAGTGTCTGGGATGCTCCCGGACGCAGGTTTGAATCCTCGTCATGGCCTTTGTGGATTTGTTCATTTGATGCATCAGGTTAGTGTGATTTCTGTGTGTAACAACTAAGCAAGTACAGGGGCTATCTTGAGGTTATATTGAGATGATTTCGAGGCTTAGCGTCCCCGCGGCCTGGTCCTCGACCAGGCCTCCTTTTCGTTAAACACCCCCCAGGAAGCAGTCTGTAACAGCTACAATTTCCAGGTAAAGTACCTATTTACTGCTAGGTGAACAGGAACATTATGGGTGAAGGAAACTCTGCCCATTTGTTTCCACCTCCACCGAGGATCGAACCCAGAACCTAAGGACAACGAATCCAGAGCTCTGTCCACTCAGCTGTCAGAGGCAGAAACAGTGCAAGGAAAACCTAGTAGAATATGAGCATGAACAGAAAGGTATCAAATACACTGAACAATGAAAATGAACAGGCCTACACAGCGGGAAAAAAAAATCAGGGAACCCTTATCAACTGAAACCCATGGGAGAAATACCTGCTGGGGGAACATTACAATATTTCAAAGATTACCAACCCTAGTTGGTAATCTTTGAAACAAACCTCTCATCTCAAGGCCAATATGCCTGGGAATACCCATTTTGTTCATCAAGGCAAGGCATTTCCAATATATATTTTTTCAATTTTTTTTAATAATGGGAGTATGGTCAAATGGGACAATTGGTGGCCAGAGAATTGGTCAATGGTGTTCACATCAAAAAGCTCTTACTAAACCTGCCTGCAAACTTGCTTATATGCCTGGCTATTTATATATCTTGGTTCAAGAATTGCAATTAAGATTATCACATCCCTTCCTCCTAAATGCATCACAGTTACAATGAATCTATCACTCCAATGAATTGGGTCTTGTCCAGTGTAGGTCACCAAATCAAAGTTGCACTGTACAGTACTTACCAAGAAAATACAGCTAAATAATAAAGCAATTATGATAATTTATAAAGCAGAAACTACTAGAGTTAGCACTACAAACATTTGCATATTATATCTCTGGTATGGTTCAAAGACACTCAAAGTTTGATTTGAGCAATAACTCAATAAATATATAAATGAAACTGAAAAGATATTATAGTACAAACTGCAATGACAATAGGGAGCTTTCCTGTATCGTCACACTGTTTCAAGTTTCATGGAAATGTGCAAAAGCAGTCTCTGGGTTATTATAGACACCCAAGAAAAGCAATCTTGTGAAATCCACAAGGTACCTTTATTGGAGTTATGAAATTAAAGTCTTCAAATTTCATTTATTACTTGCAACATGTCATTTCCTAGGCTACATAAGAAATTTTTAAATTATGAAACAAAGATGACTTACCCTCTTTTTTAACCTTTTCATTCAGGTTGTTTACATATATCGTATGATTTGGTCGAATGTCCAACATTGCTTTTTATTTTTGTCACCTGAAAAAACACAAGAATTATATAGTATTTAAAGACAGTAAGTTAGTACCATAGTATATATACCAAAGTACAAGGAAATTAGAAAGTAGAAATCTGAACTATTGAGTTGGACAAACCGGTAAACTATTTTTTACTTGTGTTGCTTTGACAAACTAAACTAACCTTGCCTAATCTTCCTAGGCCTAATACAAGATATTGGAGGCCTAATATAGTACATGTGTGTGCTATACTAGGCCTAAGAATATTTAAGTTTATTATTTAGCTTATTTTAAAAGAATTCCTTACTAGTCAGTATACAGTACTACTGTACTATCTAAAAGCTAAGTACGTACGAATTTGTGACTATTGACGACCGTCACAATAGGTACTATCTAATCTAGAGGATAGGTTGAATACACAGGACAGTGACCCTGTAGCACAACTGTCATGGAAATTGATCCCACTTGCGTATCCTTTCCAAGCCTGTAATTTTTTTTAAAAGTCCAATTACATGTAATTACAGTACAGTATTTACTAATTTTGACTTAAACCCATATCAAAATCTTGAATTACTATTTAATTTGCACATAAATAAAAAGTGTGCAGAGCGCTTGTGCCGAGGCGTGCAGAGCGCTTGTGCCGAGGCGTGCAGAGCGCTTGTGCCGAGGCGTGCAGAGCGCTTGTGCCGTGGCGTGCAGAGCGCTTGTGCCGTGGCGTGCAGAGCGCTTGTGCCGTGGCGTGCAGAGCGCTTGTGCCGTGGCGTGCAGAGCGCTTGTGCCGTGGCGTGCAGAGCGCTTGTGCCGTGGCGTGCAGAGCGCTTGTGCCGTGGCGTGCAGAGCGCTTGTGCCGTGGCGTGCAGAGCGCTTGTGCCGTGGCGTGCAGAGCGCTTGTGCCGTGGCGTGCAGAGCGCTTGTGCCGTGGCGTGCAGAGCGCTTGTGCCGTGGCGTGCAGAGCGCTTGTGCCGTGGCGTGCAGAGCGCTTGTGCCGTGGCGTGCAGAGCGCTTGTGCCGTGGCGTGCAGAGCGCTTGTGCCGTGGCGTGCAGAGCGCTTGTGCCGTGGCGTGCAGAGCGCTTGTGCCGTGGCGTGCAGAGCGCTTGTGCCGAGGCGTGCAGAGCGCTTGTGCCGTGGCGTGCAGAGCGCTTGTGCCGTGGCGTGCAGAGCGCTTGTGCCGTGGCGTGCAGAGCGCTTGTGCCGTGGCGTGCAGAGCGCTTGTGCCGAGGCGTGCAGAGCGCTTGTGCCGTGGCGTGCAGAGCGCTTGTGCCGTGGCGTGCAGAGCGCTTGTGCCGTGGGGTGCAGAGCGCTTGTGCCGTGGGGTGCAGAGCGCTTGTGCCGTGGCGTGCAGAGCGCTTGTGCCGTGGCGTGCAGAGCGCTTGTGCCGTGGCGTGCAGAGCGCTTGTGCCGTGGCGTGCAGAGCGCTTGTGCCGTGGCGTGCAGAGCGCTTGTGCCGTGGCGTGCAGAGCGCTTGTGGCGTGCAGAGCGCTTGTGGCGTGGCGTGCAGAGCGCTTGTGCCGTGGCGTGCAGAGCGCTTGTGCCGTGGCGTGCAGAGCGCTTGTGCCGTGGCGTGCAGAGCGCTTGTGGCGTGCAGAGCGCTTGTGGCGTGGCTACCAATCGTTTAAAAAGTGTAGCACTTTGAGAAATTTTAGAAGGGTTATAGTCAGTGTTTGGCAAGTTATTTTGTCATAACCTCATAAGCTAGTTTATTTTGACCAAACACCCATTAGACAGAATGCTTCACATTCCTAAAGTCACAAGTAAAGTTAGGTCAGAAAATCTGTATGCAAATTGTGCTTCAAAGTGTTCTGTATTTACTGTAGAACCATATAACAATTGTTTACCTAAAGATTAGGACAGGAAAAACCCATGAGGGACGATGCCTTCTGGATAAGGACTCATGAGATCGTCTTAGAAGTAAAATAATATAGCAATAAGTGTCCAAACAACTTGGTGATAATTTAGTTTAGTTTACAACAAAAACATGAAGTTCCACATAGAAATGACTCAAATATCTCCATAATCCTAAAGTAAGGTGAAGTGTCAATTACTCACATTCCCCGACTCATACAAAATCCCTTTTACAAAAATGAATTAATGTCTCGAACAATGCCCAAAAAGTGTATTGTTAGCGTGTTTGCATCAAAGTATATTTGCTGCCATTGTGTATATATTTCATATGAGAATGAAAGAGTAATTGTACACAAACCCATGATAAGGGTCGGGATCCGTACCGCAATACTTACCCGAAACGCTGCACATATTAATGGCTTTAGGCAAAGTATATACCAGTTCTATCAAGAAATCCAATATTCTGTTTGTAACTCATTTTGTATGTGTGTGTGTACTTTTACCTGAATAAATATTATTATTATTATTATATACTACGGCCCTCCAGTGGACCCGGGTACCACCCCCAACCTGAGAACACGAAGAACTTATGAAGGGCCGATAACCCAGACTCATGTTGATAATAACAGCTAAGTGAACATATATGCGCAGGTATATACACGCCCAAAGCTAAATCTTGGTATACCTGAGGTATTATAAAGGAGCATGCGAGGGGTTGAGAGTCGGCGGCGAAGGAAGCGTCAACTGGACCGCCCAGTTTTTAGACGCTGTAAACATCGAAATATAAGAAACAAGTCACTTTCTAGTCTCACCTATAGATGAAGCGTATAGCAAACCTTAGCAAGTGCAAGTGGCGCTGGTGTGAGAGAGACAGGAGCCAAGTATGGTAAGTGCGGCCTGGAGCCCCGGGTCGTGCGCGTTCGTAAGGAGCGTGCAACTTACTCTACAACGTTTGATGATAAACAATTATTATCCATAGCACAAATATCAGCGCATTTTTATATGAAATACGACTCGCAAAAATTACACAACTAATTCTATATTGTCTAATAAATTTTTAAATTCAAAATTTAGTAGATTAATTATATTTTACATTAAACAGAAATGATAATGTTTACAGTTAGTTTTGTTATATCTTCCATTTATGCAGCAGAGCAACAACTCCACTTACTACCTCATACATATATGCCTCTTTCCTGCTCTCTCAGCCTCACACCTCCTTTAATATTCCCCACACAACCATTATTTTTCTGCGTAATATCGAGAAGCCGTCGACTGTGGCGGGGTAGACGACATAAGGAATCAGATTCGTCTTAAGAGAATAAGAGCCTGATTAAAGGGGTCATAAGGTGGTGAAGGCCGGCGTAGAGGGTCAGGGCGCGGGGGAGGCGCCTCGCACGTCAACAGGTTCCTCCGTCTATACTTTCATATGATTGTTGAGGGGAGCTGCCAGTTGGTACAAACATACCTGGAGAAATGGTGAGATTTGGCTTATTTGGGCTCCCTCTTTTACTGGCTGTCGAGGCGATATTTGTGAGTCCGGCGGCGGGAGGTGATGCCTCTGGCTGTGAGGCTGTGGCTGTGTGGCTGCCGAGGTGTATAAGCCAGGACTTCCGTCGCCGACTAAGGGCACGGGTTTCTCCACCCCCTTTTCTTATACTATTAACGTACAAGTATTTATTAACGTCATATATATGGAGAATTTATATTAATTAATACATCTCAGCAAACAGCATTCCACTGAACATGAGTTTGATTGGTAAATTATTTCCGTACTTGGCATGTAGTGTTGTTGATTGAGGGGCGACGACGAGGAGATTGGCTTATAGGGTGTATGCTGCTTGATATGTATAGGTTAGTACACTGTCTTCTTCCTCATTAACAAATTTGGGGAGGCTATAAGAACCCCTGGAAGTTTGCACTGCCTGCTAATATATATCTGATCTAATATTAACTTTGTCAGCAAAAGATTCACATATCCTGTCACTGTAATTGAATGTGGAAAGTCAAAGAATTTTGAAACAACTCTCACTCCTCTTGAAATGTCCAAAAATTTATTTCAGAATGACATGTAACCCAAAAACACTTGCCAAGTGTCCCAAGTTTGCTTGTCGTAGATAAATGTATACTGTCCACGAGCTTGCATTACCTGCAAGTCACTTATTTGCTTACCACATGACTGTGTACCATAGCATTAGATAAAGTACTGTACTTCAGTCATTGCCCTTTCAACTTGTTCACTCATATGAGGGAAATGAAAACAACTGATTTCTGAGCCCATTAACTAATTATAACCTTTTCAGTATGATCCAGACGATGGGTATTGGGTTTATATTGGCTGAATTTACCAGAGGGCAAGTGTGTGTGGTGGCCTCGACAGGCAGAGGAAGTTGTCATTCTTGTCACGATCCCCCCATTATTCTTGAAGAGTTTTTCCAGATTAATTTTAAATTGGAATGCTGTTTTTGCATTTATGACTTTGGCAGGTAGGTGATTCCATAGGTTTATTATCATATGGTGAAAATGCAACTCCTATATTCTGTCCTATATTATGGCTTGTTAATCTTGAGGCTGTTGCTCCTTGTTTGAGTTACATTGGACTTTTTAAAGAAGTGGCCCGGATTAATATAAAATTTGTTCATTATTTTAAGTCTCAGTGGAATCAGTCCTATCATGTCTGGTTTGTAGTACTGTATTTGTCTTGGGAGGCCCCACAACTTTTCCTGGTACAGTATAGGTACTGACTTTGTTCTGGGATTTTTTCCATTGTGTTATACTTTTCCAAAGTAGATGTTTCTTTTTAAAGGTGAGGTCTCCATGCTTGGGGGTTACATTAACCCAGATGGGGTGCACCAGAGTTACACAGCCGAATAACCAATTTCTTTCCGTGAAGTCAGACTCCTTTTATTATTTTTGTACTACAATTCCTACATACTAAGCAACTTTCAAAGAGTGGTTTATCATAATTTCTACATCCTTTTCTTTTATCAATCTGCTACATTGATTACAATATATACTGTATTCTGATATATGGTTTAGATTTTATTTGTTTGGATTCTTTTGAAACCGGTGTATAAATTTATAGGTAAATATCTATTGGTCTACATTATTGTATTGGTAGATCATTAGTAATAGTAGTAACCACATAATTTTTAGTATTTTGTCTTGCACTGGCTTCCAGGCATAGGTTTGCTGAACTTTATGCTCTGTTGCAGGAGGGGTTTATTGTCCTTTAGTACAGTATTCTAATACAGTACAGTATTTCCAAAATGGTCCTTCACCTCTAGGACACAATAAGCTTGAAATTTATCTGAATATTCATTGCATTTGTTCATGTCACAGTCTCTCATACTCACACAGCCCGTCTCCCTGCTAACCAGTTCACACTTGTCCTATACATACATATTCACCTGCATACTCATCCTATATATGTATACATATTCACCTGCATACTCATCCTATATATGTATACATATTCACTTGCATACTCATCCTATATATGTATGCATATTCACCTGCATACTCATCCTATATATGTATGCATATTCACCTGCATACTCATCCTATATATGTATACATATTCACCTGCATACTCATCCTATATATGTATACATATTCACCTGCATACTCATCCTATATATGTATACATATTCACCTGCATACTCATCCTATATACGTACTGTATATGTATTCACCTGTACACTTGTCTGTCATTATTGTATAGTCTGTTTTGTAATAAATTAATTATCTTTAGTTAGTTAGATCGAGTATTGGACCACCTGTTTTTGATTAAGGATGGCGTTTCCTGACACTTGGATGCCCAAGGGGAACTATAGAGGGGAATCACAGACCATTATGACCTCAATTATTATGCAAGGTAGCATGGTGTATTATGCAAGCACTGGTGGCATTGTCTTTTGATTTGAAGATACTGTTCTTGGTTTTTAGTGTCTGGAAACTGGGCTGTTTCTTGTGTTGGTCTCTGAACATGCTTCATTATCCATAGTTCACTTTTCTAGCTATCTACCTCAGTACCATCCAACAGTACTTGAAATGCCAAATGTGATTTTTTTTACTTTAGATTTGTGAACTATTTATTGTCATGCACATCCTGATGTAGGACCTTCATTTAGCTGAGCTGCTTAAAAGTTTATCTGAAAATTAGACATAAAATTTAACAAAATATAACTCCATAGATTTGACTATATGTATGTATGTAAAAAAAAAAAAAAAAAAAATTGTATCATGCTGATTTCATGTAAAAATATATACAATTCTTACAAGTTTATATTCAATTTATTTTGCCATAACTGATGCAGGGGCTATTGGTTTTTTCACCATCAATGATCAGGCACCAACAACTTTACCCCTACTGTAAATACTGTACAGTACAGTACTACATGCATGTTTCAATTGGCCCCATAGCAATGTATTTTTGTTTTTGTTAGAGATAAAAATTATTTATTTTCTATGAATACAATAAAGCATTGTCTGCTAAAATATTTTTTATACAAAATTTTAATTTCAGAGCTTTTTTGGGTTCGGCCAAAGTGCCGACATTGAAATCCAGCTGGATGGCTCTGATACCCGAAAAATGGCAGAGATGAAAACTGAAGATGGCAAGAAGGAACGCTATTTTCTTTATTATGATGGAGAAAGTGTATCTGGCAAGGTTAGTAGCTTGGATATGTTTCATTATGAGTTACCCATATGAGTAAGGGTAATGAGCTTGGTAGACAACCAAGCTCATACATATTATATTGTATGAGCTTGGTTATCCAAAGCCTGTTCAACCGAACCTTTGGGTTGTCCAGCCAAAATCGAGATCGGATATTTGCCAAATTTTGCCATATCTGGACAGAAATCTGGATAACTGGGATTTTGGCCAGATAACTGAGGACAGCACTGGGAGACCTATGCTTACCAGGAAGCCAAGGGCCTTCAACCTGTGAAGCCCCAGCAGCTGGCATTCATAACTGACCTTGCTAAGCTTAGGTACAGTAATTTTAGTGTTGTGTTGGATTAGGCTAATAAATGATTATGAATGTAAAATAACTATATTACAGTACTTAATATTGTATTATAACAAATAATAATTATTACTAAAAATTGCATGTAAAGGCTATACAGTACTATGTATTTCCCTGCTAAAATAGGTACAGTACTTACTTTCACCTATGTATTGTATCATGATGCAACATGTCAGCAGTGGGCAGGTTCCTTTGTTGTTTTCCTTGTTAATACTTGCCACACGATTAGGTGATTTCACACACATGCTCTGACCCTGCCTCTCATACACACATACATTATGAGAAGAATCAAGACGGATGAAGATAGACAGAGACTACAGGGTGACCTGGACAGACTGGAGGAATGGTCTAGAAAATGGCTGCTAAAGTTCAACTCAGGAAAGTGTAAGGTAATGAAATTAGGCGAAGGGAGCAGGAAGCTGAACACAAGGTATCATCTGGGAGGTGAAATCCTGCAAGAGTCAAATAGAGAGAAAGATCTGGGGGGTTGATATCACACTGAACCAGTCCCCAGAGGCCCACATGAAAAGAATATCATCAGCGCATATGCTAGACTGGCCAACATAAGAACTGCCTTTAGAAACTTGTGTAAGGAATCATTCAGGACCCTGTATACCACTTATGTAAGACCAATGCTAGAGTATGCAGCTCCAGCCTGGAGTCCATACCTAGTTAAACACAAGACAAAGTTAGAGAAGATTCAGTGGTATGCCACCAGCCTCATCCCGGAGCTGAGAGGAATGAGCTACGAGGAAAGGCTAAAAAAGCTGAACCTCACATCCCTGGAAAACAGAAGAGTAAGGGGAGACATGATAACCACCTACAAAATTCTCAGGGGAATTGACAGGGTGGACAAAGACAAACTCTTCAGCACGGGTGGGACAAGAACAAGGGGACACAGGTGAAAAACTGAAAAAGACAAGCGTTATATGACAGTGTGTTGGGAAGACGGGACACCACGAGCATAGCTCTCATCCTGTAACTACACTTAGGTAATTACACACACTCATTTTCAATCTCTCTCTCTCTCTCACACTGACACACACATTAATTCGTTTGTCAGCTTTTCATGTTTCATAAAAATCTTGACTTTTTATATACATTTAATTCCCATCTTGTTTTGCAGGTGAATGTCACTCTTAAACGGCCTGGAGGCCGACTGGAACACCAAGGTGTGAAAATTGAATTTGTGGGTCAGATTGAGCTTTACTATGACCGAGGAAATCACCATGAATTCACGTCTTTGGTGAAGGAGCTAGCAAGGCCTGGGGAACTCTCACATAATACCTCCTTTGACTTTGAATTTAATCAGGTGGAGAAACCCTATGAGTCATATTCTGGAACAAATGTTAGACTAAGGTGAGTAAGTGTCCTTTGCTTTTGGTGACTATTTATCATAACTTTGATGCACTTTTATTTATGTATTCCCATCTACACAACGCTACATAAGTTTTTCAAATCTGCTCATTTCTACTGCTTAAATTCTAGCTAAATTTGTCTAATTAAAATCTGAGTTTCAATAATGGGTCATGGTTTGAAGTTGTTTGGAGCATACCTCTGTTAATTTATATTTTGGTTAATTACCGTCTCAATTTTAGGTATAAATATTTTCTTTTTCCTTATCAGACAGACTAGCTAACACTAAGAGACACTATGATTATGGCATGATCCATTCATATGCAAGTGTTGCAGTCAAAATGTAAGGGGACCTATTAACCCTTACTGGGCTATACCAGAACACGATTTAATTCAGCCACAACCCAATCAGTTCTGTATTTGTGTAGCTTGCTCCATATACAGTACACATGCCCTGCATACACATTGTTATATACACTCACATGCAAAAGGTATCCACTAAATTGATAAGGAGGGATAAAGGACATTGCCAGAATTTTAATGTACCTGCTTGCCTGATACCTGCTTGATGGGGTTCTGGGAGTTGTTCTACTCCCCAAGCCCAGCCCTAGGCCAGGTTTGACTTATGGGAGTTTGGTCCACCAGGCTGTTGCTTTGAGCGGCTCGCAGTCCTACATATCCACCACAGCCCAGTTGATCCGACACTCCTTGAAGAAAACAATCTAGTTTTCTCTTGAAATGTCCACGGTTGTTCCGGCAATATTTCTTATGCTCGCTGGGAGGATGTTGAACAACTGTGGATCTCTGATGTTTTTACAGTGTTCTCTGATTGTGCCTATGACACCCCTGCTCTTCACTGGATCTATTCTGCATTTTCTTCCATATCGTTCACTCCAGTACGTTGTTATTTTAGTGTGTAGATTTGGGACCTGGCCCTCCAGTATTTTCCATGTGTATATTATTTGATATCTCATCTCCTTTCTAGTGAGTACATTTGGAGAGCTTTGAGACGATCCCAATAATTTAGGTGCTTTATCGCGTCTATGTATGCCGTATATGTTCTCTGTATTCCCTCTATTTCAGCAATCTCTCCTGCTCTAAAGGGGGAAGTGAGTACTGAGCAGTACTCAAGATGGGACAACACAAGTGACTTGAAGAGTACAACCATTGTGATGGGATCCCTGGATTTGAAAGTTTTCGTAATCCATCCTATCATTTTTTGGCTTACGAAATATTTGCTTGGTTATGTTATTTGGTTTGTTATGTGGAAAAGAGATAAGTTAGTGTCACTTGGTATAAAGTCATTATTTTTGTTCATTGGTATTTCTTTCAAATAATCATTAGTACAATACAGTACTTGCTAATTACTGTACTATCGTGATTGTCAACAGACTTACGAACCTTACAGTGGTAGTAATCTTTAGTAAATATCAAAGTGCTTTCTGTACAGAATGTTTATTGTATTTATTCTGCATTTTAAATGTTGGGTAATATATTCTTTAAATTGTATTTCTTTAATTTGCAGATACTTTTTAAGAGTAACAATTGTCAGAAGATTGTCAGACATTGCACGGGAAATGGATTTACTAGTACATACACTCTCATCCTACCCGGAGATGAACAACTCTATAAAAATGGAAGTTGGTATTGAGGATTGTTTACACATAGAATTTGAATACAACAAATCTAAGTAAGTAATGTATACTTTGTTCAGTGATTTGGTGTTTAGCTTAGTATAAGTACCATGAATGTAAGATTGAGGAGTGTTTCATTATTGGCAGTGCTAGGTTTCTGACAGTTCATGATATTTCCTAATACAGAGTTTGAACATTTAGTTTTATTATCTGTACTTTTTACTCTAAATGGTATTTTAAAATACTTTTGTATATTAATATTTTCTCTGAATTTTATCACAAAAACTAGACCTTTTGATACAGTGTATCCTTTGACTCATTGGTGATTACTATTAATATTTAAATTTTTCTGTAAAAAAAATATAATGGTAAATGTGCTTGCGTGTGAGTGGAAGCAATGTGTAAGAATCCAGTGGCTGGGGACCACTCATGACAGGATTTCTGTATCATCTCAGTTTTCCTAAAGCTTGCAGACATCTGTGGAGCACACTACTATACGTGGAGTGGAGTCTGCAAAAGTTCTAGATCCAGAAGACTGATGCATCTTCAAGTTGGCTTCATTTATAGATAGTAATCTCTTGTTAGATAACATATAGATACGAGAGTTGAGAGGGTAAGCAGCACTCAGATCAACATCAACAAGCGCAAGCAATGATCTCCCTAACTCAGTGCTTGCGCTTGGGCCTAAGTACTTATAATTTTATCAGACTTGCTGGGGTTTCCTTGCTTATTCATTATTCCATCCTTATTGATGTCCATTACCTCTACACTGCTCATTACTGTGGGATGAGGGGCTGTTCGATACGGTTAGTCTTAGTTGGTATTTTGGATGGTTGCCAGTTACCAGACATTGGCACTGAAAAAAACTGCTCCAGTGCATGGAATGAGGCCACAAAACTGTCAGAAACGCGTAGAATTTGCCCCGAAAACATATTGCAACACGAAAAAGCAATAATATAAACATGTAAGAATAAATATTATAATATTCATTTTTCCATGACTCAAAGAAATGTTTCTGTTTGATTCTCAAATTTAAGGGGGTATTATATTATATTATTTAACTTGTTCTCTTTTGTTTTCAGGCTGGTGTATAGTCCTTAAACTGTAGAATGACAGAGGTAGACACCTAGGTGTATCATGGCTAATAAACCAACTTATTCTCCAGAAAAAAGTACATGGCACTTTGACATATAATTTCTTTGAGGCCAAAAACCGATGTACTTAAAACTGTAGTAGCTCTCGAAATTGACAAGTCCCGTTTTCAGTTCCTGGGTTCTTGAGTAGGTCAGGTTTGGGAAATTTAGTACAACAGTTTTGTGACATTGGGAATGCTTGAGAGAATGGGCTGAATAAATGTCTTAACACTGGCATCAAAATACACAATTCTTGTATCTGGACTCAAAAGCCAAATTAACTCTTAATTGAAAATTTCACCAACACATGCTAAACACATCATACTCCTTGCATGTTAATATCAGATTCATTAAGTTCATTAAGTAGTACCTTACATTCATTGTTCTCACTAACATTCCAATGTTTTAAGAAAGTTCAAATTATTTCTTCAAGACACCCTTACAGAAGTTCATAGGATTTGTATTTCAATATTTAACACTTATATTTTAATAATATTTTGCAATTGCAGAATGTACATGGGACTGCATATATATTTAGTAGTCCCCGTGGTGTAGTAGTTAAGATTCAACTGGCGTTTCGCAAGCGCTTTGTCCGCCAGGGTTCGTATCCTGGTCAGGGAGGATTTACTGGACATCAGTCCTAAACTGTAGCCTTTGTTTACCCAACTGTAAAAAAGGGTACCTGGTTGTTAAACAATTTGGTGGGTCGTATTCCGGCGAACATAGGATTAAGGACTTGCCCGAAATGCACAAGAATGTAAGAACTCTTGTATATATAAATAAAAAAATAAAATAAAAATATTATTAATGTTTATAGTATTTGTTCTTATTTAGAGAGGAACAGTTCACCCCACGGGGTGAATATGCCTACCGCACAGGCTAGCTGCTGCCTTATTGGGAGTTTCAAATATAGAGATTCACAGTTTTATCATTAAGAAACATTAAAATGCCTCTTCCTTACAAATCTTCACACACAATTACCTAAGTGTAGTTACAGGATAAGGGCTATGGTCATGGTGTTTCGTCTTTCCTGTTCTTTGTCACATGACGCTTTGAAACTATTGACAGCTTTGGTATCAGCTGCCTTCTCAGTTAATTTTTTCCAACTGTGTGCCATTCTATTTACTAAAAATAATATTCTAATATTTTGTTGGTACCTTTGTTTCCTTCGTTGTTATGTCTTCATTTATTTTACTGTATTCCTTATAGTTGTTATCTATGTCCTCATGTTCTTGAAGTTGCAGGTTTCAAGAATGCCTTTGTCAATTTTGTTGATTCCCGTTACTGTACTATTTTATTGGTATTGATTGTCTCTTCCTTCTGACTTTGGAATATTTAATATTGTACATTTCATAGTGTGGCATTTGTTCACATTGAATTCCATCTGCCACATGTTGCTCAGTACACTTATTTTCTCCAAGTCATTTTGAAAGGCAAGATAATTGTCGAAGATTCTTTTCGTCCCTAGTAGCTTAGCATCATCAAACATGTTCTTATAAATCTGTATTTCATCTGATAGTGTTTATATAGACAGTGAACATTACTGCTGCTAGAATACTGGTGTTATTAGTGGTGCTTCACTAGTAACATTTCTCCAGTCTAATACATTGTCTTTGGTTACTGCCCTCATCTTTCAGTCAGTTAATTTTTCATCCATGTCAGAAATCTTTGTCTCCCCTCTAGCATGTTCCAGTTCCCAAAATACACCCTTGCTTGAAACTTTTTCAACTTTTATCTTTTCAGGTATCACCTAAAAGATGTCATTGTTGGCAAAATCTATTTTCTGTTAGTACGTATTAAGATCAAGCACATGGAGATAGCGATCATCAAGCGAGAGACTACAGGCTCAGGTAACATTTATGCATTGAATTGTATCATTAGTGAATGCCCTAAAATTAGTGTTGTAACTTATTTGTAGTTAAATTTATGCTCATAATATAATAAACTGCAGAAGGCCTATTTTTTACCAAGAGGCAGCCTCTATACATGTACTCTGTGTGTGTGTGTGTGTGTTGTGTGTGTGTGTGAGATAAACCTAAGTGTAGTTACAGGATGATAGCTATGCTCATGGTGTCCCGTCTTCCCAGCACTCTTTGTCAAATAATGCTTTGAAACTACTGACAGTTTTGGCCTCCACCTCCTCACTCAACTTGTTCCAACCATCTACCTTTGTTTGCAAAAGAAAACTTTTTAATATTTTTTCAGCACCTTTGTTTCCTTAGCTTGAATCTGTGTCCTCTTGTTTAAGTTGCTGGTTTCATTGAAATTGGTGATGGGAACTTGTTCAATTTTCAATAGGAATTTTTTTTAAATGTGTAGCAGTGAGAACAAGAGGCCATACATTCAAAGAAAGTAAGTAAAGATGTAAAAATGTGTTTAAATTATCTTTTCCAAACAAATTGGTAGTTGATGGAATAATTTAAAAGAAAGAAAAGTGTGTGCTAAACCTATTGAAAGCTTCAAAACATCATATTACAAAAACTGTTGGGGAGATTATACTACTTGAGCTTAGCTCTCATTCTGTAACTAAGGTAAAGTAGTTACTCATTCTCCTTTCCTATGCTCATAAATTTCTAAAGATCTTTTGTGCATTAAATCTAATATGATTAAATATTTTGTTTACTTGCAGGACCCAACACTTTCAATGAGAATGAAACTATTGCCAAATATGAGATAATGGATGGAGCTCCAGTGCGCGGTGAGAGCATCCCAATCAGAGTGTTTTTGGCTGGGTATGACTTAACTCCAACAATGAGAGACATAAACAAGAAATTCTCAGTTCGATATTACTTGAACCTGGTGTTGGTTGATGAGGAGGAACGACGCTACTTCAAGCAGCAAGTTAGTTATTCCTGTTGTATGTGCTGTTCTTGTACTGTAAGTGGTACTGTTCTCACGTACTTTAAATACTGTGTTATATTTCACGGTACTGTATGTGGTTTGCATCTCCTGCTCTATCATGAATGTGCAAAAGATTTGTGCACATTTGTGGCACTGTTAAACAGTTATATTATTGTATATTTTAATTCTAAATGCAGAATTTATTTCTAACTTGTCATTAAATAAATAATTGGAAATATTTGATGAGATGGAGAGTTTTAATTTTTTCTTGGATGTAATTTTATTGATGTAATTTTTGTTTAATGGTGTGAGTTTAGAGCTGCAGGCAGTTACACTTTAGGAAGCAAGGATTGGTTAGCCGTTTGATTGTAAAAAGTGATTGTAGTCTTTTCCCCATGCCTAGAAAAACACTTCCATATGTATTAAAAGGGTTACTTAGCTGTTGTGCCCAGGTTTTCCCCTCCTCCCACCTCATCTTTCAACTCCCCCTCTCCCCCTCACTCCACTGCCTTCCTCCCAATCCCTCCCCATCTCCCTCCCTTCCCTTATCTTAATCCCTCTCCTGTCTCCCTCCCCCCTACCTATCTAACACCCCTACCTATAACATCCCCCTTCCTATCTAATACCCCCATTCCTCTCCCACCTCACCCATTTTCTGTCTCAGAAAATGTAATACTTTAACCCAAATGAATTCACATTCATTGTTTTCCAGCAAAATGAAAGTACATAGGTAGATGGTGGAAGTATGCATCAAAACTGTTTCAAAAACACATAACAGATTTTATTTCAGACTTCATGAAAATTGCAGGGATCAATTTAGATGCATGTATTTCTCAAAGCTTGCGGGAATTGTGAGCCAGCTGTCAGCGAGAGAGGATGTGTCTCTCGGAGCTCCTCCCTCAACACTGCACCACTGGATCTCTCATCACCAATATGAGCTTCATGTGGGCATTGGCAAGTGATCTCATTTGCCATTTAACTAAGGAAAGAAAAGTGAAAGGAAGAAGCAAAAAGACATCAGAAAGAAGTGCAGTCATGGTAGTCCAGAGGTCCCTGGAAACCACCACGTGCCACGGCTGGGCCTGCTGCCTGCAACTTCCACCACCACCTCCTGCCACACATTTGTCTCGGACCAACCCATTTTTTATTAACTCATTTTTCATTAATCATCTTGCCACCCATTATCTTCAGTGATTCATATCATCACCCACATCACCTCCCATTATTGTACTAATTTATTAACACTAACCTACTATAACTTCCATACTTTTTTCATACTCTTGTTCCTTTTATCAACTGGTCATGCAGACTTGTGTGAGTGCCACGGGCTAATTGGTACTCTGAAGAAACAAATGGCACTACTCAAGAAACAAGATACAAGTAACTCCAATCCCAGCTGATACAGCCCAGGAAAATCAAACAAATGACTCCAACAAAATCAAGCCTGGCCTCAGGCTGGGCTTGGGGAGTAGCACACCTCAAGCCCTCTCCAGGTGACCCAAGCTGGCACAACTCGTGAAACTTTTGCTCCAAAGAGAAATCAATTGAGTGGGAACAGTTGTGAACCGACTACACAAACAGCAGCAACCCAGGCTTGTGCAAGCCAGAAACTCAAAAAGGTATCTCATCCTTTGTTTGAACGATATGGAAGAAAATGCAGAATAGAACCAGTGAAGAGCAGAGGTGCCATAGGCACAATCAGAGAACACTGTATAAACATCAGAGGTCCGCGGTTGTTCAACGTCCTCCCAGCAAGCATAAGAAATATTGCCGGAACAACCGTGGACATCTTCAAGAGGAAACTAGATTTATTCCTCCAAGGAGTGCTGGACCAACCGGGCTGTGGTGGGTATGCGGGCCTGCGGGCCGCTCCAAGCAACAGCCTAGTGGACCAAACTCACAAGTCAAGCCTGGCCTCGGGCCGGGCTTGGGGAGTAGAAGAACTCCCAGAACCCCATCAACCAGGTATCAACCAGGTATCCCAACAATGCACCCAAAGTTAAACAAATTAAAAGAACAAATGATCTTCAGTGGTCACTGATGATGAATGATGGCTACCTTGAGGTGGCTACCTTGAGGTGCTTCCGGGGCTTAGTGTCCCCGCGGCCCGGTCGTCGACCAGGCCTCCTAAAATGATGGCAAAAGAAAAAATCTAAAACAGAGTGGGTATGTATACCTCCGAGAAAGGCATCGAATACACAATCTACAATGATAAAACACAGCCCACCATCTTCAAAAACACATTCTTTTGTCCAGTAGATTGGGCCATGTGTGAAGTGAGAAAACTGCCTATGGACTAAGTATCCCCCAACATCTTACATTAGAGTATAACAAAGTCTGAAAACAAGAAAGCTGCACTTGTTTCTATAATGGGGTAGCATTTCCTCACCCTTCACCCACTACCAGTAAAAATGTCAGCTCGGAAGTAAGTCACGAGAAAGAATTTATAAAGACGATGACTCAGAAGGAAAAAAAGAAACGAGTTAAGAAGAAGAAACTCGTCTACAAACTATTCCAGAAAAGGCTCTAGTGACTATACTCGGAATAATAAATAAAGTAAGGAAAATAAACAATATTAGACAATCAGAGATAAGAATCATACAAACACCACCATTCAAATCACCAAACCAATCAAGGCCAAAATGCTAATAAAATCCACAAAGAAAACATAATCAATAAAATCAAACTAGCAGTCAAGTTTTCACAGCATCGCTCTCCAGAATAAGCTGCAAGTAACATCAAGCAACACCCTTGCCAAGACTGACATCACCAAACTTCTGGTGAAGTAGCAACAGTGGGCCACCAAAGGAAGCCAGCAAAAAAAAAAAAAAATAAAATTAAAAAAAAATCATATATGCGAGCACAGTGTATGTTACCATCTGTCATATGAACCAAAATTCATACCTTACATCTACTCATATCACAGTATTAACAAATTTCCAACAAGGCCAAAGTGGTTGGGCCACTACCCTGTACTTCCCCTCCTCATTTCTTCCTTGCATCACAATCCTTGTTCAAGATTTCCTGTATCCTTATCCTACCTCTACCATCCTCTTGCTTACCAGCTCTATGGTCATCCAAAGTCAAAGTGGCACATGGACCCACCTCGACTGGCCTATAACACTCCCATACCCCTATGAATCATATGTGAAAGTAAAGTGAGGTATCTGGTATCTGAGATCCCCAGGCATCTGGCCTCCTAATTTGGACTCGTAATTCGGTACATTTCATTTTATAGGTATAGATAGATATATGTATTCATTTATATTTATTACGCATATTGAAGTCGATTTATAATCATGGAAATAGCCTTTCTTTTGAATGTAAGTGTTTATCATCTAATTTAAAACACTCATCTTTTTCTGTGTTATAATGATTAATAGTAAATATGAAGACTGTATTCTTTTTTTATATTCAGAAATGTAATAAAAACAAATCTATGAAGCATCAATGATATAGTGACATTACCAAGGAATCAGTAATTATAAATGTAAGGATTTCACTGTTCTAGGAAATCACACTATGGCGGAAGGGAGAGCGGTTACGACGCCCTCTACAACAGCAACTTATGGCACAGCAACAATCCCTACAGCAACTCTCACTAAGTAATCAACAGGGAAAGTTCCCACAGTCACACCCCCAAGGCCAACCACCAGAATTTGTAAGTGAATTATGAAGGCTGTATTGATTTTTTTTTGTCCCATGATGGAATCAAATAGGCTCAGGAACCTGTACACCAGTTGATTGATAGTTGAAAGGCAGGGGAAAAAAAGGAGCCAAAGCTCAGTACAATAAAATACAAGTACAATTAGGGAAGTACAGTACACACACTCCTCTTTTCCCCACCCCCCTCTCTCCCCATTATTTGTCACACACACACATGTTGTGTGTTGTGATTATCATCCCACCTTCCAAGGATCCCCTCACCCCTCCCATTGCAACCCCCCCCCCCACGTCTTTCTCTGTTTCACTCTTCCCCTCTGTACCAATGCCTATACCTACCCCTGAGTTCCCCCTGACTAATACAACCTCTCTCCCACTCTCACTATCCATGCTTCATCCTCCCCGCTTCCCCCCACCCCCCACTATCCTTCTCCCTCCCAATCTCTCAACCTCAATCTGACACTCAGCCTCACCCTACCTCTCAGATCCTCCCTAATTTTCAGACCCAGTATGCCCTTCCTACTCCAGACCTACCTACACAGACCTTACTACCCCAGACCTTCCTACCTACCTTCCTAGATGCTCAGACCCCATTCGACCCCCCAGGCACCCCCCCAGCAGATTCCCCCAGACCCCCAGAGAAAGGGTGAACTCTGGTACCAAAGTTTCCAAGAAGAGTCTCAAGGTTTGGTACACCAATACTGATAGGGTAACTAATGAAGCAGAAGAGATAAAAGAAAGAGTTAGTGAGGCAGATCCTGACATAGTTGCAATAGTGGAAACTAAAATAAATGGCATGATCTCAGATGCAATCTTTTCCAGAGGGGTACCAGGTGATAAGAAAAGAAAGGACACAGAGACAGGGAGGGGGGATTGGCACTCCTAATAAAGTGGAAATGGAAGTTTGAAGACCTGGAAAATCGGGGTACCAATGAGAGCACAAGCTCCATACATGGAACTCTGACAGTAGATGGGAGGAAGATTGTGATCTTGGTAATCTACAATCCCCCACCAAACAGTAGAAGACCCAGGCAGGAGTATGATGACAACAAGAAGGCATGTATCAATGAACTGCAGAAGGCAGCAATAGTAGCTCACAGAATGAGAGCAAAACTGCTGGTCATGGGGAACCTAAATCATAGAGGTAAATTGGGAATCAAGGAATCCCCCTGAGCGGGGAAGAAACGTGGGGAGCAAAGTTAGTAGATGTTATAGACAGCAATTTCCTAACACAACATGTGAAGGAAGACACAAGGGAAAGAGGAGGGGATAAACCAAGCCTATTAGACCTGATTTTCACCCAGAACGTAGAAGACATCAAGAATTTGGAACATGAAATACCTCTAGAGGCCAGTGACCATTGTGTCCTAGTCTTTGACTACATGATGGAACTCAAACTTGTGACCAAGGGACAAGAGGTCTAGGAAAGGAAAGTTGACTACAGGAAAGGGGACTACAGGAGGATAAGGGACTATCTGGGAGAAGTGCAATGGGAGGAAGAAATGACAGGAAAAACAGTCCAAGATATGATGGACCTAGTCACACGGAAATGCTAGGAGGCCGAAGAGATTTATATAAACCAACAGTAAAGGAAAAAAGTAAGAGGGAATAAAATAACCCATGGTTTAATAGACAGTGTCAGGAAGCAAAAATGAGAAGCAGGAGGGAGTGGAGGAAGTACAGAAGACAAACAAGAGGACAACAGGATCAGATGCAACAGAGCTAGGAACGATTACATTAACATAAGAAGAGCATCGGAAAGAAATTATGAGAACGATATTGCGATCAAAGCGAAAAAGCAACCTAAATTACTACACGGCCATATAAGAAGAAGAAATGTTGGTGAGCGACCAAGTGACAAGACTAAGGAAAACAGAGGGGGCATATACAGAAAGTGACAAGGAAATCTGTGAGGCACTGAATGCCAGTTTCCGTAGTGTTCACAATCGAGTCTGAGCAGCTCCCATTGTTAGAAGAGATTACCTTAGATGAAAGACTATCAGATATAGAGGTAACAGCGGAGGAGTTAATGAAACGGTTGACAACGCTGGATGCAACTAAAGCGGTTGGACCAGACAAAGTATCACCGGGGATACTAAAAGAGGTGGCGCAGGCCCTCAGCATGCCTCTGGCAAGGATCTTTAATGAATCACTGATGTCAGGAGAATTGCCCAATTGTTGGAAGAGGGCAAATGTTGTACCGATTTTCAAGAAAAGTGATAGGGAGGAGGCACTTAACTATAGATCTGTATCACTGACAAGCATCCCCTGTAAAGTTCGTGAAAGAATAATTAGGCGAAGACTGGTTGCACACCTAGAGAACATAAGGTATGTAAACAAACATCAACATGGATTCTGGAAATGGAAATCTTGCCTAACAAACCTTTTGGAATTTTATGATAAAATAACGAGGATAAGGCAGGACAGAGAAGATTGGGCAGACTGCATATTTCTAGACTGCCAAAAGGCCTTTGATACAGTACTGCACATAGACTGCTATTCAAACTTGAGAGGCAGGCGGGAGTGAGCGGAAAGGCCCTAGCATGGGTACGGAACTACCTAACAGGAAGGAACCAGAGAGTTACAGTAAGGGGTGAGAAGTCGGACTGGCGAACAGTAACAAGTGGAGTACCACAAGGATTGGTACTGGGATAAATTCTATTTCTAATATACGTTAACGACATGTTTACAGGAGTAGAATCCTACATGTCGATGTTCGCGGATGACGCAAAGTTGATGAAAAAAGTTGACAGATGGAGATTGTAGGATCCTCCAAGAGGAGTTGAACAGGTTGCAGAGATGGTCAGAGAAATGTCTACTGGAATTCAACATGAGCAAATGTAAAGTTATGGAAATGGGACTAGGTGATAGGAGACCAAAGGTACAGTACACAATGAAGGGGAACTGCCTACCTGTGATGACGCGAAAAAGAGACCTAGGCGTGGACGTAACACATAATCTAACTCCTGAGGCACACATAAATAGGATATCAACAGCTCCGTACTCTACACTGGCAAAAGTTAGAACATCATTCAGAAACCTAAGTAAGGAGGCATTTAGGGCGCTTTACACTGCCTACGCGAGGTCAGTCTTAGAATATGCTGCCCCATCATGGAGTCCCCACCTGAAGAAATACATAAGGAGGTTCAGAAGTTTGCAACAAGACTCGTCCCAGCATTACGAGGGATGGGGTATGAACAGCGCCTGAAGGAACCGAGTCTTACGACACTAGAAAAAAGAAGGGAGAGAGGGGGGATATGATAGGAACGTATAAAATACTCTGGGATTGACGGAGTGGACACAGACGAAATGTTCACACTGAATAGCAACAGAATGAGGGGACATGGGTGGAAGCTGGAAACTCAGATGAGTCACAGAGATGTTAGGAAGTTTTCTTTTAGCGTGAGAGCAGTGGAAAAATGGAATGCACTTGGGGAACAGGTTGTGGAAGCAAACTCTATTCATAATTTTAAAATTAGGTATGATAGAGAAATGAGACAGGAGTCATTGCTGTAAACAACCGATGGCTGGAAAGGCGGGATCCAAGAGTCAATGCTCGATCCTGCAGACACAAATAAGTGAGTACACACATTGTCTTACTCTGAACATTACTTTTGTGTTTATTTTTAATTATTAAATACATGTTTTATTATCATGTGTAATTACCTAAGTGTACAGTAGTTACATGATGAGAGCTACGCTCGTGGTGCGCCATCTTCCCAGTACTCTTTGTCGTATAACGCTTTGAATCTACAGAGAGCTTTGGCCTCCACCACCTTCTCACTTAGTTTGTTCCAACTGTCTACCACTCTACAAAAGTGAACTTTCTAATGTTTTTTAAGCACCTCTGTTTCCTTAGTTTGAAACTGCATCCGCTTGTTCGAAGATTTGAAGTGAAGGGAGCTGTTAAGAGAAAGCACCAAGCCATTACGACTATATAGCACTGGGAATGAGTTTATTTTTTTTATAAATTTTTACAATTTTAATATTTTTTTATATAAATGTACAGCTTTCAAACTCTATTCTCTTTGTGTCTTTAGATTGTATTGATGAATGGGGGACCAGATGTGGGCCTTATCACTTGTATAAAGTATACTTATTGTTCTTATTAACCAATTATTCTTATCCCTATATTTTGTTTTATGGGGGTTATTTTTTCTTTATTTCAACACATACATTAACCTACAACTATTAAATATTTGAGTATGAATGCCAAGCAATGTTTACTAAAACTTATAAGGAAATCCATAATGCAGAACAACCATATTCATTGTTGTGAACTTAAAGTTAATTTTTCTGTATAAACAGGATTTTCAACTGAGACAAGTTACCAAACTCAGTTTCTGAGCAAGCCTCACCATTTTTACATATTATGTGCAAAGCTCTTAATTTTTAGATGTCCACAGTAGCGTTTATTCATAAACCCATAACTTTGGGAGTTATACATTTTTGCGTCTAAATTTTTGCGCATATTTTGAAGACCACATTGACTTTTTTTTTTCTGTAAACTATACTCTCAAACTAAATTTTATACTGAGTAAAATGAACATTATATGCCATTCTGAGCCCATAATGAATAAAATAAAAATTGGGAAATATTAAATTTATCTTAATTTTAAATTGTGAAATTTTAAATTTTTTACAATAGTTTTTTCTGTTCAAGTTATGATATTGATCCATTAGGAAAAGTTGGAGCATTTATCATGTAGATTATGCACAAAAATTTGAGTGTGTTTAAGGAAAGTTGAGAAAGTTTGCATCTGTCCCCTTAAATCCATTGAGGGGATAATTTTTCTTATTTAACTAAAGTAAATCAATGCTTGGAGATTATCACTATACAGCACTTTTGTCATGAATAGACATAGAGAAATCGCCAGAAAATGAAAGCGTAGAGAGTAATGTTTGATTTTGGTTCTGATTTATTAATGAATAAATTAAATTGAGATCCTAACTAGATATAAACCTACAGGTAATAAAAAGATGATTCACAGAATAACCACCATGTCCACTTACGTTTGGGACTGTGGCAAACGGTCAATCAGATCAGGTCGTTTGAGTTCTTCACCTCCGCGCACGCGTACACAGCGCTCGGCACCAACCCTCCTACTCTTATCTACACACACTCACTGTCCTCTTCCTCATCCTCCATGGTCCTTCTTCCCTCCATCGTTCCATATATGGTCACTATAGCAACTGGATTAACCAACATGAGCTATTCCTCACACACATTGTGTTTTGTTTTGTTCGTTGAAAGCCCACCTGGAGCCACCATCAGGTTACTCACAAGTGTTCACTGTTCAACGCATTACATGGTTAGCTGTACGTGTTCTGGTAACACTTGAAACAGCACTTTTAAAGCCAGAATTGTGTTTAACAGATGTTCTGGTAATTCTAGAAGTTGCACTGTGAAACCTGGAATCTCATTTAATAGGTGTTCTAGTAACACTAAATGTAGCACTGTTACAGTTAAAATCCTTTTTAACAGGTGTGCTGAAAACACTGGAAGCAGCACTTCTAAAGCCAGTGTTAGGCTTACCCCAACTAAAGCATGCGATACAAGATCGTCAACATTGTTTTATTTCACTATAAAACAGTATTTCTCTTCCTATTGGTTTTCATGTCATCAGAATTGAGAATGAAAAAATTAATTAGCCTGCTAATGAATCTAATGAATTAAAAAAGAAATTAACCCCTAAGTAACAAAACAAAGATTTCCACTCATAGAATGCCCTGATTTCCAGGATCATAAATTTGGTTTCCTGTCAATCATCTTCAATCAGATGCTAGTAGATCCACCCTAGTTATTCAGATTAATTTTATACTGCATAGCTAAGCTTACATCCTCTTGTATTAACATCTTAAGAAATATGTAAATGTATTCTTATACCGGTAATTTGAAATAAGCTTTGTTCTGGTTTAGCATTTTTTTCTGTGTATTGCTTATTTTTCATTTGATGTCTTTAAATATGTTCCTTGTATATAAATAATGTCCCACTTATTTTCCAGGCACCCCAAATGCCTTCTACGGGGGGTGAACCTCCATCCCCACAACAGTCCCAGTCTCCCATGCATGAAGAGGCCCCAGAACAACTACCCACCAATTCATCTCCACAACCTAATGCTAGACAACAGCACTCATCAGCTACTCCCCCACAGACACAGCCAGAACAAGAGGTAAGATCGAGATGTTAAAATTGTCTACAGTAATGCATTATATAGTGTTAGGGTTTATTAGGGGTGTGTACACTCTCCACAGCACGCACCATCTCTGTGACAATAATTTGTACTCACCTTGAGTGCCAACTCTACTCATCTAGACTGTGGTGGAATGTCTGCTTCTCCTGTACCTATATTCAGTATATATATATAGACTGCAGCCTCTATCAAGATGTGGGGAATAATTGCCAATTTGGCCCTCTGTCCTGTATGCACACTGCTTATCGGCATAATTCTTTAGGCCACAGTTCCTTGTGCATTTGATGTCCTCCACACTATACTCTAATGTTAGTTCTCCGCAAATTAATACTCAATAATTAATGCAATAAACATTCCACACTTCTCGAGGTCCCACTCAACAACGCTAAAAATATATATATATTTGGTTTCATCAGTTATGGATAAGGTTATAACTAGAATTGTTTTGTCAAAAGGTTAGCAAATGAATTTGCTAAATTATAATTAAGACAAAAGTGTACTGTCAATAGATTGTGTGTGACAGCAATGAGTCTGCTAATGGGGGTCTGCAGAGCCCATGAGTCCATTGAACCTCTGCACGAGTCTACAGAGGTTCAAATGTTTATGAACCTCTCCACATTCCATATTCATTTTTCAACATTCATGAAAATTATGGAAATGTCCATTCATATTAGGTCTGTATCACTGAGAAAAAAAAATTAATTTCCAGCAGGTAATTTGCAAAGCATTATGAAAATACTCTGAAGCAGAGCAGTTATTGTCTTTGTGATGGATGGTTGACTGAGATCATCTTTAGATGGTCCTTTGATACTTTGGTTGGTCCTCGGAGAAGCTCTGCCCAATCTGTGTTAAAAAAAATTGGGGGAGGGGGGGAGATTTTTGGAAATTCTTAAATGGCTGATGCAGTGACAATAAACATAATTGGAATGTTTATTGTCGAAGTACAAAGGATACATTTGAGTGTCATCTGGAATGATAGAACTTTAAGTCGCTGATGACCATAAACTTTGCCTTATACAACTTGCTTTTCAGTTGTTGAGTGATGATATGTTGTTTTTCCCCCAACAGGCAGATGATGATTTAAGTACTCCAAAACTGCCTTCCCCTCCCACGGAACCTCCAAACAGTATTGATTCTCCCGAGGATGAATTCTTGGAGGCCCATGCCGACTCACTTTCTGACGAGGAGGACGTGGAAGAGCAGGAGTCAGTCAAACCTTCCTCTGGAGTAACACAAGAGCCTGTTCCAGTCGCTCAGTAGTAGACAATCTCGTTACCAGGTAGAGACAGGTTGAGGGTAGGGGGATGGGGTAATTTAAGATCCAGTAACAGGGTTGATATATACCTGTTTTATTTATGCTCTGTTGAATATTGATTTTCATTGTTTAGTATATTGTTGTAATCTTTCCATAATTAAAACAGGTGTGTTTACCAGATTTTGGGTGACTAAACAAATATTCTAACCCTCAGATACTGTAATATATATTCCAGTCTGGAATTATGACTCTTGTAAAAATACTCTTAATGAAGAGCTGAAGAACTGAATAATAAATCAATTTAAAAGGTTAATTAACATTCAGATATGGAGATAAAGGAATGTGTATATTTTTTAACTACAATTTGTTTGTTGACAAGGATTTATATCTGTCAAATTCCTATTTATCCGTATTGAGTTCCATAACTATGTAATTTGAGTAATTAGCATCTGTTTCTCAATCTATGTAACCAGAATAGTAAATTAACACGTTGAAAAAACTGAAAGCTTTGAAAAGCTGTTTTTATCTGGTATTATTAATATTTCTAGTTCTATAGTTTATTATTTTGTGTATAGTTTTATAACCTTCAAGTCAATTTGTGTTGCTACTTTAAAGACATAGTGAATAGCTTTTCTACTATCTCAACCTGTAGAAGGTTGACACTACTCAGTCTTGGCTTGAGCTTAGCCAGAGCATCATTACAGGTACTGCCAGGCTTGCTGTTAATTATTGAGGGTTTATTCTTAGCCAGAGAAGTGAATTAGTCTTGGCTGTTAATAACGAGTAGTGAATTTTAAGGTTTTATAAGATCTGACTACGTAATTAAAACCCAGTGTGTTTCTGTATATGTGCGTGTGTGTGTGTATATTATAATATATATATATATATATATATATATATATATATATATATATATATATATATATATATATATATATATATATATATATATATATATATATATATATATATATTATATACACATATATATACAGTATATATAATGTACATACAAGCTAATAGACCTATGCTAACAGCACTCTTGGGTTTCTGAGTCTTCGTGGTATTAATGTGTGAAAGTAGTAAAGATTTCTTGAAGGAAATGAAATTGCCATAAATATGCAATTTATATTTATGCTGATAATAATAATCATCTTCTTGGTAAATTTATTTAGACAGGTAATTTCTTTTACAGAGGATTTGTTAGTCACTTCTTTGTAAAATTTAATAATTGTTATAAAAATTTATACTTTGAAGTTTATAACTAGACATCTCAATGCTGTATTCTTATTATCTCGTATAATGATGAACGTGGATAGAAGAGACCTTTTGGGATGCAAGTTAAATTATCAGTCATCAGTTGCACTTTACGAAACACTAAACTTCCTTTTTTAAGACTATTACATTTCTGAACTTGTGGTTGCATTTCTGTTATTACCTTCCAATGTCATTTATATTTCTTATCAAGAGTGTGCAGATATGCCAGGTGCTCTTGATCCTTGTATTGCCAGAATAATTGGAATGCTGTTAATTGTTAAAGAGCTTCAATATTGTCATCCCATAATTTAGGGTTACCAGTTACGCTGCTTATTTGTAATTAATGGCATAGAGTTAACTGGTTTTCCTTGGTACAGAAGCGTATGAGGACACAGGCGTAAATTAGTGGTTTTCTTTACAGTTTCTCGCCGACTTTCATAGAGAGCACATAATGTTCTGATGTAGTCATTCCAATATATATTTCTCCATATCTCTTGGCTGCTGTTATTTTCGTTAAGTTTGTCTACTCATTTTTAATTTAGTTGAATTTGTTACAAATTTTATTAAAAAGTAAGTTAAATGCAGTGGTAAGTTTATGAAGCAGTTTCTTTTTGCTCCACAAGATTAGAACTTCTGGTTGGAGTTGTTTGTGACCTTCATTGTACAGTATAGTGTATCATTGTTTACAATGTCACTGATCATTTTCTCTTTAAAGGGATAAAACAGTTATCTACAAAAAACTATTAAATCTGAGCATTATTGGTAATGTGCCCTCTTTCTTTATCTGTTTTTACATATGCATTGTTTCTTGGTTATTGAAGATCTATTTTAATATGATTATATACCAAATATACAATTTTTCTAATCCTCTGACTTTTTAAAACTTTGAAAAAAAGGTCTGGACATATCTATAAATTGCAAAATTGCTCTTGACACACAGTATAGATTAAGTACATCATTCACATAAGCTTGAAGAAGAGTAAAAAAGAAATCAAATACCTTGTACTGTTAAATGTTCCCGGTACAGCAAGACCTTTTGCCTGTTGACCAATTAACAGTGAAGCAGCCTGACATTATCTGTCTCGTAATATATCACCAGTAGAATGACATGTACATACTCTTTATAGTTAATGGTAGACACAAACATGCCTTGAACAAAACAGTGGTACAGTTATTACTTGCTTACTATACTTTAAAGGCAGTTTGGTATCTGGAGGGCAGAAACAGTGGTGATAGTTACAGAACTGAGAAATACTTTTTTTTTTGGGGGGGAAGGGGTGTTTTGTGCCCTTTTAAAGGCTGCTAATATGCTCATACTGTAGCTTTGCATTCTCAGGATTTTTTTTAAGCAAAATATTTAGATGTGCAGCACCTAGATACAAAATTAATCATGAAGACAACACGGAATTTTGTATGAAAAAATGGATTTTGATATCACGCAAGATTTAAGTGTATTATGACAAGTGTGTGAAAGAGCTTATGCTACTGTTCAGAATTCAAATGAGAGAGTACCAAAATTATATGAATAAGAATGAAGCAAAGAAAATTACCATTAATTACCATTGGTGTATAGTTGATGTACAAGCTTTGAAAATAGTTATATTTTTTCTTATCTTTTAAAGGGTATAATAATTAAGAGAATTTATATTTCTTCCTTAAAAATATTTTATATGAGCTGGACTAAGCACATTAAGTTAGATAAGGTATAATCATTTAAATACTAAATCATTACCATAAAGAAAAGGCCTTTCCATTATTATATGGTCTTATTGATTTTTATATTTAATATATATAGCACAATTGCGTATTAAGAACCAGGTTTAAGTTTTTGCCATTTACAGTAAGTAATATTTTGTGGCTGACTATTCAAGAGTGCATCTTAAAACTAATATACTGTATTTATTGTTTAGTTTAGAATGATATTAAGAGACTTTGTATTCTTCCTGTTTCAGTTCCAACCTCCCTTCCCCCTCTCCTTCTCTTCCTCCCTCCACCCCTCTCTCTCTATTTTTTCTCTTCTCTCCTCTCTTTTCTCTCCCCTCTCTTCTCTTCTCTCTCTCTCTCTCTCTCATTATCTTCTCTCTCATCTCTCTTTCTTTCATTTCCCCCCACACTCCCCCCCTCCCTGCCCTGGTATGTGACTCCGTCATGCTATATTTGTGTTACACCTTAAATGGTTTGCCATTTGATCACGCTTCCTTCATTCTAAAACAGGGAATTGTAAATATATTCCAGAAGCCTTTAATTGCAATTGAATTACAATATTTTAGCTAAGCATCTGTGCCATTTTAAGAATATTGGGATCATATACTGTATAATATATTTGAATAAGGATATTGCTTTGATCACATAGTACATTCAGCTTGTTTTAAATAAATGTACTATAAACTTTGTTTAAATTTATATTACATTTAATAAGGTTTTTCTTTGATCAAATTAAACTTTGAATACCCTTGAAGACCTTCAGGCAGAACACAGTATTTATAATAAGTTTCAAATTGCATTGTGATCCAGACAGACAAAGCATTATTATTTCTTGTAATTACTTCCCTTCTCAGACAGTTAAGTGGAATTTTGATAAGACTTTAAATTTTTGACAGGACAAATAAATTCATATGTATAATATGTGCATATGTACCCAGGAGCTATAATCCACTCACTGAATACATGTGAATGTACATATGCATATATGCATGCATGCATGTATTCATGTAGGTGCATATATCTGTACATGCATGTGCAAAATCTGAGTGCATGATGTACACTTACAAACAACACAACACACATTCACACACACGTGAACACCAAAACGACGACCCACCTTATACCAACATTTAAATTTAATCATTAAAAATGAAAAATTGGTTGATATTTCAAAGAGAGGAGAATATTTCTATTAAGAGTACTTTTTCTTGACCCTGCAGAATTTTGACATTTCTTATAGTAAGTTAGCATGTGTAAGTTTGTCAATCGTATACAGTACTGTATTATTATGAAATATATGTTTTGTACTAAACTGGGAAATTGTAATGATTGTGTCTTAATCCTTGCACTGTCAAAAATGATCAGTATATTTTAAAATTTACTTTTGGAATTTTTTTTTTGTATCTCTGGTATGATTTTTGTTCTCAAATGGTCATATATCTAGCTATTTTTTCTATGATGTTTTAGTAACCAGTGATGTGCATTATGTGTTTGATGAGGGAACTTGCTTTGGATGTAAATGGTCACCAGCGGGTGGTGTGATGGCAGTGGTGGGAAAAGTTATTTTATGCCATTTATGATATATTTGGGAATTTCATCAAAATGACCGCCGAGTCAAATGGAAAGAAAATATCTTTGTCACTAAAAGCTGCATTTCTTGTTTACGTGTGACTGTGCAGGTTAGAAATTTGATTAATATATGCAAGAGAAGACTGTTGAAAGTAAATGTGTATCAAAATAGTTTGGTAGTGAAGAGAGGATGAGATTCAGTACAGTATGGGAAAGGTGAAGTGTGGGTTAAAAAGGAATTTGTCCAATAAAATTTGAGAAGGTGATGAGCCAGAAAAGAAAAGTTGGTGGGAGTAATGAATGCCTTGGTTCAGAAAAACAAAATGGCTATTGCTGTAACCAGAAGGTTGTATGGAGGAGTGGTAACACTGACCCTTCTGTGTAGATGTAAGACAATAATATAGTATGAACATGGAAAACCAAGAAAAAGAGCAACAGAAGTGAACAGTCTGAGATGCCTGTGTGATGTTAGAACAGTTAACAAATTAAAATGTGAGGGAGGTATGTAGTGTCTAAAAATTGGATAAAATGCAAGCTTGAGGAGTGTGTTGAAATGGTTTGGCCAAGTTGAACGAGTGGATGATGACAGGTGGAGGGTGTATTCAAAAGTATTAGGGGATAGTAGGAAGAGTGAAAGGTCGGAAAGATGGACAGCAGTGACCATATTTGTGGTATGTAGGTGTTAAGGAGCACTACACGTTAACACTTTAAGCAGTGGATAATTGCTGGAGTGTGCTGGTGCAGTTTTATCTCTAAGCTAGCTATATATGTATGTGTGTATGTGCTGAAAATCCACAGAGAAATGGGGAGGGAGATGAACGTTTCGGCCGACCAAGACTGTTGTCAACACCTGACTCTCAGCACCAACACCAGAAAATCAGTCTGGTGTTGACAACGGCCTTGATCTGCCGAAACATTCATCTCCCTCCCCATTTCTCTGTGGATTTTCCACATACAAACGATCAATGTTTCGTGATTGACAATTGCAGATGCATGCATATATATAATATATATATATATATATATATATATATATATATATATATATATATATATATATATATATATATATATATATATATATATATATATATATATATATATATATGTCGTACCTAATAGCCAGAACACACTTCTCAGCCTACTATTCGAGGCCCGATTTGCCTAATAAGCCAAGTTTTCATGAATTAATGTTTTTTCGTCTACCTAACCTACCTAACCTAACCTAACCTAGCTTTTTTTGGCTACCTAACCTAACCTTACCTATAAATATAGGTTAGGTTAGGTTAGGTAGGGTTGGTTAGGTTCGGTCATATATCTACGTTAATTTTAACTCCAATAAAAAAAAATTGACCTCATACATAGAGAAAAGGGTTGCTTTATCATTTCATAAGAAAAAAATTATAGTAAATATATTAATTCAGGAAAACTTGGCTTATTAGGCAAATCGGGCCTTGAATAGTAGGCTGAGAAGTGAGTTCTGGCTACTAGGTACGACATATATATATATATCTATATCGCGTACCTAGTAGCCAGAACGCACTTCTCAGCCTACTATGCAAGGCCCGATTTGCCAAATAAGCCAAGTTTTCCTGAATTAATATATTTTCTCTAATTTTTTTCTTATGAAATGATAAAGCTACCCATTTCATTATGTACGAGGTCAATTTTTTTTTATTGGAGTTAAAATTAACGTAGATATATGACGGAACCTAACCAAGCCTACCTAACCTAACCTAACCTATCTTTATAGGTTAGGTTAGGTTAGGTAGCCGAAAAAGTTAGGTTAGGTTAGGTAGGTTAGGTAGTCGAAAAACAATTAATTCATGAAAACTTGGCAAATTGGGCCTTGCATAGTAGGCTGAGAAGTGCGTTCTGGCTACTAGGTACGACATGTGTGTATGTGTGTATATATATATATATATATATATATATATATATATATGTCGTACCTAGTAGCCAGAACGCACTTCTCAGCCTACTATGCGAGGCCCGATTTGCCTAATAAGCCAAGTTTTCCTGAATTAATATATTTTCTCTAATTTTTTTCTTATGAAATGATAAAGCTACCCATTTCATTATGAATGATGTCAATTTTTTTTATTGGAGTTAAAATTAACGTAGATATATGACCGAACCTAACCAACCCTACCTTACCTAACCTAACCTATCTCTATTGGTTAGGTTTGGTTAGGAAGCCAAAAAAGTTAGGTTAGGTTAGATTAGGTAGGTTAGGTAGTCGAAAAAACATTAATTCATGAAAACTTGGCTTATTAGGCAAATTGGGCCTTGCATAGTAGGCTGAGAAGTGCGTTCTGGCTACTAGGTACGACATATATATATATATATATATATATATATATATACACACACACACACACACACACACACACACACACACACACACACACACACACACACACACGCACGCACGCACGCACGCACGCGCACGCGAGAAGTGAAAGTGTGTGAAAGTGAAGTGTGGTGACTTTGAAGAAATAAACAAGAAAATAGACTCATATGGTGAACAACTCCAAGCAAGCCTAAGGGCTAACATAAGAGTTAGGTAAGAATCTCCAACTGGAAACTTCACTGACAACTCACATAGAGGAGGTGAATAAAGAACTAGAAAAGTATAAAGAAGAAATAAAAGCGACATATGCTCAAGTTGTAAAAGAGAAAGAGACTATCAAAGAAGTGTGTTCGGAAGTCAAAACCAGAAATGACCAACAAGAAGCAGAAATTAGGCAAGCAATTAGGAAAGAACTGGTTACCAACAGTAAACTGGTACAAAACACTGCAGATAGAACTAAGTCCATAATCATTTTTGGATGTTTAGAGAAGGAAATTTCATCTAGGGTGGACCGAGCGGCAGAAGAGATGTAAATCATAGAGAAAATAGTAGGTTTAGGAGAAGGCTCAAAGGAAAATGTCAGTGATTTTAGAAGAATAGGAAAATATGAGAAAGAAAAGAACCGCCCCTTAAGGGTGACCTTTAATGGAGTGAAAAACATGATGGAAGTGCTAAGAAATGCCAGGAAACTGCAGAGTGATGAGGTTGGCAAATCTTGGTCAATAAGACAAGACCTCTCCAAGGAAGACAGAGAAAAGCTGAAAATGAACTTAATTGAGGCAAAACGGCTAAATGGGGATAGAAATGAAGAAGACAGAAATTCTTTTTTTACAAAGTGACAGGGACTGGAAAGCTTGTGAAATGGTACATAAAAACAAAGCAACAAGATCAGTAGTGGAAGGGGGAGTAAAGAGCAAAGGAAAAGGGAACATGTTCCTGAAAATTGTATATACCAACATAGATGGAGTGAGGTCAAAAACTTTGGAGTTGCAAGATATAATCCAGCTTAGGGTCCCAGATATTGTTGCATTATCAGAAACGAAACTTGAAGGAAATATAATAAATGAAGTCATATTCCCAAGAGGCTACTCAGTTTGGAGACGTGACAGGAAAACTAGGAAGGGAGGAGGAGTGGCTGTACTGGTGAAAAAACACCTGAAGGTAAAAGAGTTAATATTTGAAAACCCTCGAGATATTGACATAATGGCATTGCAGGTCTGGAATCAGGATGATAACCTGATAATTGTAAATACCTACAGCCCACCAGCAAGCAACACGTGGACAAAGGAAGAACTGGATGACAAACGAGAGGGCCTCATAATGGTCATGAGAGATATTATTGTACAAGCAGATAAAGATAAATCACGACTGTTGATACTGGGGGACTTCAACTTTAGAGCAATAGACTGGGAGGCCTATGAAGCAAGAACGGAGGACTTTTGGACATGCAGATTTGTGAACCTCATTCTGGAGACATTCTTGTATCAACACATAAAGCAAGCCACAAGAATGAGGGAAGGAGATATACCGTCAGTACTGGATCTAGTATTCACCAGGAAAGAAGAAGAGATTTTTGACATCCAGTACCTTCCTCCCTTGGGAAAGAGTGATCACGTCCTGTTAGACATTAAATATGCTTTAAGATATCATCTAGAAGAAAATGGGGACATTGAAACAGTTGATAAACTCGATTTAAAGAGAGGCAACTATGGGGAACTTCGAAATTTTTTTAATGAGTGTAATTGGACAGAATTGTTGCTAGGCAGGGAAGTAAATGAAATGTATGCCAAATTTTTAAAACTATACGAGGAAGGCACACAAACATTCATACCAAAACAGAGATGCAGGACCAGAAAACAGGATTGGTTCGACAGAAATTGTGAGAGGGCAAGAGACCAAAAGACACAAAAATGGAATCAGTATAGGAAGAGGCCAAACCCCCAAACATACCAGCGATACAAAGATGCGAGAAACAATTATACAGCAGTAAGGAGAGAGGCAGAAAGAAATTTTGAAAAAGGGATAGCAGATAAATGTAAAACAGAACCGGGCCTATTCTACAAATTCATAAACAACAAATTGCAGGTAAAGGATAATATCCAGAGGTTGAAAATGGGAAACAGATTCACGGAAAATGAAAGGGAAATGTGTGAAACATTAAATGAAAAGTTCCAAAGTGTGTTTGTACAAAATGAAATCTTCAGAGAACCAGACACAATAAGAATTCCAGAGAACAACATAGAGCGGATAGAGGTGTCTAGAGATGAAGTGGAAAATATGCTAAAGGAGCTCGGGAGGAACAAAGCAGCTGGCCCAGATGGCGTTTCACCATGGGTTCTGAGAGAATGTGCATCTGAGCTCAGCATTCCACTTCACCTGATCTTTCAGGCATCCCTGTGTACAG